GCAACACATTACAAGCAACATAACCTTAAATTTACCAATTAATATGAATCACTCATCTTTTATTCAGGATCCACGTGTGTAATGTCTTTTTAGACTGTAAGCCCAGCAGCAAGGACTGTCTTGTTTAATTGATTATATGCAATTGGCTCTGGGTGCCTTTTTGGCTGAGGAGTGGCATAAAAATAAGATGTTTGTCAATCCAGCTTCTTTGTATTTCCTGACAAAGTTTTTTTCCCTTGCATGTTGCTGACCTTTCTTGTTTTGGGGAAGGAGGATGCATTCTAATCACTCTTGCAAAGTCTATAATGCAGTTATCAGACTTCCTGTTTATACATTCCTGGTTGCGGGGGAGGGGGTTGTTTTGTTTCATTTTAAGGAAAAACAACCATACTGGGTTCTCTTCTCACTCCCCACTCCACCTTCCCAGTGGACATCTCCAGGTAAGGCGTTCAGGATTTATTTCAGACACACACTACCAGTTTTTCAAACAGTTCTTCCTGGTGATGATCCTAGACTGATTTACTTGGAAGTAAACTGCATGGTGGCCATGCCTGTTCTTGCCTCACTGGACTTCTGCTTTTCCCGTCCTCCTCACGTACATGCGATGCAATGGGCTCTGAAGCCACCTCTGCAAAGGAGGGACCACACCACAAGTGTAGTAGTGTTATTGTGGCTGGCTGGCCTCGCTGCCACTGGTAAGATGGAGCCAGGGCCCACAATCTTTCACCCACTGCCCTCTGCAAGGGCACCTGGTTTCCTGAGTTCTCTGTCGATAGGCAGAAACAATGAATGGATTTCCTCTTCCTGCCCAGGCTTGCTTTAGACGTTCAGGGGACGGTGCATGGTCTCAAGACTGTGCCAGGCCACCCAGCCCCATCTGGCTTTCTTCCAAGGGGCCTGAAAGCTTGCGTGGGAACCGATCCGAGCCATGGTTGTGTTTCCCAGGCTGGGCTCAAGGGCAGGGGCTCACTACGAAGAGACATCTTTGATGTCCCGCTGAAGCAGCATGCAGTTGATGCATGGCAGTGCAAGATTGCATCAGGCTTTTATAAAATCTCCGAGCCACGTAACTCCTGGCATGAGCAATCATTTTGTGCAGCAAAATACGTACCTGTTGGGTTCTTGCAATTGTTGCTTCACTGTAGGAACATCTGAAACATGACTTCGCTTCAGAGCTTTTGAATACTAAAATGCACCTGCGATGAGTGTGAGTTTGCAATGCTATGCCCAGGAATTTATGTATCATATAACCCAGGGTAGGGCACCTTCTGACTGTGTTGCTGATGCATGGCCATTTTGTGGCAGTGTGGAAATGGAAGGTGGGTGGAAGTTGGATAAGGAAAGATCATTTGCCAACTACAGTAGACTTCCTCCCAAACACATTTACCCAAACAACCAACTGCTATTGTTCTCTGTTTAGCCCCTCCCTGACATTATTCCAGTGTATGTCTAATAAAAACCGGGATCTCATGGGGCTGTTTTTACACACTAGGAGGATAAACAAAAGAAAGAATCCATGACCATTTAAAGTCTCTGTGTAACGGTTCATTCTGCTCAGGAAACATTTGCAAAATAAACTTCATAGAATTGTACACTGACACATGCTTGGATCCCATGGTGTTTGCACACCATTTAGCATACCATGATGTGTGCAGCTCTGAGAACAGACCAAAGTTGCCATGTCACTGCTGCACCCACCCTGAATTGCTTTATTCAACACACATACACCCAGTAATGCAGCTAATTCCAAAGGCCCTCAAAAGAGCACCTTCAGCAGCAACTGATAGAAGCCTTGACAGGTTCTCCTACCCCCACTTTTTAAAATGCTTTCTAAACCCCACTTGAAAATGGAGCTTTACGTTTAACAGATGTCCAAGGTAACTACTCCAATAAAATGAGGTGACTTGTACTTTGCATGTTCCAAAGGTGATGGAATCTCAGGAACAAGTACAAAAGTGAGGGTACATGTGAGCCCAAAAAACCTGTCCCTAAGATGTGGTTGTGAAAGGGGTGAACAACCTGCAACCCACTTTTTATGAGCTGAGATCATGCACGGTTTGGGTTACATTTGAGAGTTTGACTTTTGACAACTGTCTGATGTAACCAAAGGGAAAAGTAACTTACCTGGCCTTGTCCAACCGGAATCTCTCTACATATTACACCACCTGAGTCTTCTCATTTCTACACCTGCTCAACTGCAAACATTTGTAGTTGCACAAGTAGGGGTTTAAAAAAAATGTAAAAATAAAATCAGAAATATTTGCAAACATTGGTAGGATTGAACCAAAAAAGCACTTTGGCAACCTTGGTCAGTCCCTTGTAGGTGCTGCTGGGCACTTGGAAGGGACTGTCCGTAACTGTCAAGATAAGGGGGGGAAATAAAGGGAAAAAAGCCAAGACAAATCCAAAATGGCCTGTGATCGCAGTAGAGCAAGCAGTAAGACAGCGCCAATTGTCCATAGCTGCCACTTAGGCACTTTTGGAGCAGCCGGAAATGATGGTTGCCTGAAACCTGCATTGCAAGAGTGGCAAGGAGGCGACTTGTTTGCATGCCGACAGAGAGGGCTCTGCGTGCCCGCTGTGGCTCGTGTGCCATACGTTCGCCACCACTGGCCTAACCCTACTCTGCTGCACTCCCCTAACCCTAATACCACTGAAAGGGGCGATTTTGAAAAAGCCTTCCCTGAGTAGCTTTTTCTGCACAGCTCATCATTTCTGCCCATTCTAAACACATTCCAACCATCAAAATCTTGCCAGGACACCTCGTTTTTCTAACCCTAACCCAGTGATGATGAACCTTTTAGAGGCCAAGTGCCCAAACTCCAACCCAAAACCCACTTATTTATCGCAAAGTGCTAACACTGCAATAAAACCTGGAAACTGAGGTTTTAGTTTAGAAAAAAACACCTCACAGCCAGTCCAAGCACATCTATCTATCTATCTATCTATCTATCTATCTATCTATCTATCTATCCTTGGCAGCACACTGACCGGCCATGCGAAAGCTCGGACGAGTTGTGGCTTGTGACGCCATTGCCTGGCAGCACGACTCCTTTCCGAGCATGTGCATGGCCCCTATGTATGCTGTTATCTGATGCTCGGCTGCTGGGGCGACTTGGCTCGTGTGCCGACAGAGAGGGCTCTGCGTGCCCGCTGTGGCACGTGTGCCATAGGTTTGCCACCACTGCTCTAGAACAACCCATGGGTGGTCAGGGGGGCTTGTTGCCCTCTGACAAGCTACCTTGCCAGGCTATATTTGGGTTTATATGACAGGACAACATTTGAGTACACATAGGTAGCAACCCACAATGGGTTGTTGTGTTTTGTGAACCCAGTCATGAAGTTGCTCTGACTTCAGTAAAATGTAAAACTGCACATGGTCAGAGTACTGGCAAATAATTTTGTCTCCTCTAACAGTGCCCCCATCCTGGTGATTGTAATGTGTGACACTACAATTCCCATAACTTAATTTAATTAAATTTAATTTAATCAATACATTTGTATGCCATCCTTTGCAGCAGCCTCAGGATGGCTTACAGAAATAAAATAACAATATACTCTTATAAATAGCATTAAAACATTGTACAGTTAAACAATTAACAACAATGTATCCTCTCCTAATTAAAGAAAAGAAAGAAAGAAAAAGAAAATAAAAATGTGCCGGAAAGAGTAGGGAGTCGGTGCCAGGTGGACCTCTCTGGGGACCATGTTCCATAGTCTGGGTGCCACCGCAGTGAAGGCCCTCCTCTGCGTGGATACCCTCCATGCCTCCCTCAAAGAGGGTTCCCGGAGCAAGGCCTCCCCTGCCGATCTTAACAGGTAGGAGGGCATATAGGGGAAGAGACACTTCAACTTGCAGTGAATAGCCATGCTGTCTGGGAAATATTTATCTTAGGTTTATATAACATGTTCAGTTAGCTGGATTGGCTCTCAGAATGGTTTACAAATCATGTGTCTTGTAGTTCAACACATCAGCAGGGCTCCAGGTTGGTGGCAACCTGACCACTACATGTCAGAAAAGCAGAAATGGTTGTATTGCATGGAATTACAGTGGCAGAAAGAAAAACTTTACTTGCTTCACTGCTGAAGGTGTAGGGGGGTGTGGGTATAAGAGCATTAAATCCATGGTCTAAAATTACACGGCTGCACTATCACATGGCGTAACACTGCAAGATTACCTGCTAAACAGCAGTACAGAATGACTGGTCCGTGAGAATGGGGTGTGCGCATGTGGGTGCACATGTGGAATCTATCCCACAGCCACTTCCACAGGTGCTGATTGCTGCCTGGTGTTCATTAAGGCTACACATGCAGAAGAGTGCTTTGCCATGTGGCTGGGCAAAGGCAGCTTTTATAGGCTCTGTTTGACCACCCCGAAACAAAGGAGCAAGAGTTCCTCCCGCAGGTAAACATGTGAGTGAGGCTGACTAGTCCACAAGTGAAGCTTGTTCCTGACCGTCCTGCCTAACAGACCGGGGCCCTGACCCCAAGATAGCGCTGCCTCATCTCTTTGTCTCAGCAACACTTGCCCGATGGGAGCCCTCAGGGAAAGGAACTGGTTTCCTTTGCGACGTAAAGTAAAAAGTTCCATAGTCCTGCAGAGACTGCAGGCTATTCAGCCTCAGGACTCTATTTATATCTTCTTTCTTCCTCACCCCTCAGCCAGAAGGTGCCACAGTGGCTGAGGCTCCACATGGTAAATCACTTCTCCCAGCTGTGGACCAAGTTCGCTCTCTACCTTTCACTGGGACAGGCAAGGAGGCCCTTTTGCTCCGTGGTGCCTCTTCATTCCACTCCATTAGCTATGTCTCAGTCCAGCTACCTCCCTTTACGCTGTTCTGTCCTACAGGAGCCAGAGATAGGCAAAGAACAATGGGTGGAGAGCAGGAAATGCTGTATGGGAAACAGGATTTCATGTCATGGCTGTGCTGCCTACGAGGGCCTCTCAGTCTCCCCCCGCCCAACAGTCTCCATTCCCTCCCTGGCTGAACACCAGCCAAGAAGGCTCTTCCCACTGAATCCCAGCTCATACAGTGCCCAGTCCATTCCCACTATTAGTCAGTTCCTGGATTTCTCCAAGGGGATTCTTTGTGCCATACTGAGGCTCCATGGTCAGGCCTCCAAGTCAGAAGCAGTTACACCAGTCCCCGCTGTATCTGCATGTAGTGGTGAATGAAGAGCTGGAATAGATGGAAGGAGCTTGGCGGAAGCTGGACATCACAGGACAAAACAGCTTCATGGCTTCTTTGACTGGCTAGAGTGGAGTTACTTCTCCTGTTCTTGAGATTCACTACAGGACGTGCAGACAATACATTCTACTAAGTTGGGCCAAGCATATAGGGATCTTCTTCTCAAGAATTAGTGAACCCCAAACTTCTCTCCATCTTGGATTGAGGTGAACTTGCTTCTAGTGATTCAAGTCTTTGCAAAGACCCAAGAATGCCACATGTCACGGAGCAACACTGCAAATGAAAATGGCATAAATCCTTCCTATTATCCTTTCCTCTTCTGGATCAGTAATGCATGAGTTTTCATGACACTGGGATTATTCAGGAAAATGGTTCTGGACAAGATTTGTCTTCTAAGCCTCTTCTTGCACCTGGCAGGTAAGGCCCTTTCTTGTGTTTATGTATTTATTTAGTGACTGACTTCCTATCTATATCACCCAACAGCCAAAGCTAGTTGGGTGGTTCACAAAATAAGGTTAAAACCATGAAATATACAAATAGAATGAAATGTAGTATAAAAATCTGAAACGGCCACAGAATTAAACCAAGATAAAGGGCAAGGCAATAGCACTGTAAGGGTCTAAAGAGACATTTTTTCAAAAGTGGAAGACCACAAAGCCTGGGAGAATAACAAGGCCTTTGACCTGGTGCCAGAAAGAAACATGGCAACACAGGTGCTGGGCAGCTGCTCAGGAGAGGGTATTCCATAACCGAGGCCTTCTTTCTAATAGCCACTGAAAAAGCCCCTGTAGTAGCCAACTCCCTCATCTCAGAGGGATGGGGCAGAGGGATCCACAGAAGGGCTTCAGAAACTGACCTTAGGACTCCACAAGGAGGTGACTGAGAGAAGGGAACCTGAAGGGGTTGCAGCACTAGTGGTTACAGCTTGGCGGCATGGTAAAACTTGCCTTCCTGGATGCCTGCAAGAAGCATCCCAGTGTCCACAGAATGGACTGACTGCTCTTTCTGAGGAGTTCTAGACAAGAAGACCCAAGCTTCCTCCAGCAAGAACTATCTTTGCATGCATTATCTTTACTCTGATTCAGAGCGGCTGCTCCGATAGTGTTCTCCTGCAGTCCATGATGGAGGATCTGCTATGGAAACAACTATAGGAGGCAAGGCAAGAATCCATGTAGGGATCAGAACCTGCTCAAAGCCCTCTGCACATCCTTTTTGTTGTGTTGCCTTTGTCCAGGACCAGCTACCAGCTGGGCTGTTATTTTTTTAGACTTGTCCACCAGACTCCTCAGCGCAGTTTGACCATGCTCTGGATGAGGGGATCCCTGGAGCTCCACAGAAGGTGGTCTAGGAATATAAAAAATTCTTGGAGAGGCCATGATGTACAGCTGCATTCGCTATTTCCATCACATTCTCTTTGTAATAATAAGTCCATGCAAAGTCATGGCTATGGATGGCTAAACAATCTGCTTCCACTGATCTGTATCATTTTTTTTTAATGTATTTGTCCCTCATGGTCTGTCCTATTTCCACATTAACCCAAAATCTTAAAAAATGCCCAGAAGTTCACTTAATTATGTAATACAAATAGTTTATCTCAAAATGCATGTTTCTAAATGTTTTTTGGGTACTGGTTTTGATCTGAGGACTGCATTGGAACATTCTGAAAGTGCAGAAGTCAGTGGCTAGCAAAGTTCCGATTTGCCCATTAGTCCAGAAAGTGCACTTCATGTAGGAATTCACAAAGACAGAATACCTTAAGCATCCCTATCCATGGCCATCCAGGCATGGAGCCCCATGAATAAAACATAGGAGAAATGCCATCTAAGGAGCACTACTCAGTGATGCTCTATAAGCAATAGGCTTTCTGAGAGAATTTGAAGGGAGAAAGAACTGCCAAATGGCGGAGCACCTTTGCTAAAAGAGTCAACGATGGGATGATGGAGGCATTGTCATATTTGGTGCACAATCATACATGTCCTTTCCATTTAGAAAAGTTCTTTCTCAATCAATCAATCAATCAGTCGATTAATAACAACATCCTGCAGATTCCTTACATCCTGCACAAAACTGTCTGTCTCAAAGTACTTCAGTACACTTGGGGGTGTGATAGATTGATTGTCATGTATGTTCTATAGCCCTGCTCCAACAAGATTTGTGTATATGAGTTCAGGGGTGCTCATGCATTTCCAAACAGGTTTCCAAACACTCCAGACAGGTCTTGGAGTTTGTTTGGCAAGAAAATAGCATTACGCTACATTGTGGCCTACTCTAGCAACCCCGGCAGGCAGACTATCCTTCAGAGAGGATCGCAATCCAGTTTAGGCACAGAAAAGTAATCAGTAATTGAACCCTTCTTGTGCCTCCACTCCCACAGACACACACAGGCCTTCTTCCTGAGATTTTCTCCCGCCTTTTGGGCCCACCTTCCCACAGACATCTCTCCTCCTACTACTAGGGGTTGCATTTTAAAGTTACACAAAGCATAACAGTCTTTGAAACAACAACATGGAGAAAAGGATTAATCTTTGCCGTCCTAATCTAGCTATCCCCCTTCCCTATCTTGTTGCTGCACTTTGAATAAAACGTAAAGCAGAGGTGGAGTGGCATAGGCCCCGGAGCCAAATCTAGCCTGCTGGAGGGCTAAATCCAGTCCTCTATGGTTCCCCAAAAGAGTTCACCCCTTTCCCCAGACCACCAATTCTTTGGTGATTTCCCATCTCTTAGGGCATTTCCCCTGATTCTAAAAGGCTGACCTGCCTCTCCTAAGGCTTAGTTACTGGAGTTAAAGCTTTAAGCTAAAATATGCAGAATCTTTGCTTTATGTCCCACCCTCTATTGGAATACAGGCCTCAAGAGATTTTCTGAAATTGATTTTAGTACTCAGGCTGAAACACTTTCCCTGAGTGCGATGCAAAGAGAGAGAAAGGCATTCACATAGCTTCACGGAAATGCAGTTACCCACCAGTGTGGAGGATGTGAATTCAAACCAAACCATGGATGCAAAATACATTCTGTGAAGCGCCAGGATGTAATTATCTCATTTCTGAAAAGTTATATCAAAATGTCATAGCTAAGAAAGTGACTCAAAAGCTGTGAGCCTTGTGGGGCACAGGAGCATCACGGGGGCTTCTTTACACAGACTTCGTTATTGGGTGCTTCTGATTCCTTGTTCACCATAGTTTGTGGGGACATCATCCCTCTCCACGGCCTCTCCTGTGCTTTCTACCCAGTCCCATGGCTTAAAAAAAAAAAAAAAAGCAAGGAAAATCAGGTATTATTTGAAAATGGTGGAAGGCACAAGAATGAAAAGCCGTGCATTTTTGCAGTTCCACTGTACACACCTTGTGGATGTGTAATGGAACATATAGAAAGACAGAGAAAGAAATTCCCCCAGTAGCTGTGTGATATGTGTAAAGGAGCCAGACTGAATCCTCAGTAAAGCCACACCTTAAAAGCCTCATGTAGAGAAGCCCAGAGAAGCAACTGAGAGAGAAACAATGTGGTGTTCAAAGTCCTGCCTAGTGGTAATAATACAATCCCAACTCCTGAAAGGAAATAATGTGCCACTGACATAAAGATGATTTTCACATGTCAATTACCTGTATATTTTGCTGTATGTACATGTGCACAAAAGGTATGCTAACTATAATGGAATTTGTCACATATGTAGCATTCCAAGGGTATTAATGTACTGTCCAGTCATTAAAATGATCCCCAGGTTCTTTTCCAGACTCAAACAAATGTAAAGATAAATATTTTCACTAATAGATTATTATTTGTTTTCCAAACTACACTCTGTATCCTGAGACAGAATAATAATATTGTTTTTGTGTATTAGATAAGGACTTCCTACTGTTCTAGGGAAACACAAACAGATGGAGTACTATTCAACACCCTGCTATGTGTATTAGCAATGGTTAAAACAAGAAGCATTTTATTAGTAATATAGACTATACAAGGGAACCAAATACAAAATATTATTCTGCAAATACTGAGGACAGATACATGCAAAGAGAGTTCTAAGTTTATCTACAATTGGTCTACATTCAGTGGCTTAACAATGCAGATGAGAAATGTGAAGGCCCAAGGAAAAAAACAGGGGAAATGTTTTCATTCCCCCTCCCCCTCCAATGTTTCCTCTTTCCCTAGTACCGTCTCCCTGGACAACACGTGGTGGCTGGCAGGGTGGTGGACACAATGCACCCACTTTGCATGGCTGCTCCACACCGCAGCCGGTCACTGTGGAGTGTGGGAAGAGAGCCACTGCATGGGGAGAAGAGGCATTTCCCTCAGTCTCCCTGGGGCTGAGAATAGCCCCTCTACTAGCCATGCAATCACTCTTCCCCAGAAGGGTCAGATGACCCTGTTAGCCCCTCTCAGGTAGAGTAGTCTACTGAGTTTTAGGTCTATACTGAGAAACTGCCTCACTTGAATGCCAAAAACATTTTCCAGGACTGAGGCTGGGATCCTCCTTGATTCTAGAGCAGGGATGGATAACTTGTGGCCATCTAAAATTCCCTTCACTTACTATTGGGTATGCTGGCTAGGGCTGATGGGAATTGTAGGTCAAAATATCTGGAGGGTCACAAGTTGCCTACTCTTATTCTACTGCCAAAAATGGACCTGGCTGATGGAACAGATTGTGTGAATTGCTTTGGACTGTCCTTGTCCATCAACTAACCCCCTTATTTGATTCTTCCGATGCAGGAGCAATTCTGGATATCACTCTGATGGCCACTGTTTTGAGTCCCTCCCACACCAGTTTCTACCTCTCCTGTGTGACAGGCGAACGGAATGCCAGCCTCCAGATTGACAGAGACAATAAGATTGTCATGATCCCTCCCAAATCCAAATCCCGGATGTACAAGAACAGCAGCAACGAGGTGCAGATGCGAGGCTTTTCCCGGGCAGACCTGGTGGGCATCACATATTGCTTGGGGAAGACCCAGGCAGAACAAACCAGGGTAGTGTATGTACACAACAACATGGATGGTAAGCTTTGAGAAAGAGTCACATGACCCATTGAAAAGATGTACAGATATTTGGTTTCTAAAGAGCAAGATTTGTTCTTTCTGAGTAATAGGGAGATGTCCCTGATGAAGTTAATATTTGTTTCCCTATCTCACTGTGATAAGAGCATGGCTGATGTAATGGCATTCCTTCCCTTTCTGTTCTTACCAGGGCTGGGGGGAAGGCATCACTCTGTCAACCTGTTTACATACCACAACAAGGAAAAACAAGTATCCAACAGGGGGGTACTGTTGTTTCAAGCTAGAGTCATTGTGCTGATTTCAAGAGTTGGCATTCTTCTATCAGTCAGTCAGTTTGTCTTTATTCCTGGGATGTTCTCTTAACCTCAGGCCAGCCTGGTTATTGATAAATATTTGTAATAGGCAAAATCTGGAGCTACACCAGGCTGCGCTGGTTTCCACTTTGAGGGGATATATTTAGTAGTCCCCCACCACTTCCACTTCCTCCTCACCACTGATGCTGCTGCCCATTCACTAGTCTCTCTATCTCAGCCTCATCTGCACTCTCTTCCAAGGGGAACTGAGAAGATCAGGCAGGGTATAATATACCACCTCCTTGTTCTTCTCAGTTGGAAAGGGCAGATGAGCACAGAGCAAGGAGGAGGAGGTCAAAGGACTGAAGCAGTTTGTCACTGAACCTGAGTAGATGACTGAGAATGCCATCTCTTGACACCAGAATAACTCTGACCAGAGGTAATGGTGCTTCCCTTGCACCTATAAAGACACTTAATAGTCTCAGGATAGTCAATAGCCTCAGAACCACTTACCAAGAAAGGAGTACCACAGAATTAGACACAGAGAAGAAACCCACAACACACTCACACAAAGGGATACAAATGGAAGTGCTAAATCAAGGACAACATCTGGTTATTGTACAGGAGGTATGAAGCCGTATTCAGTCAAGATGAACAAATCCTGACTGGTTCCAAGCAGATCCTACAGTTTAAGGTCAATTGCAACAATGCAATTGACCTTAAACAGCAGTTAGGTGCTTGAAATTAGGTGCCTGAAACCAATTTAGTTACGCATACTTATGTTGGGCTACAACCTTGATTTATTCCAAACATCTCTTTGGAAAAAGCAGCAAAACATGACATGCAAAGGAATAGTGGCATCGTGGCATTTTTAGGCTCAGTAACCAGATACATAGGGCTCATAATTAGTTTCCAAGTACAACCCACTTAATAACATATACAATTATATCTTATCTGGAGGCAACCAAGAGAGTTTAATCTGCACATTTCCTGCAGGCATTACTAAGGCTCTGAAGAAGAATTTCTGAATTCTATGGCAGTATTAATTCAATTAGGCATGTGGATAATTCATCTAGTGAGGAAGATAGGTGCCAGTCAGGTAATTTAAGTGAAGAACACAGAAAGAAGGACTTGTTTCAGATAAGAAAACTTAGATAAGACCCCAAAAGGCCTTTGAAGTACATGGGAAATTGATTTTAGTGAACCAGAACAAAACCTTCACTAGAAATCAAGAAAGTAAATGCACTGTAAAAGTTATACACACTTTTATTCTCTACTGATAACTTGGAAAATAGCATTCATAGGACCCAGTCAGCCTGGCCAATGGTCAAAGATTATGGACATTGTAATCTAAGACATCTTGAGGGTACCAGATTTGTCTAAGGCATGGCTTTGGGAAATACATTCATAGGGAGAATTTTCAGGGAGGGATACTGTAGTAGTAAGAGGTAGAATAATTTTATCAAACTCTTTAAAAAAGGCGTTTGAAGGGGCTGTTTCTCACATTAGGTCGTGGACACTGATGTATTTATCTCACATACATGTTCTCTTGCCTTCCTTGTAAAAACTGGATATTCATGCATCTATCATCGAGCCAGTGTGGTGTAGTGGGACTCACTACATGCGACTGGAACTCAGGCGATCTGGGTTCTAGTCCCCACTCAGCCATGGAGCCAACTGGGTGACTCTGGGCCAGCCACAGACTCTCAGCCCAAACTCCTTCACAGGGGATAAGATGTGGGGATAAGATTGAGAGCAGGAGAAGGAAAATGATGATCTGCTTTGAGTTCTTAAAAAAAGGTGGGCTATACATCTAACAATAAATAAATACATTGAGCATGATGAGGTGTTCAGAAAAATGCTGGAAAGCCGAGACATAAATGCACCGGCAAGTGCAATCCAGAAGAGTAGGACCCACTCATGACCAAGGAAGAGAAAATGCTCCAGGCCCTGCTGTCTAACCAAGACCATTTTCTCTCTGGCTCTGCAGCCCACCTGATCCCAGAGAAGGTGACACACACCATCAGCCTCTCTCAGCCTGCCACGCTTGTTGCCAAGATCAAGCACAGGAAGAATGCAGACATCTTGTGGAAAATGAATGGCAAGTGCTTTCCTCCCCCACTTGTATGGCCCTGGTGAAATCGACTGCCTCCTCCAGAAGTCCCTCTTCCTGCAACAATGATCAAAGCCTGACTGTGCGGAGGTGCGGCCAGCCAGGCATCCTCTGTGGCAGCTGTTGGGCCATCAACATGCAGGCAGTCTTCCCATGAGCTAGAAGGGGATGCCTTGCGCTGCTTTTTCAGTTCTTCTTCTACCCCAACTACTCTCCCCAGTGCTCCCCTCCAGGCTGCATGGACAGCTGTCCAGACAGCCCATCACATTAGCAGGCTTCTTCAGAATTCAGCCCTCATGCTTTCTTGCCTGTTTCTGTCTCTCATGCAGGCACCTACTGCGGCACCATGGATCAGGGAGAGGTGAAGGAGAGCCGTTCCACTCTGACGCTGCCATCTGTTAGCATGGCGGATCACGGGATTTATAGCGCCACATTCATGGGGGACAGCCCCTTGTCAAGCGCCTTCTTCAGGTTGATTGTGCGAGGTGAGGGAGTGCAAAGCTGAGGCAATAGCTTCCTGTCCACCGGCACACTTAAGTTGTTGGTCATGGACACTTCTTGGAACGTTAGATGCGAAGGAGGCCAGGGCTCCTAACTTGTACCTTTGGGGAGTGTGGGATAGGGGGAATTGCAGCAGCTGCCACTTTACCTGCATTTACATGGCATCTGTTCCCTGTGGGAAGGAAAGGAGCAAGGGGGATAGGGGCAGGCCAAGGGAGCATCAGGCTAGCTGGCATCATCTAGGAGCATCAGAGGTTGGCTTCTGCTCAAACAGAGCTGGATGTGTCATTCAGGCACATGACTCTTGTTGCATTTCTTGCATCTTACAAATATTGCATGCCACTTAGAGGACTGCACTCAAAGAGTGGGATATAAATCTACTGAATAAACAAACGAACCAGAGTATAGATCTGCTGAGATTCCCTTTTCTATGCAACAACCAAAGTACAGGAGCCCTAGTTGTGACTTCCTCCTCCTACCAAGCTCTTGGGGCTTTTTTCATTGTTATTAGGTTATCCTATTACTGCTGGTCCACATCTACAACATGTATTTCCCCAGTAAATTCTGGTAAAGGAAATGAAGGGTGTGACCTCATTGCAGTCCGTCTTTTCCCCCAGCCTCCTCCTCAGGCTGCCAGTAAACAGAAGCGGGGAAGTGGTGGCTGAGATGGCGTCGTGCTCGTCTCCTTCTCTTATTAGACTCATCAGGCAGATGCGTTGGGATGGCAGCCACAGACATTCCCACTAATATCTAGTCAAGTCCTTGGCTGAGGTACAAATATGCTGCCTACATTACCAACCGTTTCCATTGGTATGTGAGCTGTGTGAGCTGCACAAACAACAAAGAGTCGTGTGGACTTTAAGACTAAAGCTGCAATCCCTATACACACTTACCTAGAAGTAATTCCCATTGAATACAATGTGACGTTCTTCTAAGTGAGCATTGGATTACACTGTAAGCTTGATCCCAGGCAGCAGACTGTCAAGCTATGAATGAAGGAGACATTAGTTCAGTTGGTGGTGGTGGTTATTATTAGCTTTAGGTAGATTTCCCTAAATTTGCACATTTGAACCAACAAGCAAGCTGAAATTCAGTTATCCTTCAAAATTCACACTTATCTTAATTTTTCCAATAGAGTTCTCCCATTTAAAAAAAATCCCAAATGCGATATACAAAAATTTATTTCTTATAAGAAAATGCACTCAAAATGCACATATTCTTGAAAAAGAAGTTAAATTGCATCAAGTTAGGAAAACTGCTTTAAAAAAACATCTGTATGTTGGACAATGTGGCGTACAAAAAAAGTTTTATATGCACAAAGTTTTTCATGAACATTTTAAAAATTCTCAAAGATGAGGATGACCTGGCCAAACTTAAAACTGGAAAAATGTGCAAGGATCCAAACAAGGTCAATTTAAAATGGTGGGGGGAGACCCAGAGAAACTGAAACTGATGGATTTATGCAGCACAAGACCTAGTGCTGGCAACTAAAAGGCCTTGTGAGGTTCTTCCATCTTTTATTCTGTAGCTGATTTTCTGCATCAATGCAAAAGATGGAAGGGGCAGTATTAAAAAAAATGGAATGAGTGGCGAATGCTATCCCTGTGAATTTGAGCATGACAGCGCCATAAAAGCCTTAACTGTTAGTCTTAGAGAGAGCAATCCCATGCCTCCTAGACTACAGGAATGGCCACAGGAATGCTCAGAGCCCCCCTCTGAGGTAGGAGACCCCATTCCTCCTCCTTGCAGCCAGTGCAGAAAGAACATTGTATAGGCAACTGAGGTTGACCTGAATAAAATACTATTGGAGAAGGGGGAAAGGGGTGTTTTGGAGGGCAGAGAGAGGAGGATGCTGGGGAGGCCAAGATGCAAGCTACCCTGAGCCTCTGCCAGGCTCCTTTCTTTCCCCTCTAGAATGTCTTCACCCCAAAAGGCAAAAAAGCCAGAAAGTGGAAAATGCAGGGTGGGAAGAGAGGAAAAAGAAGATCTCCACTGCCCCTCTTCTCACCGAACATAGGATGATCCGAAGTCTCCTAGTTCAGGGGCATATGATCAATGAGGGCTCAGTCAATAGGACTGAGTGTGCATCATTCATTGTTTCAACATCTGATGATTCTCCATTAGACATGTAAGCAGTTTCCGCTGAGAACTATGGTTGGAGGTGATAGGAAAGCTTTTGCTAGGGTGCCTGGTGGAACATATTTATTTATTTATTTATTTATTTATTTTTGAATTTGTGTGCTTCCCACTAATCCAGATGGATTCTCTGGGGTGCCTTACAGTAAAATACTAAAAACAAAAATAAAAATAAATACAATCATCATAAAAAGTTAAAAAATAAATACCACAATTACAGCAAGTAAGTAGAATAACAGCTGTCAATGTAAATAACAGATTTCAAGAGTGTCCTTGGAAGTATTCAGAAAAAAAGTCTTTGCCTGGTGCCAAAATGAAAACAAGGTTGATGCCAGGTGAATTTCTTTGGGGAGCTTATTCCATAGTTTAGGGGCAGCCACCAAGAAGGTCCTTTCTCTATTAACTACCCCCTTTACCTCCTTAAGAAATGGCTCTTTCAGAAGGACCTCCTGCCCAGATCTTAATGGGCAGGTAGGTATATATGGGAGCAGATGGTCCTTTAGGTAGCCATGTCCTAAGCCATTTAGGGCTTTATATGTCAAAACAAGCACTTTAAATTGGGCCCGGGCTACAACTGCCAACCAGTGCAACTTAGACAAAGCCAGCGTTATATGGCCCGCATGCTAACGCTTGCTACCAACGCTGTGCCCTGAAATTGGACCAATTGAATTTGCCTGATAGTCTTCAAAGAATGCCCCACTTAAAGCACATTACAGAAATCTAATCCAGGTGTTAGCACTGCATGTGTGACTCTGGCCAGGCTCTGTCTATTCAGGTATTGGCAATGTTGGTATATTTGCTGCAGCTGAGGAAAGGTGTCCCTGGCCACTGAGACCACCTGGGCCTCAAGTGATCGGCCTGGGTCCAGGAGCACCCCCAAGCTGTGGACCCTGTCCTCTAGGGAGAGTGGACATCTAGGGCAGGGTAATGACCTACCAACCTGTCAGAACAGCTGCCCACCAACAGCACTTCCATCTTGCCTGGACTGAGTTTCAGTTTATTGACCCTCATCCTGTCCATTATTGAGCTCAGGCACCGGCGTAGGGCAGGTTCAGCAGAAGAGGTGGCTGCCAGGGAGTGGTGCATTGCCAAAGAGGGTGCCGGGAAGGGTGTGTGAACTGACCCTGAACTGGGAGCTGCTGCAGACTCTCCTGTGATCGCTGCTCCCTGATGCTATCCAAGGACTTCTCCATTTCCCTCCCCTTTCCTTTCCACCTCCTGCTCTTTTCACAGGTTGTGCAGACAAGAAATGGGGCTCTTTTTGTGACAAGGACTGTCCTGATTGCCTGAATGGAGGCATCTGCCACCACATTGTGGGCGAATGCATCTGTCCACCAGGTTTCATGGGCACCCGCTGTGAAAAAGGTTAGCAGCACCTCGGGACTGGGGTTGTCTCTGCTCCCCGGACTGGAGTTGTAAATGTGCGCAAAGCATTGCTGGGATCGTCACTTGCTGCAGCCTGAACAGGGCTTAACTGAGGCTCTGCTTATCTGTGTGTGTTATGTAACTCCCTTTGATATTGCCCTGCCTATTTTTAAAAATCCCATCCAGGGCCAGGGCCTGATGTGTGTGGCTTGCTTTCCTCCTTCCTAGATGTCCCAGTGGCAACTCTTCCCTAGGGCATGCTTTCACAACCACTTTTCAGGCGATGTCTTTGGCACATTTGCGTATAGGCACATGGGTGGAAGGGCTGGCTGTGCCTCCTTGGTTGTGTGGGCTGTGCAGGAAGAGAAGTAGTGAGGGCGCACAAAATAAGCAACAGTCTGTCTGTGCATCACAGCATTCAAGACGCCCATGCAGATGAGTATCTAGGGGTGGGAGAAATGCTGCTTTCTGTCATTCGTGGCACCAGGCACGTGATTCTCTTTAAAAATGTCCTAGCTGATGAGGCAAGGACATCCTTCCTCCACACTTATACTCGGCAGGGCTGGGCCACCTTTCTGTCCTTGAGAACTGCACGTGGCTGTGAGAAGTGGCCCAAGGGCGGCATGCTGGTGGGTGGGGTCAGAGCTGGGGAGGGGCGGGGCCTTGATGGGCGGGGCCTTAGCAGGCATCCCCCTTGCCCCTCATGCGCACAGCCTGCGCCTCACCATCGCCAGGCACACAGGGGTCAAATGCACACGTTTATAGGGAAGGAAGTTGAACCAATCATGCATGCTATTCTCTGAAGTAAATCCTGCTTCCCGCCACTGCCGATACTGTAGGAAGCACAAACTTAACAGGGAAGTGGTGTGTGGGAAGGGCCCTCCCGCCATGCCATCATCGCCATCATGCTCCCGTAAGCCCACTGCTCATCTTGAATTACAAAGGGATGATGGCACAGGGGAAGGATTCCCCACTTGTGCTGCTCTGGCCCTGAGAATCGTGCACCACCAGCTGCAGCACGCCAAACAGGTGAGTGGCCGGTCTGGTGGAGCTCTTGTTTGCCGGATGATTTGACCGGGGTGGTGCCAGGGGACAGTGTGGCAGGCAGACGCTTGGGCAGTTGGGCGTGCCACACTGATGGCTTCCATGAGCTACATGAGGTGTGAGCAGAAGGTCAGAGCACCCCATGGTTTGCAGCTCTGCAGAAGAATCAACTGTGCTCTCAGAGGGAGATACTTGGATTTGGCCTTCAACCAAGAGGGCACAGTGACCAACAACGGGGAGCAACTCTCTTCAGGAGTGGTTCTAGCACAACCTGAAGGGATAGAAGGAGCGATGAGTAAATCGCTGATGGTCGTGGTGTAGACAGATTCCTAATGTGATCCTTCTTGCTTTGCAGCTTGTCGGGAAGGCAGGTTTGGGCGAAACTGCCAGGAGAAGTGCCCGAATGAGCAGGGCTGCAGAGGGTTGGCCTTCTGCCTGCCTGACCCATATGGCTGTTCTTGTGCCTCTGGTTGGAGTGATCTGCAGTGTAGTTCAGGTATGTCCACCTGCTGGTTCTTTGTCCCAGGATTTTTGCATGCTCCTGGATGAGATCAGGGGGTGGAAGTAGAGAGGACAGAGACTGGCCTACTTAGAAAGCATCAATAAGAAAGACTGTGTCCTCTGGACCACCCGTCCAAAGCAGATTCCTCCTTTCTTTCCCCCACCTCTCTCCACCATTGTGGCAGCACAAAAATGAGGGATGTTGCAAAGTCCACAAAGGATTCCAGTCCGTCTGGATGTCTATGAATTTGCAGCAAACCATCTTTTTCTGAGTCATGCAGACTTGTGGACTGGTTTGTTATTTTCCAAACTTGTGCCCATATCTAGCCATACAAAAACACAAAGAAAATGAACCAAAAATGCATACGCCCCCTCAAAGACTTAAACATGAACATGAAGATTTGGGGAAAATTTGCACATTTTTGGAAGTGCAGATTTGCACAAGTGCATGCTTTCCAATGTGAACACAATTTTTGCAAATTGAGAGAAATCTAGTTCTATCAAGGAGCGGATAATGGAGCAAAAGTCACCTAAAAATCTGCAAAGCACACATGGAACAGATTTAGCAAAATCTTTACAACAACAACAACAATAATAATCTTTCTGAATACTTGAAGAGTTCAGCTATATCCTCAAATTTCTGCATCATATTTTAAGCAGTAAGTATTACTTTGCTTTATAAAGTCTCTAGTCAACATATTTGATGGTGAAAGTTTATGGAATATGCAGTCCAACAGCAGCTGGAGAATCACGTGTAGCGGGGGGAGGGGGTGATGAATCTGCTTTGCGGGTGGATATCTGTTGGATTCTCTTGGCATGACTCCCCGGACTCTGCCTTGTCATGGCTCTGAGTCTGACTTCCTGGTGCGTGTTTGTGCAGCACTCATCAGGAATGGAGCCCCCCATGAATTGCACAAGTACCATCCCTCTTCTGTGCCTTTCTTTGTGCTGCTGCTCACGATACGAAAGGGTGCCAGTTGCACAACTTTCATTCAGTGAGCATGTGCGGACTTCCTCTCAGCTTGGCTCGCTTTCAAAGATCAGGCTGTGCACAAGAGGAAGTCCATGAATGCCAGAGGGATGGATTCTGCTGAGTTTCATCCCAATGCTAGTCACTTGTTCTCCATCCCTGCCTAATGGAAACTGTCAGTCTCCTTACCAATGGTGGGATTGAACACTCAGACCCATAGGGAAGATTTAAATTGCCTTGAACCCCAGCGTTTTTATTGGTGAGATTAGCCAGGCCTCCTGCACTTTACTTAGGACGGCATGCCAACCGGTAGTGGTCCTCACAGTCTACTACAAGCTTTTAGAAAACGCACAGAGTGTTTTATAGGTTCTGAGGCACATGTGCAAGCAGAACAGGTGATGACAAAATAAGGGGAATGCAGTGAAAAAGAATGTGAGAGATCTGCAGAGGAGACTTAATACAATAGCATTGATTACAATAGCATCCCAAGACGCTTGTACTGGACGGCCTATAAAAACTTTTAATTAATTAATTAGTAGAATTACAAGAGAATAACATAACGATCACTGAGGCACAGGTTTTATTGTGGGTCTTGGCATGCAAATGAGGGTAATTTTATAACACAAAGGGACATATAAGCAACCTTTCTCTACCAGGATTTATCTGAGTTTTCCCAACGAAACCAACACTGTAAAATGAATGCATTGTGACCAGAAAGGTAACATTTTCCATATCAACTTCCAAAGACAAGTGAGCAGTGGCGATTGCATGGAAAGCAGGGGCTTAAGCAGGGGCTATCAGGAACCAAGGCTACTGGAACAGCATTAAGGAAGGCGAGTTTCACTAAGACACGTCATTAGCGTTTTCATGTACGCTTGTAGTTGCACTGTTACCACTACCATAGTAGTCATGGTAGTCATATGAAAAAAGGAGCTCAAGGACACCTCTTCCATCAATACATGATGGTGCTTTGTACTTCTGTCCAGCTTAGATTGCTTTCACTGTTGGGGCTCAGTCTGGCTGATATCCAGGGGAGAGGAGTTTCCTCCCTTTGTTTCTTTAGAATTGTTTCCCTCCTGCTTGGCCTTAGCAGCCAACACTAAAAGGATCTTTGCGAGCAGGAAATTCTATAGTAGACAGAATCTCAAGAGCAATCCTTTCTCCCCTGTGCTTCCTTTGTTCTTCTCCTGTCTCCAGGTAACTGTTCCTCTGTGTTGTGGGAAGGAGGGAAGGATACTGTAAAGGGAAGCAAACTACCCAAAGCCCTGAACGCATGATATTTTGGATGCCATACTCAGTGGTTGACAGAACACACTATCCTTGACCTGTAAAACCTGATTCATGCATACATCTTAAAGAGTTTTCTTTATCCTTTGATAAATGTCCCCTTTGTTCTTGTACAATTATGCCTTTCCTGTATCACACCCCTCCACTTTGTGCAGAAGAAAACACTCCTGAATTTGTCTTTCCTGAATGTTGGCCTGTACCACTCTGTGATTAGACTCAGGGCTTCTCTACATGAGGCCTTTATTGTGCATTCACACCAAATACACACACACACTCAAAAAATTTGCAGGGCCTCAAAAAATTTCTTATCCTCTAGGGCATTTCCCATGTGTTCCCATCATTTTGATGCAGTTTTCAGAGCAAGGAACGTAAACCATTCAAATTCAAACTGGATTTAAAAAAAAAAAACACACACACACAACTGAAATGCTGTAAATCTTCTATTTGGCTGCTGTACTACAGCACCAAAAATACAGCTTGCTGTCAAAACTCATGAGTCCCTTTTTAAAAGGGGGTTTGTCAGAGCAAGGCATGGTTTTTGATCAGGACAATGGCTGTGAAAAAGCAAAATGTGCATCACCCAGCAGATTCATTCACCAGGGGTTAAACAAAGAGATAAGGCTCTCTGTGAGAGAAATGTATTCAGCAGGTTGACAGCAGGTCCTCCTTGGACATTGCCCCAATGGGGTTCCCACTGGGAGTGGTCCTTGGCACTTGCACAAGTCTGAATAGAAGATAAAGTGTCTTTGAAGATCACAAAGATAAAAAAGTGTGCATGTTTGGAAAATGCTGATAGAAAGGGGAGTGGCCAACCAGGGAAAACCCCTTCAGTGTGCCACTTGGCTACTTTGGAAATGCTGTCGCTGGCAGTTGACAGGGAGCTGCCAGTGACCCGGAGGGAAGGGGTGGATGAGCCTGATCATCTGGGGTGTACACAATGGGATTTTCATGGAACAACCAACACACTGTGGCTTGTTGCTGGGGTGGGTTAGCATGATGTGCGAATTCACCCAATGAGACAAAAACGAGGAAAAAATCCTAAATGTATGCCATGCTATAGAAATCCTAAATTCCATACCAAAACTATGGAAAGTTGCTGAGCAGGAGCCTAAAAACATGCTTCAGATAAACTCTGTTTACCCAAAATATACACAAAAGCTGAAATGCAGGCATAAATCTACTTTCTTGTCTTGACAGTAGTCAACTTAAAAACCCGATACAAGCACATTTAAAGCCGCTTCTCATTCTTTTATGCCTGCACACCAACCTTGGGAGAAAGATTCAGTAGTGTTTCAAGTGCAGCATATGACCTCTGCTAATGCATCCTTCTTCTATAAGCACAGCCTCTGCAACCAGGCCAGAAGAGGCTGACTTGCCTTCACTGTCTCTGCTTTTCCCACAGCTTGTTCCCCTGGGTGGTATGGTCCTGACTGTGCCCTGGAGTGCCGCTGCCAGAATGGAGGCACCTGTAACCGATTCAGTGGCTGTATTTGCCCATCTGGCTGGCATGGGCAGCACTGTGAAAAGTCAGGTAAAAGCGCCATGGAATGTACATTATATGGGAAATGTCAAGCACTTGACACGGTTCTGGAGAACTTCCAGAGGAAGTCCACAAAGGGGTGTGGTCTTGCTCACCTGCTTACGATGACCAACCCATAGAGTTGGAGGGAGGCAGGGGATAAAGACCACAGCATTTGCTGCACTGTTAAAAATCCTTTCTTATTAGTATTGCAATGACTTTTCCTCTATTATGATGTCTTTTGCCAAGACCGGATACCCCAGATCATCAACTTGACCTCGTACTTGGAGTACAACCTTGGCTCCCAGCCTGTAGTGGCCTGCACTGCAACAGGGAACCCACCCCCTGTGCATGACAGCATTGAACTGCGCAAGGCCGATGGAACAGTGATCATGGTAAAGTACCCCCAGACTCCATCCAGTCCCAGTGCCCTAAGTGTGGCCCTCTCCCTGCTTCTTGAGCCCCCTCCTGCCGATGCCCAACGACAGCTCGATGTTTCTGACAGCTGTTAAGCCAGACATCCTTAGTCACCCTCCTCCTTCTGTACGCTTCCCCAGATGCTCTTGCTGGTGCTCCTTCTTCTCATCATTGCCACCACTTGCTTGGCAGTGGCATCACAGAATCATATAGTTGGAAGGGGCCCAACAGGCCACTGGGTCCAGCCTCCTGATCAAGGCAGGATTCATGTATCCCATCCAAATTCCAACCAGGCCGGACCCTGCTTAGCTTCTAAGATTAGGCAGGATCAGGCACCTCAACCTACATGGAACCTAACTCCTGTTCTTCCTTCTCGCTACCTCTGTTGGTTGGCCAGAGGGAGAAGCAGGTGAACAAGTTGGTTGCCAGACCTCCTCATGTACTGCATCCTCTTCTCTCCATCCATCTTTCTCACTCTATCAGGACTTGTTTTCTGTTCATTACATCAAAAGGTGTTCAGTCAAGTGTACTGCGAGCTAGCAACTGCCTCTGTTCATAGAAAGAATAAATACATTTCAAACAACATAGTACATCAGATGTTCCCAACCTTTCTGGATCTCAAGGGTCAATGCAACACAATCAGGGCCCCCCACACACACGAGTGCTTGTGCACACACCCAGTACCTACCTGTGATACTGGCCATTTGTCCTTTGCTGTTGGTGGCACAGAAAGAAGGAGCATCTCTGGGTGGGATGTGTGGAGAGTGCAGGGAGGAAGATTTGGCAGCAGTTGCAGAAAAGGCCTCGGAGGGCTGCCTGCGTCCCCTGGGCCACTGGTAGTGTATCCTTGCTTTACATTAATTACACTCATGCTGAAGCAGCCATGCTAATGTATCACATCTGAGTGTCCTGGCCCTGCTATAAACCAGGGGTGGGCAGACTCCTGGCTTCTGCAATTCACTTTGTTCTGTACCAGAATCTCAAGTCCCACTGCATGCCTGGGCTAAGCAGTGGCCTGGGAGTAGAATGAAGGCACAGGGAACCCCTGAGCATATATTCAGTCCAGGCCATTGTTCTGAGCATCAGGAATGAACTCACTAGCAGTCCTTTCATACAAAGACCTCTTCCTGATTCCCACTTCCCAAATCCTTTGATGTTCAGCAGCCAAATATAAGGCATCCCCAAAATATTTGTACTGTTGCTTGGTTAAATGACTGCCAGTCAGATGCTCCTGGCTACAGTAGATTTTTCATAAGATAGCAACCCAACTATTCCCAAACAAATACATTAAATAAAAGCAAGAATTAATAATCGAGAGGGCATTACACTGGAAACATCCTCTGTTCCTCCACTCATCGCACTTTGCCATGGGTGCTTTTTGTCCCCTAAATCAGAAAAAGGAGACCAACTAAAGTTAGACCCACATGGAAATGACCAGGGCCCAGAAGACAGACTCCTGGCAACTGCCCCGAAGCAAGTCCTGTTCATTAGAACAGTTAAAGTGGCTTTTACATCCATGGCCCTGGCCAGCAACATCATGGGATGCATACAAGTTACCACTACCACAGTCTCCCATATCTTTGCTAATGACCTTATGAGATATCAGGGTGAAATCTAGGGAAGGCAACCAATGCCTGGGAGCTTCTACGGCACTCTCTCCCTATCCGGTGCTTTCCAGATACTTTGGTGTTGACAAGGATGGGGCTAGGACCAGCCGGCCGTGCTTCCCAGTGGAACTGTAGTTCATAAGCAGGAAACATAGGATATGACTGTGCTCTTCTCTCACATCCAGCATAGGAAAGCCATCATGGAAAAGGACACAACTACCTTTGAATTTCAAATGCCCGCACTGGTCCTCTCTGACACCAGCTTCTGGGAATGTCGTGTCTCGACCACAGGGGGGCAAGATAGTGGCAAGTTCAAGGTCAATGTGAAAGGTGAGAAGGCTGTGCTGGTGAGAATTTGGGGCTCAAGCCATTCATATTTTGCTTCCAGGAAGTGGGAAATCAGTAGAGGGAGGGAGGCAAGACACTAAATGTTGCTGCATGGAGTTTACTCAATTTTGCTTAACTGGGTTTTTGTTCTGTTTTGTTTTTGATTTGATTTGTTTCTGATCCAACTTTGCTCATACTTGGCTAAGACATTCTACAATGCTTTTCCAGGCAATGGGAGGCTATCATGGGAAGGATAGTATCCTTGTCATGTGGTTACTAATTTTGAAGGGAAGATACCTAGAAATAGAGCATTAACCTGGGACAGGATGTGAGCTGAGTATGTGTCAAATTCTATTCAAGGAAATAGCTCATGAGAATTACCTGCTGATGATCTGTTCTGAATGTTCAGATCAGCTTTCTCCCAAGCACAAAGGTGAAATTCACACATCTGCTGTCTGCTTGTTTGGCTGGTTCATGATGGAATGATTCTTCAGCACTGACATTATTCTTTTTGCCAGTGCCTCCTGTGCCACTAAGCCCGCCCAGACTTCTGGCTAAGCAGAGTCGACAACTTGTCATAGCCCCTGTGGGAGATTTCTCAGGTGATGGGCCCATCATCTCCATCAAAGTTCTGTACAAACCCCAAACAGGCACTTCTCCCTGGTCATCCATTGTAGGTAAGGGGCTTGCTATTTGTGTCCTCTATGCTATCTGCAGGGTTCTCTCCATTCTGAGTCGGCTGTAGCTTCAGTTCTTTTCAACCATAGAGAGGAGCGCCCAGTAAATTCCACCTCAATGGGAAGCAACACAAGGCTTCTTTAGGCAGATCCTTCAGCAGCAAGGCAAGGGGCTTGGGAGATCTGGGTGATGTATCCTAGACCCACTTGAGAGAGACTGATACGTTCCTGAGACACACTAGATAAGAGAAGAAGAAGAAAGGCTGGGCAGATCACAGACTTGTGGATCCCAATGAGGTCCCACACAGGGACTTTCTGCAGAAGGGAATGTGTAGAGCAAGTCCTGTAACAAGAGATCCTTCTACTAACAGATGCTAATCTGATCAACAGTTGACAATGCCCAGAACATCACCCTGATGAACTTGCGACCTGCCACGGCTTATCTTGTTAAGGTGCAGCTTACACGCCCTGGAGAGGGAGGGGAAGGGGTCCCTGGCCCCCAGGCTATCATGCTAACAGAGTGCCAAGGTCAGTATCTAATTCTCAGTCAGCCAAATCTGTTAAGGAATGGGTGGGTGGGGGGAGGTGATGTGGGTCCTATGTTGGAGTATGCTACAGTTTTTTCTTTGGAACAGCTGCATCCAGGATATGGAAAAGGAAATGGGCCTGTTTATCATGGCTTGGACTCAAGCAGCAGGATACGTGTGTTGTCCCTCCATCCTTCCAGTCTGAGAAAATATACCCAGCACTTTGAATTTCCTTTCCCCACTCCGCAGCACCTCTCACCTCTCTCTCTCTCTCTCTCTCTCTCTCTCTCTCTCTCTCTCTCTCTCATCAATTTTTAAGACAACACGCAACTGAAATCACTACATACAACTGTTGCAAATTAACAGTTGGGGTGTTTCCAGATGGATGCTTGGTCCTAGTGCTACCTCTCAGAGGGTCTTGTGCAAAAGACCTGCATTAGAATGTTTATGTTTTCACTCTCACACACAGAGAGATGCACACAGACATGAAACACATACACCACAGAGAGAGAGAGAGAGAGAGAGAGAGAGAGAGAGAGAGAGAGAGAGAAGCCTGTGTTAAGGGTCTAGTCCATGCTGAGTAAGGATAGGCTCAAAATGGTTTGCTCCCAGGTGCAATTGGCACCAGAGTCTGGCTGAGGGGTTCCTATTTCTGCATTTCACACAGAGCCAACAGCCAAGCCTGTGATTGAAGGCTCCTTTGTTGAGGAGACCAACAATCTCCGTGTGACCTGGAAGCTGCCCAGTGGTGATACTCTGGGTTCTGGATTCCTTGTCCGGCTCTATGACACAGCCAAAGAGCTTGTGTATCAGGAGAACATCACCTCCATGACTGTGCAGTCTGCGTACATCCCAAACTCCAAGTTCCAAAAGGACTACAGCTTGAGTGTGCTGGTCTACCACTGTACCAGCCTGGGACCACCATCTGACCTCCACAAGATCAAGATCAACAGCAAAGGTAGGCCATAGGTCTGAAAAAATCTAGTTTGCTTCCCATTGCTTAGTAACATAGGAATTTAAGATGCAGTCTTACACCACTAGCAACTCTTGGCAGTGTCACTACCTGGGGTGGGCATTACTGATGTAACTGGGAGGGCAAGGAGTGATGGAACAGAGCCAATTCCAAAAAGTCCAATCTCTGTTTTGCCAGTCTCTTGCAAGGGCCAGCCAAGGTTACCCTTCCTGCCCTCAAGCTTTGAAGATGCCAGCCATGACATGGCCAAGATCCAGTCTGGAGGCCATGGGGAGCCCACTGGGGTGGGGGGGGGTGAGAGATTAAAGTGGTAAAAAGGGCAGTAGAGGCAGGGAGCCAGGAAGGGGGCTGATGGATTGAAGACACAGAGAAGGTTTCCCTTTTTTCTCTCTCAGAATATGAGAATGTCGCTGTGGCTTCCTGAGTATGGCAGGCTGGTGCAGAACTGGGCCTGTTTTCCCCAGATCTGGCAGTTTAATGGCTGGAGGATGTTTGTGTTGTGGTCAAAGTGGACCAAGAAGCAAGGGAGGAAATTAAGGATCCAGTCTAGGATGGAAGATTTCTGGAGGCCTGCTCCATCACTATGGTAATAGGCTGGGTTTATTTACCGAACCGAGCAGCTGGAAGGTCAGGGTGACGTTGCTTGAAAGCTTGGAGGTGAAGCCTGCCTATGGGGAGGAGAGCCTGGTCTTTCACTGGGTTTCCAGCATACCCAGAGGACCAGTCTACCAGACTATGTGAGTGCAACCGAGAGCCCTTCTCTGAAGGGCACCTCTAGACCACAGCCAAATCTTTTGCTGAATGCTGACTTTGCACGTAGCTCAAGTGAGGGAGCTCCTCTGCTGCTTATGAAACCTTGACCCAGAACTGGATCATCTATGAATGATTTAGCACTGAGTTCCCCATGAGCATGCTGTGCTGAACAGGTAAGAGGTGGCCCCTTCTGGCCACACTCCGCTCCTGAGATGGATGGCCCTCCATGCCAGTTTGGGTGGCCTAACTATCCGAGGCCAATTGAGCTTCTTCCATGTTGAGTACTGTTGAATTTATTACTTAGAGGTGTTCAGTCATAATCCTACTGATGGTAACTTGATAGGCAGATGATAGGCAAGCACATAATGTCTGAACCTGAGAACCCTTTGTATTGAGCAGGATTACTATCCATCACAACAACTCATCATCCATAGGATAAAACTAACTTGTCTTGCAATGTGCTTAACCCAGCTTACATTCCCTAGTGGGTGAGCAACCCAACACATGAAGGGATCTGCTTCTCAAGGATAGGAACAGCTGCCATCAAAGGATCAAAAAGCAACATTGCTATGAATGTGTGGCCACCACAAGCCAGCTCTCCCCGTGGTAACTTTTGTGACCCTTCCTGCTTAAAATACAAAAGGATTTTAAGGATTGTGAGGCCCCAGTTTCATGGTCTGTGTTCATAATGAAAATCAAGCTTTTGCCCTTCTGTTCTAAAGGAGGTGTCCCTCCTTGAGCTTGCCATAGGACACCTGCATTACATTTGGACAGGTGTACCACACCAGTCAAACTGTCTGCCTGATGGCATCTCTGCAGTAGGTTGCTGGGTACTTGGAGCTGGAAACAAGAGAGCCTTGAGGCTCGCCTCCCACCAGTCTCACCAGGCAAACAGGAGGATGTTTACTACACATCTCATGCTGCTTCACGGCACCAAACTACAGTCAACTCAAACTAAGCTTGTCTTTCCTTGCTGATTCTGCTGAACCCATTTATTGGGGCCTGGTTCCCTAGACAGTACCTAGGGACAATGGGAATCATGTCCATCCATTCCTGCCTGTCACTAATCAGATTAAAAGATGAGGCATTAGGCTGTGAAGTTACACTGATTTAACACCAGCTTCTATCTGAGTTGCTGGAGAGCTAACACTACCTTAATGACCCATCCATCTTTGATTAAGCTCAAGTCAAAGCCTTGTGAAATCATGGCCCTCCACAACTGTGATGCTACAGTCCTGATGCTACCTGAGCTTGACCGAACTCTTTCACCTTGACCTTCAGAGCACTGGGCAGAAATCACACCCATCACAGGCCTTCATGATCTATATTTTAATTGCACAGTCAGATTCCCCAGGTCTGCCCTAGTTCTATGCCAGCTGCTAGGTGCCAGCCAAAGTGAAATGCCCATCTGACCCAATTGTGTGAGGGAGGAGCACTGGGCAAAACCCATCACGGCTGAGATGACCCACAAGAAAGCCCTGACTCACTCCATAGCTGCTGCCATACCATCCTCTGGGTGGGAGAGAGCAGGCAGCACTTCAAGCCCTGCACCAAGCTCAGCCTATCCCACCCATGCATAGTGAAGGTCTTCTGTACACCACCTTCTTCTATGCTCTAGCATAGGAGAAGGAGAAAGGGCAGGGCTTTTCTTGTTAGTTTCTTTCTAATGTGCTTGAATTCAGTGGTCATGATGTCTGATCTAAAGTTGCAGTTGATTCAAATCCCCTGACCTTGTCCAGGTGCGTGCAAACATCACCACCCGGGGGAAAGGAGAGCACTTGAGCACCCCACTGCTGGCAGCCTGAAAGGGAGGAGGGCAGCCGTGATAGTTCTTGGATAGATGGAAGCACACCCAGGGAAGAGAGAGGCCTCAAGGAGGCAGGATGGTATCTCAGTGGGCAGGTGTACAGAGAATGCTTCCCTCCCCGCTGCGGCTCTGACTGCTGTGTGTCGAGTCCTGCAGCCAGCCTGGAACAACACTCAGGAACTGAGCTTGGGAAAGCACGGTGGCCAATGGGCTCACCACGCAATACAGGATGAGCTCCTTGGAACAGGCCTTGCTCTGGGGAACCAGATATGGTCTTAAGGGTATGGAGGCCCCATAGCCTCTTTGGCCCCCAATGAGGCAAATGAAAGTAAAAGCGACATCTGTGAGGGACCTGTCAACTGTGCACCAGGCTGCCTTCATTGTATGCCTGGGTGGTACCTATGGGCAATTGACCTTCAAGCAACACTCAGGCTGCTGTAGGCCTGGGAGAAACACAGGGCCGCAAGCATGTTCCAAGTATCTACGATCGATATGACTTGTAGTTCACATTATTTGTCACAGCTACCTGCATTCTCCACTAGCACATGAGTTGAGCGTACTAACAGGCTATGGGCCTTCTTGCTCTAGGCAGTGTAGGGTAGACACATGCTGAGCCAGCCAGTGTAGAGCACGTTCATCTAAGAACATCTAAGGCCACTGCAGACCTGTTATAGAACAAGATACAGAATCTCACCTCCTGTGTTACTCATGGCAGCCACACTCCTTTGACTGATGCAGAGTCATGTTTTGTTGCAAAGGTGATGAGAAGGACCCAAGCCTAGCTTCTGTCTGGAGAACCTGGTGTTGTTCCTGATCCTGAATTTGCCCTGGGTGGCTGCATAATGCACAAGGGAGTTCTGTTCACTGATTGCACTATCCCTTTCCTCTTTGCATAAAATGAAATCCCGATGATGCCTTTCCTTCAACTCCTTTACGTTTCGCATTTGCAACCTTACTTCCTGAATGCTTGCTGTAAGAAAGCCTCCCATTTGATGACATCTAGACCATCTGTTTATCTGCTTAATAAAAATAGCCTGCCCTTGTTGAACACACACATCCAGATATGTTCAAAGGACTGGCAAATCATGGAATACACTTTAAGGAATTATATTAGTCACCATCCTCCCAGTGACCCTGCCATGAGCAGTTACTGCATTCTACCTAATCAGAACATGGGTCTGTCTAGCCTAGTATTATGGACACTGTCTCTAGGGCTTAAGGAAGAAAGATTTCCTAGTCCTGTCTGGAGAAGCTAGGGAATGAATCTGGACGTTGTGCATACATTACTGAAGAGTACAAAATCTCAGGTTCAGGCACCAAATCTGGCCCTCCTGGGGTCCCATTCCAGGTTTCAGTGGTTCCCCAAATGTCTGACCCAACTGTTTTCTGGTTTCCCAGATTTCTGCTTTTTTCCCCCATTCTAAATGACTCTCCTAAAGTTAACAGCTGTAAAACTTTCAAGCTAAATTATGCTAATATTTTGCCTCATCCTTTTTTGGTTTTGGACCCCCCCATACACACACACGTTTCCTTTCTGCCCTGTCCATAGGAAAGTGGCCCTCAAGAACTTCTTCAAAAGTTCTTTCTTGGCTTTCGGTCTGAAAAAGGTTCAGTCTTATATTACTGAGTCTAAGTGCCCCCTTCTTTGCAGCAATTTCTACTTCCTTTTCAGTTGGACTTCTATAAACTCCTGAGCAAGCACTGGCATTATGTGCTGCCACAGGAAGCTAAGGGGTACCTTGGGGAAACAGATGCATAACTACCTGCAGTTTCCCAGCAGGGTGGCAACATTATGCTCTAACCCACTTCCTACAAAATAGAATGCTCCATGCCTCAGAGGTCCCCAGGTATTCTGTCCACCTTGGTACGGCATGAATCCTGACTGACAGGGCCCGTGGACAGGAGCTGCAGAGCTAACAGCTGTACCCCTTGCCCCACAGGCCCCTCTTCCCCACGGTCTCTCTCAGTGGAGCCCCTCGCTGACAACACCATCAGGCTCACCTGGCTGGCCCCTGAATACCCCAATGGTGGCATCAGCAAGTACACTGTGGCGGTACAGCCGCTGGGGGGTGCCAGTGGGCCACAGTGGGTAGACACGGACAATGGTTGGGATACCACCAAGATCATCACGGGGCTCAACGCCAGCACATCCTACCAGTTCCGGGTGCGAGCCAACTCTTATGTACCAGGCGAGTGGAGCATGCCTGTGAGAGCTGAGATCCTGGGCAATGGTGAGTGGTGGACAAGGACCACATTTGCTTGGCTGATAATCCAGTGGGTGGAGTCTAATTGGGATAGAAGTCAAGGGCGGGGGAAGGCTGGCATGAAGAAGCCATTGCGACTCCTACTGCCCATGGCCAGGCTGCAGGAAAAAACTGCCTCTAGGCAACCTGGAGACCCAGTGGACCCAGGAAGCAGGACGGTCAAAGCGCCCACCGGAGGCAGGGGATCCATGCCTGTGAAGGGAGGGGCGATCTGGCAGTGTAGACAGGGACAAACAATGACAAAAGCAAGCGGCCATCACCCTTATGTCCACCTCAGCCTGAGCCAGGGGTTCTCTCAGACCTGACAGGACACTCCTAGGCCTTTAGACATAAGGGTTTGAATCGGTACCTTTTATTTCGAGCTCTAGCCCTGAAACTTTAAGCAGCAGTAAACAGAAACATAGAAACAGAGTCAGAAGCCCCCTCCCCCTGGGCCATCTAGTGTGACCCCCAGCTCCAGCCAGCTCTGCTCATGACATGCCTACCATGTGCATGTCTAGCCTATCCTTGAACACCCTCAACCTCCTCCCGTGGAAGCCCATTCCAAGCAGAATGTTCTGACTGAGTGCTAAGTCTTAGCTGAAAGGATGCACACTCAACACTTGAAATACGATTATTTACAGAGGGGAAGTGGGTGAGGGGAAGGCATTTGAGACATTGAGACTGTTTGGAAACAATACTTCAGGCAAAAAAATAATAATTACCTAGAACTGCCTTTTAATAATTATCTCGAACATTACCTAAGCATGAGTCCTCAAATAAGACAAGGCCTAAACTATGACCCTGGGAGTCGCAAGCCAAGAACAAGGCAAAAGACAAAACACATAAAATCATACCAAAGTCCAGCATGATCCCCCCTTACTTTATACCCAAAGCCTGTGATAAATGCAAGGTGAGCCTCCTTCGACAATCCCAGCTGAGCTTGGGGAGTGGGGTGTGGTGTAAAGTTCTGCTTCAGTCTAATTTGGCAAGAACCCTGCTCTGGCCTTGAAGGATCTGGAAACTAGCAAAGCACATGACTGCTCACACAGGCCCATCTTCACTAAATGGAATTTGTGCAGGCAGTCAGATCCCCAAGAGATCGCTTGACAGGATTTCCTGACAATGTCTACATTGCTCTGTGCAGTGGGCTAGCTGGTTCCACCATCATCTCAAGGATAGGCACTATGACAAAAGACCCTGTTCTCTCTCTCCTGCAGGAGCCCCAAGCCAAGTGCCCACACTGAAAAGCAGGAACTTGGCTCCATCCAGCATGGACCAACAGTTGCTGTTGGCCATTGTGGGTTCTGTCTCTGTTACCTGCCTGACCATCTTGTTTGCCCTCCTGGCCCTCTTCCTCATCAAGAAGAATTTCTTCCACCGGCGCCGCACATTCACCTACCAGTCAGGCTCCGTGAGTGATGTTGTCCCCACCGATCTTGGATCCCCACCCTCCAAATGCCCACCCTTCAGCATGCTAATGCTATCAGGCGGTGCATTTGTTGGGACTGCTGCCAACCACTCTCCACAAATGCTTTTCCAGGGGGAAGAGACCATCTTGCAGTTCAACTCGGGCACACTGACCCTGACGCGCCGGCCCAAACCACAGCCTGAGCCACTCAGCTATCCTATCCTGGAATGGGAAGACATCAAGTTTGAAGACATGATAGGGGAAGGAAACTTTGGGCAAGTCATCCGGGCCATGATCAAGAAAGATGGTCTGAGAATGAATGCAGCCATCAAGATGCTGAAAGGTGAGATGTCCCACATAGGTAAGGGATCAAAGAGGTTCCCATGCTGGGCAGAAGCAGACCATCACTGCCTCCTCTGTCGTCCAGCTTGGGGAATAAATCAGGAGAAGTGAAACTTGGGGCCCAATTTCAGTGGTAGCAGGGGCCAAAGGCAGAAGGGGAACAGTCAGAGTAGGAAAACATTTCAACTTTTAGAAAGGGAAAAAACTGCACTAAAGCTGGAATACCACTCAAAGATGGAAGAGGTTGGGGCCAGAGGAAGGGGACCTGGCTAAGAGGGTGCATCTATATCATAAGCTTAAACTGGTTAGACCAGTGTCGTAGCAGTTCATTCTTCCCAGGTTAACTCCATACTTTAACAAAACTGTTGGTAATGAAACTTCAGGATTTTTCCCAGGATTCTTTTGAGGGAAGCCTTGACATAACGGATATAAACCTACTATGTTTGTAGTGTAGACACACCCTTTGAGTGAGACTCCTTTGCTCTCATACACTGATACATTCAAAAAGCCCTTTCAGAGCAATTGATTCTCACACAGTTCTACATCTTACAATGTAGATGTTGTGCATAGATTCTTGTGTGGGACTGGTAAATCTTGAATGCACTACCTGACTGCAGCCAGCGCCCCCAAAGCCTTTCTGTGTGTGTAGTAGCCCAGGGAGTCATCTGTTCCAGTTGCCAGGGTTGAAGCAGGATATGCTGTGCCCAAGATCATAGAGGAAGTCAGACATTAGGGAGTCTTGGGTTAGGTTGGATCAGTATCGTCTACTCCAGAGCTAAACAGTGTGTGACCCTCCAGTTGTTTGGGCCTACAACTTCCATCAGCTGTAGCCAGCATAGCCAGTGGTCATGAATTATGGGGATTGTAGGCCAAATCATCCAGAGGGCCACAAATGGCCCACCCTTGGTATACTCTGACAATGTCTTTCCGAAAGAGTTTTTTTCCCAGTCCTAAATCTTTTACATGTGAAGTCTATGTTCTATCTCTGAGCTGCTCTCTTTCTCAAAACAATTCAAGGCTACTTCACACATTATGCCTGTTTTATACACATACAATATATACAGGCAATGCATTTTGTGTGTACCTGTAAAACTACAGCATGTTCATGCAGCAAAATACACAGGTGGCATACATGAAGCTACCCACTAAAAAGCTAGGATTGGTTGCATCTCCTCATCACATGCACAATAGTGCTCAGCATGGGGACTCCACCCCCAAATATGCAGAAGCAGTACATTTCCCATGTCTCCATTCAGGGAAGGTTTCCTCCTGGGCTCCTCATCCTGGCCCCCCTCTCTAACTTGTCATGTGTTTTAGAATTTGCCTCTGAAAATGACCACCGAGACTTTGCTGGAGAGCTGGAAGTTCTTTGCAAGCTGGGCCATCATCCCAATATCATCAATTTGCTGGGAGCCTGCGAGAACAAGGGTGAGCCATTTTACTAATGGTGTGTGATCATTCACTCATCAGTCAGGGTTCTGTATCTGTCTTCCCAAGTTTCCTGTGTATGACTGTGCAAAGCTTGCTAACTCCTTACTAACTTCCTGCTCCTCCATGTTCCTTTCCCGCATCTAGCTTGCTAAGCGCTGCAGAGCTGTCTCAGTGCTGGCACCACCTAGTGGCTGAGTGAGGTAAAGCAGGCCATGTTTCCTGTAATCCTCTTGCATGTTTCAACTGTCATTCTCTGCCTCAGGATACATACTTGGGTATCCCATGAGTTATCTCCATTTTCTATCCAATCATTCTCAAGATCCTCTTTCCTTTCTCAACCCAGAATTTTCTAATATAGTCAAGTTGCTGATATGTGTGGCTGGGCACAGCCTAACCATCTCTGCCCTAATTTTCCAGGATACCTGTACATCGCGATTGAATATGCCCCTTATGGAAACTTGTTAGATTTTCTGCGCAAGAGCCGAGTCCTGGAGACAGATCCTGCCTTTGCCAGAGAGCATGGAACAGCTTCAACCCTCACATCCCAGCAGCTCTTGCAGTTTGCTTCTGACGTGGCCAAAGGCATGCAGTATTTGAGCGAGAAACAGGTCTGTCCATCCATCCATCCAGCCATGCTTTGCTACTGGCTAGGCTCATCTGTACCAGCTCTTCAGAGGGAATCAGCATGGAAAGACAGGGAAGGGAAGTGTGTCTACTGCTTCCATTTACAATTTATTTCACCTACAGAAAATGGCAGATCCACCATTATTAGGGGGAATGGAGCACCTGTAGCCCTCCAGATATTACCATCTTTCCCAGTCTTATCTGGGCCTCATGGGAGATGGAGCCTAACAAACAATTTCAAATGTGAAATTGTTAAACTTCTAACAAAAATGTTTGTAACTTCCCTTAAGATCTGCCTCCGTACTAGAGGACTGGAGAATGACCAATGTAACACCAAATTTTAAAAAGGAATCCAGGGGAATCTGCAAAATTACAGACTACGTTGATATCTGTCCTGATACATTGATGGAAAGCCTGATTAAACTATTAAGGGCAAGCCCTGTTGAAAAATAATCAACATGGCTTCTACAAAGGTAATATGGACAGGGGTTATTTGGGAGATGCTGCTACTTAGTTCCAAAGGGATTTTGACAAAAACCCCTCACCAAAAGTTCCTAGTCACAGAATAAGAAAAGATGTCCTTTTACAGATCAGTAACTGGTTAAAGAACAGAAAGCAGACAGTAGGAATAAAATGGTAAATTCTTCCAGTGTAGGGATGGAAACAGGGAGCTCCCACAGGGATCCATACTGGGACCAATGCTTTTTAACTAGTTCATAAATTACCTGGAATTAGTACTGAGTAGTGAGGTGTCTAGGTTTGCTGATGACACCAAATTAGTTAGGGTGTTTAAAACAAAGAGGGTTGCAAAAAACTCCAAAAGCATCTCTTCAAACTGTGTGACTAGGCATCAAAATGGCAAATGTGTTCCAGTATAAACAAGTATAAAATACAGACTTCAGAGCAAACCACTCCAACTTAATATATATGCTTAATGGGATCTTGGGGTTGTGGTGGACGGCTCAATGAACATGTCAACTCAGGGTGCAGCAACTATGAAAAAAATCCTTGCTAGGCATAATTAGGAAAACTATAGAAAATAAAACTGTCAAGATCCCACTTGCTTTATATAAATCATACACCCTGTATGCAACTGCACATGAACACTGCATACATTTCTGGTTATCACACCTAAAATGGATATCACAGAGCTGGAAAAAAGGCAGAATGATAGGTTTTCCTCACATTCTGAATGATATTATTTGGGTGGACTTTGTATTATGGTCCCTGTGCTACTTCTTGCTTTAGTATTACAGCCACTCCATTTCTTCTGAGTTTGTCATTTTGAAAGTAAAACACTTTGAAAATTTCCCAATCCAGTCCATTTTTGTTCACACCACACGCTGCAATGTTTTACCATTCCATTTCTTGCTTTATAGTTTCTAGTTTACCTTGATTCACACTTCTCATGTTCCACGTTCTAACGGTATCTGTTTTGCCAAATCAGGCTCAGCAGGAGCATGGCGACCACTAGACCTCCCTTTGGCTTTGACCTAGTTGTATCATTAAAAACAGCACTATTTGTACTCGTCCTTCGCGCAACACCAGTAGCTGGTTAAGTGACTTCCTACCCAGGATTCTCACCTTTTGGCACTATCTCGTTTCCTTTTGGATTGTTTCATGATAGAGTTTACAAAATAAATATTGAAGTGCTTATCTTTGCCTTCTTCTGTGCAGTACTAACCAGAGTTGCCTGGAGTTTCACCACCGTTTTCTGTGAAAGATCCTCCACCTTCACCTACCGCAGCTGCCCAGTAGCTGCCCTTCAGGAATTTCTCCACCCAAATCACCATTAGAGATAACCATTCTCTTCTGTTGATGTGACCACTATTCCTGAAGAAGGTGGATGCATCTTATCTGGTGTCTCAGCTTTGAGCATTCTGCCTTGGGTGACCCTGCTAGGAAGCGAGACCAGGGAGAGAGTCTGGCCTCCTAGTGAAATTGCTCTCGGCTTCTCTGACACTCTCAAACCACCCCGCCACACACCCATTTGTGCACAACAGCAAAAGCTGCTCTCTTGGCTACTGTGTTGGTTGAGTCCCTGAGTTCTCTGCCACTAGTGAGCTCACTGCTGTCTTTCCACTCTAGTTCATTCACAGAGACCTGGCTGCGAGGAATATCTTGGTGGGGGAAAACTTAACTTCCAAGATTGCTGACTTTGGCTTGTCCCGTGGAGAGGAAGTCTATGTAAAGAAGACAATGGTGAGTCTGGGTAGAGGCTCACAGCAAAGTGGGATTAGGATGGTCATAAAATCCCTTGTTACTCGTGTGCTTTCTCTGTTCTGAGAAGAACAATAACCCCATCACTTTCATTTCACTTGCCCCACAGTAGCCTGCCCTTCCCCCAACAATGCCTTTTTTTTTTTTTTTTTTTTTGGCAGGGACGCTTGCCAGTTCGTTGGATGGCCATTGAGTCCTTGAATTACAGTGTCTACACAACCAAGAGTGATGTGTGAGTGATTAAGTCTGGAGGGTGATTGGCAGGGTCTATCACAGAACAAGAAAGCATTTTTGCAAGGCTTCCTGTGATATAAATTACCTAATTAATCAATCTGTTACACTGAAATATATTTGAATATTGCACCACCCTATTGGTATTCTTGAGTTATTGTGTGATGACTCACAATCAGCAAACAGAAGCTATTGCCTTTAATATTGCATTTTTCATTCCGAAAGCAAGCCTGCACCAAAATAAGAAACAAGCCAGTACCAAAATAAGCTCAACAAATCAACATGTACCCTGTGCTGAAGAACCGTAGACCACATCCTAACTTATCTTTCTCTTGCAGGTGGTCTTTTGGGGTCCTTTTGTGGGAAATTGTCAGCCTGGGTAAGTTCCTGCCTAGTGGGAATAGTCTGGACTCTGTTGCCTTCACAGACTTTCATGACCCTGAAATCCCATTTAGGCCCCCACACTCCTCTATCCAACGTGTTCTCCTTTTTCCACCTTCACTGTCTTCTGTCTTTGACACTGGATGGTTTTACATTTAGTTTAGTCAGGAAGATGGAAGCAATATTGAGTGTGTCCATCCCATCACAGGACAGCAAGGATTTAAAAAAACCCCCACTTTTATCTTGTGATGAGAGAGCCCTAGTTGTGGAGCAGATCATTACCCCAGTGGAACAGCTGATCGTGAAAACATCATGTAGGTGGAAAGCTTTTGCAACGCATACCCCACTTCGCCCCAGTCTTGCTGCCAGTCCCCTTCCAATCTAGCTTCACTTTCACCACACCTGGGGATGGGAAGTAGATATTGCACGGATGGAGATGGGCAGGTGTGGAAGAGAACTGCTACCCTATTCTGGCTGTGTTCCAGCAACATCCAGAAGCTTACATTAAGTGTGCCTTGTACCAGATGCTAATGAAAATGATGTCTTGTCTCATGCCATTTCCGTCTTCTAGGAGGGACACCGTACTGTGGCATGACATGTGCCGAACTCTATGAAAAACTGCCCCAAGGATACCGCATGGAGAAGCCCCTCAACTGTGATGATGAAGTGTAAGTGGAAGCCCCGTTGTCCTCCACAACACACACATGCAATAACCGTCCAGTCATCTCCCATTGCCGGTAAAGGGTAGCCGTCCTCCACATCCCGACTCCTCGCCCTGCCGGAAGCGTGAAAGAGATGCGCATTTCACGGATCTCTTGCAGTTCCCCTGCTTTCGTGCCTCCACTTTACTCTGACTCCTGATATCCTCCTGCAGGTATGAGTTAATGCGGCAGTGCTGGCGGGACCGGCCATATGAACGTCCACCCTTTGCTCAGATCTCAGTGCAGCTTATCCGCATGCTGGAAGCAAGGAAGGTATTGCTAATGTGGGATGCTCCTACTGTACTCTGAACGCACAAGCATAACTGTGTCACTTAGAACGCACGTGATTTAGAAGTACTAGAGCGGGATGTTTAACCTTAGGCCAATGGGCCAAAAATGGTCTACCCACTGGCCCAATCTGGTTCTCTCGGATATCGGGATGGCACGGTTCTTTCCCCAGGTGCCAATCCCTTTCCTGGCTGCTCACTGTTTGGTGGTTTTATTGCTTTTGCATGTTTCTTCCTTTTTCTAAAAGATTGCTGAAATGCCTTGCTGGAATTTTTGGCTCTGCCCTGTTTTGCCTGTAGTTCCATCCACCACTGGGATGCACGCCTAAGACTGGATTCAATTCCCAGGGTGAAAGAGCACACCCCGATTTTACAGCCAGATGTCACAGCCTGTGTTTTCACTAGGGAACCCCAGACATATTCATCGTGCCCTTCAGTTGTGAAGGGCACATTGCTTCTTGTAGGGGCTCAGCTTCTAGGCAGGGTGCAAGAATCCCTTAAAGATTATGAGGAGCTGAGCCCAGAATCAGGCAACTGTAGCAAGACTTTGGAAGGAAGTGTGTTCTATGCAGGATTTATGTATAAAGTTAAAATACCTTATCTTTTCTCATCAGAACTAGAGGAAAAGGTACTCACAAAAGAGGGAAGACAGGAAAAGAGCTGACTATTGATCAGGCTTCCAACTTGTCTCTTGTTCTCCATTGACAGGCCTATGTGAACATGGCTTTGTTTGAGAATTTCACCTATGCTGGAATTGATGCCACAGCTGAGGAGGCATGAAGGACCTGAGCAAGGACCGGCTCTACCTCTGGGCACACACAGGACACATGGAATAGGAGCCTCCTGCACACACGCCCCATGGCCACGTCACCACTTGCATGCAGACTGTGATGGGTGCTGGTCTAAAGGAAACTGCATGGACCCAGATTTCATGCCCGCCACTTCTTCCCTGACCACACAGGCTCAAAAGTGCATTCCATGACTCTGCCATTACTAAAAGCAGACAGCAGTTTGCAGAGATGTGCTCGGCTATAAACAACGCCAGAGGCTTAGCTTGTATTCCTGCTCAGTAGAACTATATAGCCCAAATGGCCATTTCCACACACTGAGCACACAGTGCGCGGGGAGTGCTCAAGCTGCCTTCCAGCCTGCTTCCAAGAGCAGGTGGCAGGCGCATGGATGGAAGGAATGGTCTTGGCATGAGGAGAGAAGCAGTGCATGGTGAAATCAAGGGGGCAGGAACAGGAGACCTTCTTTCTGTGCATGGATGTGCACACCCTGCAGCCTCGATCCTCTGCCCCATGAGAAGGATCAGGGCAGATCTTGGCCAGAGGTGACCTAAGGGGGAAAAGGCTACTAGCTCTTCCTTTTGCACACACACCCTTTCTGTGGGAGGGAGCAGGAATGTGGGCTGGGTAGCAATTCACAGAGCCCAGCTGCTGGGCAGGAGGAGCGTATGAGTTCACACTGATGCTTTTCATGGGACTTGCTGCTGGAAAACTGGGGAGGGGCTTGAGTGGAAATAGGAAGGCCAAGGAAGGGAGTGATGCTGTTTTCACCCTTGCAAGTTCTTGCTCTGCTGCAGCAGGATTTTGCTCGGAAGTGAATCTGCCCCATAGGACACACTCTGTGGAACACTCAGGCAGGTATAGAGAGGTGCAAAAGGTGCAGCGCATGCCTGTGGATGCCTCTGGCAATTTTATACTCCCTCTGTGTTGGATTTATACAAAATAAAGGATGTGTAAAAATTGAAGTTGTGAAATGGGAAGAGACGGCAACGCTTATCCAAAGTTATAGCCATGCATGAACAGGGCAGAGTGCCTCTCTGCCCCCAACTCCAAGGGGTGAGATGGGTCACCCACCTCAGGCAGTGGACCTGGAAGGGTAGCCCATCACATATCCCCACTGCCATGGAGCCCACTGCCTCTACGGCTGCCACAGCCACCATCAAATGCCGCGGCAGGAAACAGGTGAGCACCATCTCCGGAACAACAAGCTAGTGTCTTGTTCAAAAGCACAGCTCTTTGGAGGAGCCAGTCAACCTCCACCTGGATGCCTCATCCTGATGACCCAGCTCCCGTGCAGACAAGCCCTGTGCCCTGCTCTCTGTCCATAGAGTGCACATGCCTGATGCCGTAGAGCCGTTGTGTGCACAGGTGCTCGTGATGTGTATCCCGATGCCACGGCTTCAGGGCTAGCTTACACATGATGCGAGGAGCATGGCTCCTGAGCAGAACCCCCCTCATGCACTGCTCCCTCTGAGAGCTGGAACTTCTGAGCAGGGCAAATCTTTGTGCTGAAATAGTTTCAAAAATAAGCTCTAGTGTCTGTCCTCCTCAGAAGGAAACCCCAAGAGTTTCTTTCTGGATGTAGCACCGTTAGGCCCAGAGCCTCTAACCACCGCAGTTACAACAGACAGTTGAACATAAGGGGCTGCTTCTTCCTACACTGCTTGAGCAGGCACATGGGCTTTCCTCCAAATACTGTCAATCTTGAACAGAATTGCTTACATATTTCTCCCCACTCCTTGGACAGACAGACAGGCTTTGTAAGACCAAGAATTCTGTGCATCCTTTGCCCTGTAGGGAGTACTGGCTCCAAACTAGCCTTTTGTCTTATGGGGAATTCTGGTCACAGTGGGAACATTTTTATTTATTATTATTTAATATGTATTTATCACAAACATTTTGCCAGGGCTCTGTATCTGCTGCATTAACAAGTTGCCAGAGTAGCCACATAGGCATAGCCAAAAAGGAGAAAATGCATCTTCTACAAAAAGGACACCAATATATATATAATTTGCACATGCTGATCTATATATGGACAGACATTTAGAAATAACTACTGTAATTTAAATGGAATTGCAATAATCTCATCGTACTGGTGAAGACTGTAACCATAGAAACTGCCCATTTTAGTCTGCTGTCCAAGTGCTAAGTATTCACAGGCAATTTCAAAATTAACAGGGCTATTCCAATTTCAAGTATAAGCTGATGGAATCTGACTTAGTAGTAACTGATGAAGGAAGAGATCTTGGGGTCGTGATGGTCAGCTTGATGGAAATGTCATCCTGGGGTATGAGAGCTGTGAAAAGGGCAAAAGCCATAATAAGTATAATTAGGAAAGGAATTGGAAATAAAGCTGCTAAGATCATATTTCCTTTATTCCGATTTATGGTGCAACCACAAATATGGTGTATTGTTCTGGTCAATGCAGCTAAAAAAGGATAAGTGCAGAAAGGGGAAAATGGAAAGAAGTCATTGGAACAAATCTGCAGGTAAAGGTTACAACATCTGGGATTGTTTAACTTAGAAGAAAAAAACAGAATAAGGGGACACATGATAAAAGCATATAGAATTATGCGTGGTGTGGAGAAAATTGGGAAGGAGACCTTTTCTTTCCTCATAATTCTAGAACCCAAGGACATCCCAGGAAGCTGATTGGTGGGAGGTTCAAGACAGGTAACATGAAGCACTTCACAATGTGATAGTTAAACTTTGGAATTCATGTTCACAAGATGTAGTATAGCCACCCATCTAGAAGACTAAAAGGGGATTTGACAAATTCATTGTTACATTCAGCTATCAATGGCTTCTAGTACTGATGGCCATAATGTTCCTCCAGTATCAGCAGGAGTACGCCTATGTACCCCAGTTCCTGGGGAATATAAGTGGAAGAGTGCTGTTGCATGCGTGTCCTGCTTTGGAGGTGCTGTGGGCCACTAATCAGAAAGTTAACCTTAGATGGAACCCAGTCTGATCCAGCATGGCCTTTCTTATGTTCTTATATTGCAGGGATTTAGGATTCACTTTAGCAACCAATAACTAACATGTCAACAGCAAATGGTGCTGCAACCAGGATTTGGAACAAATAACAGGAGGTTTCCCCAGTCATATCCTGGGTAGCAACTGCTAAAGGACTGTCCTGAAGGTTACCCCAAGGGGACATCCTAGTGTTTATCCATACTTTCAACCCTGGAGTGGGGAGAAGCCATAAGGAAAGAGGAGCTGAAGCAGAAAAATGACAGCTACTTCCTGCTCTTCACTTTAAAATACCCCTTCCCAAAGCTTGTTTTCTTTAAAAATAAATTTTCTGTCTGGAGCAACAAAAGAGGAAAAAAACAGCTTTCTTGCAGAAAATCCAAGAAATCAAAGGAAATTCAAATCTAGATGAGGAATGCTGAGAGACCAATGGGGAAACATACTGTCTGAACAGGATAAAATAAAGAGAAGGGGAAAACAATATATAGAAGAACTATACAGAAGAAATAAAAGGATGGCATACTCCTTTGAAGAGAAATCCTATGGGGAAGAACCTGCACAAGTAGGAAGTGAAAGGAAAGTTTCACTGAAAGAACTTGGAATGAATAAGTCACCCAGAATAGATAGTGTATCAATAGAACTGTTCCAAATCCTAACAAGAATATGCCAACAAATACAGAAAGCATACACCGGCCCAATGATTGGAAACATTCAAAGTACATTTCAGTCTCCAAAAAGGAGATGTCAAGGGGTACAGCAATTTCAGGACCATTGCATTAACTTCCTACTCAAGCAAAGTGATGCTCAAGGTGTTGTAACAAAGAATTCTACCCTATATGGAGGAAAAAAATGGCTGCTGTTCAAGAGGAATTCTGAAAATGTGGAGGCACTTGAGATCATATTGCAAATATACATTGGCTACTGAAGTGCACCATATAATTTCAGAAGAACGGTCTATGCTTTAAAGAATACAGCAAAGCCTTTGACTGTGTGGACCAGGAAAAGCCATGGATGGTCCTGAAAGAAATGGGTGTACCTCAGCACTTGATTGTCCTGATGTGTAAGCTGTATCGTGGACAAAAAGCTACTGTTAGGACAGAATATGGAGTAACAGAATGGTTTCCTGTAGGCAAAGACATCAGACAAGAGTGTATTCTATTTCCCTGTCTGTTCAATGTCTGTAGAATGTGTCATTAGGAAAACTGGATTAGGATCAAAGAAAGAAGTGAAAACTGATGGAAGATACATCAATACTTTAAAAATGCAGATGATAGCATTTACTGCCAGAGAGCAGCAATGAACTGAAACAACTCCTGATGAAAGTAAAAGAAGAATGTGCAAAAGCAGGACTTCTTTACATTTAAACATTTAAAAAAATCACAAGAACAGTATACAACTAGATGGTCAGCAGTGAAGAAATTATGAAAGATTTTGCATATCTTGACTCAATCATCAATTCAAATGAAGAATTCAGTCAAGAAATTCAAACAGACTGAGACTTGGAAAAAGAGCAGCAAAGAAGCTAAAAAAGTTCATCAAGTGTAAGGATCTATTGCTGGAGACCAAGGCCAAGTTTATCCACACTATTGTATTCCAGATCACTGGAACGGTGTGAAAGAAAGCTAACAGAAAGAAAATTGATGCATTCAAAGCATGGTGCTAGAGGATACTTTTACAAATACCTTGGCCTGAAAGACAAACAGTTGACTACAAGAGCAAGCCAAAACTTTTCCTGGAGCCAAAGTGGTAAATTGAGGCTGCTGTACTTCGGGCCCATCATGAGAAGGCAAGACTCATAGGTGAAACCAATAATGCTAGGAAAAGAAAGAAAAAGAAAGGGAAGACTAAATATGAGATGCATCGATTCCATAAAGGAAACTGCCCTTTTGTGTTTACAACAGCTGAGCAAGGTGGTCAAGGGCAGGACATTTTGGAGGCAATCTTCAAAGGGCAGCCAGAAGTCAGAGATGAATTGACAGCACAGAACAACATGTGCACACAACAAACAGAAGAATCCCTTTTGCTGTATTGAATATTTCTCCCATGCGCACGTGCACACACACACCACTTTTGAAAACACACTTTCTTTTTCTCCATTTCAAATGAACAAACATTTACCATCTGTTAGGGTCTCTGGGGCCCAGAAAGCAGCCCATTGCAAACAAGATGTGGTCCAGCATTTGGGGTGTCAAGTGGGCCATCTCTGCAATAAGGATCCCTTCCTGATACAGCAGCAGGGATAACAGAAACATCACTGAGTGTCTCAGCCTCTGTGGTGCTAAAAAGCAAAGCAAAGCAAAGCCTTTGGGTGATTTCATCGTAAGATCTGTACAAAACAACAAACAAACAAGCAAACAAACAAAACCCTGCCTCACAGTTCCTTGTACCTGGGGAACTTAGAGTAAAAGGTGCCCCTGTATTTCTTTCTCTCCATTACCATACTATTTGCTTCCCAAGTTTGACTTATACTGTGTTATCTGTGCCTCATACCTGGCAGTAGCAAGTGCCCTTCCCCCCCTCTATTGCTGTATTATTTGCAGTTGGCCTTCCAAGTCTAGTGTGTTATCTTTGACTCCAAAGTAGTAAAAAATCTATCCCTTCTTTAGTCTTCACCCTAGCGATAGTTGTCCTAGCAGTCCTCCCTATAGCAACCAGTGGACTTTACTCTGAGGTTTGAGACTCTAATCAAGTGTGTGCCCTACATATTTTACTTTAGTCAGGAAGAGTAAACACTTCTCTTAGCCTGGCCCTCTGCCCAGATAAAGCAGCCTTACCAACCTGGTCCTCATGTTATCAGCTGCAGCAGGATGAATAAGGGTGGATTTACTCAGCCCTTGCCTACCTCCTGCAGTTTTTCAGGGGGTCTTGTTCTTTGCAGAGGGCCTAGTTCCAGTTCCAGATTTTGGAGGGCAGTTGGTCCCCTCCCTCAGAAAATCTACTTTCTCATTGCCCTTGTTACCAACTGCTATTGCGCCTGCTTCTTTTTTCCATCATTGCTTTCTCTTGCTTGTTTGACTAGCAGAATTTGTGGGGAAACAGGGTTAGGGATAGGGTTCTCTTGCTTCGCTTTCTCACCCCTCTCGTCTGGGCCAGAGAGGTGGGGCAGCAGTGGGGAGAGAAGCAAGCTGCAGTGGAGAGCAGGAGAAACTCCTGGGAGTTCTTCTCAGTGGGCCTCTGAATGGATGTAGGCCCTTAGCAAGTGCCCCATGCCAGTTCTTGACACGAGCTGTGCTCCTTGTTTTGTGGATGTGAGCATCAGCTAACTCTTTTTTCCTGGAATTTCCAGAAAGAGCTGTCTAGTCCCATTCAAGGGTTCCCGCTTTTTAATGTGGCGAATGCGAGCACAGAACTTTCTCTCTGCTTGAATTCTCAGACATGAGACCCCCTGCCTGCCTATTCTGGAGTTGAGAAAGCACATCCTCTCTCCCCGCACCTAGTGAGGTTGCCAGTCATTCATAATGCTGATGGCCTGCTTCTATTCTGGGAATAACTCATGTCCGTCCTTGTGCTACCACAGGCGAGGGCAGGGGATGTCTGCTTCCCACTCAGGGCCTTGTCCTCCAAAGCACCACCACAAGGGCAGGACATTCTGCCTATCTGATAGAAGCAGCCTCCAGGCAGGGCCGCCACTCTCAGAGGCCATGGTGTGGTGGTTTGGGCTAGGGAAGTGGTGGGGCGGGGGCTCCAAGGGGCTTTTACTCAGGCTTCCTGAGCATCTGGACTGACACTCCCCAGATAAGTTTTCCCTTGCAGAGGTCCTGCGACAAAGGCTCATAGTTCTGGGGTTGACTGCCTCTTTTGCCAGTGGTGCCTAGAGCAGAGCACTCAGGCTTGGCCGCTGCAGCAAGTGCAGAGCCTGGGTGCATCCAGTGCCCCATATTTTGTCAGGCAATGCTGTCAGCACCAGCTCTTCAGATGCAGAAGTCTCTGACCCAAATCTGATCCTGGATGTACTCCTCAGGAGGATGGCAGTCCATCTGTGCCCAGCAAGGCCGTGTGCCTTCCTTGACATGCTCCTGCTCACCCTCTTACCTATGCTCAGCTCTGTCCTCATCACAGAAGAAGGTAAGATTACAAACTTCTCTGCTGCGCTTCTCTGCTGCTGGGGAAGAGCAAAGATGCTGCCCTTTTGCAGCTCTGCAAATCTGTACATGCGCATGTGGCTCAGCCAGGCAGATGAATGCCCTTGTGAACCAAGACAGTCTGGGCAGAAGGAGGAGGGAAGGGGCCACAACATTCCCAGAAGCACCATGACCATTTTACCTGGAGTTGCCAACTCCACATCTTAAATATACCCTGAAAACTTAATTACTTTGCAGTGGCATGTTCAACAGGTGTGGCTTCTTCTTGTGCTATAGTTGCAGAAGAAGCTGCACTTATCAAACCTTGCCCTGCCCCGGCCATTATTAAAAATATGTAAGCATTCATCAAGGCCTGGCAATTAGAACATGAATTTTGGCGGGGGGTGGATGTGGTCAGGAAATCAGGATGTAAACAAAGATATGGATCAAGCTCCACCTTGGCTGCTGTGGACGGAAAGTCAGAAGAAAATTCTTCCACGTCTTGTGCCAGGATGGGCCCCAGATAATTTAGTTCCTCTGAAGCTGCTCAGCAGACATCACTTCTTATGGTGTTTCAGTGGTGGAAGAATTTGTAGTTTCTAAGTGGTAGAAGGACCACAAGATGTAATTGTGTCCATTAATTTTGCATGCATGGCTTTAAAAGGAGATTTGACAAATAGATGGATGAGATACCTATGGATAACTACTAGTACTGATGGCTAAATGCTGCTTCCAGTATCAAAGGCACTATGCTTATGTAACTCAGTTTCTGAGCAAAATAGGTGGGAGGGTGCTGATGTACCCATGTCTTTCTTGTGGATCTTCCACAAATAGCTAGTTGGCCACTGTGTGAAAAGAACTGGATTCGATGGATTTGATCTGGTCCAGCTTTTATGGCTCAGAGCACCATGCCTCACCTGTACATGTCTCATTGCTCTGCGTGTAATTCAGGTGCAAACTGACAGGATAGCAAGGAGCACTGAGGTTGACAAGCGCAGCAGCGCATAGGTTAGAACGGCCATTGTGAGGCATTCCAGATGGGTTAGGCTACAGTGTTCAACAGCTATGATGGGGAGTTGTAGTCCAACACATCTTGATGGCACTAGGTAGGAGAAGCCTTGTTTATGAACATTTTAAGTATAGTCACTGCGACCCAAATTACCTCCTGTCCAAAACAAGAAAAAATGACCCTGCCGGCTATAAGAAAAATTCAAATAGCGATATTTTTTTTTTGGCTAACCTCAAACTTACTAAAGCATATGGATGGTTCTGCATTCTATAGAACTCTTTATCAGGCTTGATAGTAATTGTCCAGGTTTCCACTGCTTTTGTTTCCCATGTACAAAGAAACTCTGGGTTTTGTGTATGGATTTAGGTGACGATGGGATTTCCTGTTTAAATAAGGGGCGGGGGGGGGGGGTCAGCTATTGTTTATTTCTCCATCCCAACAGCCCTAGGAACAGCTCTAGGTGCACTTGGAAGCCATCACACTTTTATCTCCCAAAATTCCACCTTAAGATTGTTGACATCATGGCCTCAACATCAGACCACTATTTTCTTCCTCACTCTCTTTTGCTTTGTTGTTTACCTGATATCCTAATGACAGTTCTGAAAAACCTGAACGCTCACACACTATTTTGTGACCTTGTGCTCTTGGCTTAATAAAACATTGCTCTAATGGGACTGGTGAGCTTCCATATTATAAGATTTTTCCCTGCTTAGTGATCAAGGGGTACTTTCTATAATTGGGCTTGGATTTTATTAATTTGCTTGTCTTTGCTGTCCTTTCCATAAAATGGTAATGTATTCCCCCCCCCCCCCACCGCTCCCAGACCCTCTCTCACAGCCTGCCCTTCTTCCAGTCACACCATGTAAAAGTCTCACGGATAAGGGATCCATGAAGCCTAGTCCAGAAACATCACAGCTAAGGACTGCCACTGTCCCATACTCCCAAAATGTTCACCCTCAACCCCCCCACACACTTTCAGCTACTTGGGACAAACTGTGAATAAAGCTGCCAGGTTTCATCAATCCTACATGAATATCAGTAGCTACAAGTAGCAGCCAGACTTCCCTTCAAACTACCACCTGATAGTTAACACGTGTTCTTTCACCTATCCTGTCAGAGTGAGGGCATTGCATCTGGGAAGCATTGCTGCCTCTTTGAATTGTTTACATTTGCTTTCAGAAATGTCACAATGTCAAAACTGATGATGTATTTATTGTCATGGGATCTCTGAATGGTCAGGATCACCTACAGAAAGAAGCCCTGCTAGAAATGGTGCCAATAAGCAGTGGCTCAAGGGTAGCAAGCTGCAGGTGAGCAGATGCAAAACTATGTGCTCTGAGTGAGCATTTAGGAAACATTTCCAGCTCCTGACAACTGTTTCCTTTGTTCGGAAGCAAACATTTGGCACAGCTCCAATTCAAAAGTAAATGTGAGTGCCAATATGCAGTAGTAGTAATTTACCCAAAGAAGTATGGAAATGACTTTGATCACAACAGACCATCGCATCCTCTGCTTGCCTACTAATCAAGCACTTCTACTCTGCAGAGATAGGGCTCAGAGGGACAACTGCCTGCACTTTCTTCCTTTTTTTTTTTTTTTTTTTAAGAAAGGACACAGGACTCCCTTGCCACCTATCAGACTTCCCTTCTCCCAGTGAACTTAGCAATAATCCTCAGAGTAGCTGACAAGCAATCTTCCCAGCAATATTGTTGCCTAATAAGTGGGTGGAGATAGCTTGGCCTTGGATGGGCAATTAGGGCCCTTCTGCTTTACAAAGCTGGGTTCCCAGGGGAGAGGAGCATGGCTAGAACTGGCTTGTGGAATGGGTCAGTGCAATTGCCTGCCTTCTTGGATCCTCTTTGGTAGCATGGCTGTCATGGTGAGTGCCTGCCCTTCCGATATACCACGACCCCACTGCTTCCTCTATGCCTGGCTTAACCCTGCAACTGAGGCGCATCGTTCGAGCAACTGGTGGATATGTGGCAGCTTTGGATAGGTGGCATGGAATATGAGAGAGCTTCAGTAGCTCCATCTTAGCGATACCAGGAGTGTGTGTGTGTGTTTTAATTTTGCTTCACCCCAAAGCAAAATCAGAGCTGCTGTTGCTGCAAGACCGTGAGATTAGGCCGTAAAAGGAGCAGCTCATGACTGGCTGGTTATTCCACTTGGCAAGAGTCCATCTGTGCAACATTTTAAAACTGCCTCTGTTATGAAACACACTCTGTGTATGTGTCAGCAAACATGCTTTTTTGTATCTCAGGATCATATCATTTAGGGGATGCCCTTTCCATCAAAAGAGATACCACTTAGGATATAGTTCTCTCTCTCTCTCTCATTCTCTCTCTCTCTGTCACACACAACACACAATAATTTAATTAAGGATTTTAGTTTGACTTACCTCCTAAACCAATACATTACAAAAAAGTTGCCTGAAAGTCCTTTCCATGACCAGTACTATAACAAAGAGAAGAGGGTAAAATGGATGTATGTAAGCCATTTTGGGTTCCTCACATGAGGGAAAAAAAGCTATAAATACAGTGTAATAATAAGAAGAAACCCTCACCACTTGGTATGCTGACAAGAGCTGATAGGAGTTAGAATCTAGCAACATCGGGAAACATGTTGCCCTTCCTGATATAGCCCAATCAATCAAAATACATGAAGCATTTGTGCTGAAGTACCCCTTAGTTTCTGTATCTGGGTGGGGGGAATGAGATCTTTGCTTAATACTCCCTGCACAGAATGCTCAGCCTGAAATCGGGCTACACACAGAATTAGTTTAAAAAGAAAAGAAACACCGTCTCGAGTGACTACAGTTCTGAGCAGTGGTGTGGTGACGGCAGGGTCCTTAACTCTTCTTACCAGTTGTTTCTCTGTGCAGGTGCAGTGAATTCCCACATGCATAATTTACCTTTAATTTAGAACACATCTGGAACTTTCGAAAGAGAAGAAGTCAGGGATTATGTTGATCAAGGAGACAGTATAGTGGGGAAAGAATCAAGCAACTCCCTCTCCTGAAGCTGCTTATTAGTAATTTAAAAAATAAGTAATGGTTTCATTGGATGTATTTGCATGTCATGTGTGGTTTCTCTCTATTCCTCTTATCTTATTTCCTCCCACTCTAAGTGCTATCTCCCTGGGACAGGAAACCCCCCCACCCCAGGCTTGCCACAAAACCACATGGGTATTTTGGGATGTTTGTGAAAAACATGCCCTCCCACTTATTAGAGGGAGAAACAATGGAGGAGGGACTACAATGTGGCTTTCCTCTACATAATGGTCTTCCAACGCATCCACACAATTACTTATTCAATATGCTGTCCAAAGCAAAGGAAAACAATGAGCAAACAAGAGCAATGACACTTGAGGGGCAAGACTGATTACATAAGGTGTTGGTTATGACCTATAAAGCCCTCAACGGCTTGGGGCCTGGTTATCTAAAGGAACGCTTGCGTCCATACAGATGCCCTTCTCTGGGAACCCTCCGTAAATGAGATTAGGAGGGTGAGTACCCGGAGGAGGGCTTTCTCTGCGGTGGCGCCCCACCTATGGAATGCGCTCCCCAGAGAGGTCCGCCTGGCGCCGTCATTATTTGTTTTTTGGCACCAGGCTAAGACCTTTTTATTTAAATCTTATTTTAATTGTTAATTTATTATGTATTTATAGGATTTTAAATTTTTAGCCAAGATGTTACCTTTTAATCTTTATTGTATTTAGTGTTATTTATATGTTTTTAATTATGTTGTGAGCCGCCCCAAGGCTTTGTTGCGATGGGGGGGATAGAAATGTTTTAAATAAATAAATAAGTGGTTATGGACATCAGTATAAATCAGAATTGGACAACCTTACAGGGTCAGTTGTTCAGTTTCCACACCATCACCCCATTGCTGACATTACGGAGGTCAAAAGGCAGTCAAATTTAAGCATCAGTTCCATCGTGGGAAAAGAGCTGCATTTTTGGTTATAGAGAAGGATTGGCTTGTTTTAAAGCAAAATTGTGTTCTTGCAGCCCTAGTGTAAAGGGATTTTCTTCATGCCACTGCCTCATTGTGCAGGAACTGCTGGGAAAAAGCCGTTCTTTACAAATATAACGTGCAAGAAAAACAAGCAAGCATAGACTGCTTCAGCAGTGTCACAGACCAAGGCAAATAGCAGAACAAAACGGGTGTGCACACTGTAAACTGTGCACCACACCAGCACTGATGGCTCTGTCATAACACTTCCAATTCTCCATAAAACAATCCTCTCTAGAAAGCAGTTGCATGATCATCATTGAACGTAGGCCTGGAAGATGGAGGCAGCACCCACATGTTCGCAAGGTGAGCCCTAGATAGCATTATCTGTAGTCACCCTACCTGAAATATCCAGTTTGGCTGCAAAGATTGCAACTAGGAAGAATTCTCCTGGGGGCACACTCAGACTAACCCTATTTGTTTTATTCATGGACAGAATTTATATCCTACCCTTTACCCAGAAGGGCCCCTAGAATGGTAAGTAGCACAACAGTCTCTGCCCTAGGGGTTAGTCTCTAAAAGTAAGACACAATTCACATGTAATATAGGTAAGGGAGAGAGGAGACATATAAATGATATTAAAATGATGACACCATAATTTGGGGATTAAGAAATCAGTTTTGTAACCTCACCATGTCTTTTCTTATACTTTAATTATTTCATTTCTCTTCATGAAGTGATTTGTTATCTGGAGTCATCCACGGTTTCTTCCAGAAAAACTAGTTTGTCAATTTTTAATTCACCTTCCTCATACAGAAATCCTAATATGTATTTGCTAATGACAACTGAAATTATGCTCCTTCTGTTTGGTACACTATGATCTTAGTATTCTGTGTTCCTGCAGACACACTAATTCAAACCAGGTTTGGTCCCATTGAAATAATGGGATGCCATCATTAAAATGACCTTTAACTCATTCACACAATTACAGTTATGATATGACTCTATAATCATGCAAAGCTTCTGTCAGTTCTTGGCTACCACCCACTATCTTATAACCTTTTAACGCATACTAAATCAGTAGACCACCAAAGGAGAATGGTTTGCAGTAGTGACACTGCTGACACGTGGATCATGGATCAACCGGTCATCTTTTAGAACCTAAGTATCAGCTCACACAGTCTTTTGAAAAGGTTGTTCTCAATGGATGGCTATTATCAGTGCTGATTCCAGGTTTCTGAGGGCCCTTGAACAAGACACCTTCAATGGGCCGAGTTCCTCAGTGATTACACCTTTTTACCTCCATTTTCCCCACTGCATTTCATCTTCTTTCTCATAATTACTATCATTTTCTTGGGGAACAGTGAGCAAGATGGCAGAAGTATCTTGTGCTTCTCTTTCTCACTACAGCTGTTGTCTGGGCCAGAGGGAGATGCGGATGAGCAAGCAGTCTATAATGGTAAAGAGGCAGAGATGAGCTTGTCCTTGATGTGGGCCCTGGTGATGATATTCATACAAGCTAATCCTCTCATGCCCCTTGCAGTTGCCAGAAGATAAGCATTATCATATGGATCAGCCCTACATTTCCAGACCATTTGGGACAGCAGCAGTGGCCTGCAGCAGGTTAAACCACTCTCCCTGCTGCATGCGGAGACAGCACAGCACCTTACCAGCTATTTAAAAAATAAATCTCAGCAATGCAAAAAGATCAGAGGATGCAGGAGTGAACATTGGTGGAAGATGCATCAAGAATTTATACTGGGAAAGTTGAAGGAAGAAGAGGAGGAAGACCAAATGTGAGATGGATCAGTTTCATAAAGGAAGCCACAGTCTTGAGTTTACAAGAGCTGAGCAGGGCTGACAAAGGAAGGACAGTCTGGAAGGCATTTATCCATAGGAATGCTGTAAGTCAGAGATGACTTGTCAGCATGTAACAACAACAAATGCAAAATCAAGCTATATGAGAAAAGGGACGACTAATTTGGTACCCAATTTCCCTGAAAAATTCTCCCTGCCCTCCCCTATACTGATTATTTTATTTTGTTCAATATTTCTTCAGTTAAGCTACAGCATTATGTGTAAGCCATTTGGCTTCCTTGCATATCAGTTTGGAGGTGAATGGGGTTACCCAGAAACTTAGCTGTGTCTTTTACATACTCTGAGACACCCTAGCTACATAGAAGTATATAAGCTTTTGGATTAAATAATTGTTTGAAGGTACTCAGCAAGAACTTCACAAAGAACTTCTAGGATCTGTAGAAAGCTGGACTGTCAATTCAAGAAAAAGTGGCAAATAGAGGGAAGGAGAAGGTGAAGGAGAAGATGAAGAAGAAGGAGAAGAGGGAATTAGTCAACTTGGGCCTGGAAGGCTAGTTGAAAGTATTGTAGAAGGGGTATAGATGTTAGGAGATATGTTTATTAATTCATTTATCTAAAAAATTTCCCTGCCTATACTAAATAGGCATGTTTCAAGAAGAAAGAAAAGAAAGAGGATACATCCTTTTCCTTTCCGTCTCTGTCTAGAAATTCTCCATACCATCACTATAAAAATGTGCTGGTTCCATGAGCAGTACCCCTAAACATGAATTGTCTAGAACTATCCTTGCATTATTTACTCTGGGTGCTTCCAAGCCTGTCGTGTTTTGGGTATTTGTCATTACAGCAAGCAGCTGTCCTCCTCAACCAGAATACTATAGGCAGCTTCTTTTTCTTTCCCTCCTCACACAGAGGCTGCTCTTCTGGCCAAGGCAGCTCAAGATATTATCTGCTTTTCCCGAACCTTTGAGGATCTCACCTGCTTCTGGGATGAGCCAGCACACGTGGAAAGGCAACAGCGCTTCTTTTATACATACAAAGGGTAGGATGTCATATTTTCTATGGATTGGCTGGGATCCATAATTCAGGCTAGTTGGGAAAAGGACAAAGTGTCTATCAACCTGGATGCAGATGATTTGGGAATCTGGAGCTGTTTGTAGAAGGTTGATGTGTGTGTGTTTGGTTGAAAGTCATGCTCTGCCTTGGGCCAGAAGTAGGGACAGTTGCAGTGGAGAAATACTTCTGCCTTCAGTGATATTCCACTGCCTAATGTATTGTTCCCACAGAGACAGAAGCCGAGAATGCTCTCCGATCCTAGTGAAACACAGTGCAAGTGGCCAGCGTCATGTCTGCATCTTTCCCAGTGACCATCATGGCATCCAACTCTTCAGAGAACTCTGTGTTGAGGTGTTGGACACTGCTAGCAATCGCACCACACATTCCCAGAAACTCTCAGTAGATGCTGTTGGTAAGCTTGCTTTCAAATGTTGGAAGGAGGGAAATGAGGAGTGGACCAAGGCCTATCTCAGATACACTGAGAGGCTGTGCAATGTCTAGAAATAAACTGATACCACAGACATTACAGTCTGGCACCTCACAAAGACCACAGGTTTTGTCCCAACATAGGATGTTCTGTATAGTAATTCCAGTATTTCTCAACCTGAAATGCATAAAAATTTATCTATCTATCTATCGTATTTAAAGCTTTTATAGACCGCCCATCTACTGGTGTCTCAGGAATGCAGGGGGGAAAGGCCTGTCAAGCAAAATATGCAGGATGGGATGACAAGGAAGTGAAGATCACCTCCACTTTTCCTCTCATCTTGTACAGACTGTAAGCCTCCAAGTTCAGAATCTTATGAACATCACCATAGCGTTGCACCCCAGAAGTTCCACTATGTAGCCCATTTATTGCTCTGAATCTGCAGTGACCCATATAATGAATATTATGGTTCTGATCAGCATATATTGAAAACTGTTCTATTTCTCTAAGACAGTCTTGATACATTTTAATTTTACAATTTTAACCACAGTTCAGGACTCTATTAGTCATGCGTTTCCCCCAAATGTCTGTTACATAATACTGTTTGATCTTCATTTGTTCATTATAATTGGAAGTGGTAATAGGTAAGAGTCCTAGTCTCAGTTTATTTTTGTATAATTAGCAGGTAGTATACAAATGACCAACACAGGAGTTTGCTCTTATCACTTCTGCATCTCTTTTAGTGTGCAATCTAAAATCCTCTGTGCTTGATGCACATAAGCCTCCAAATATGTTGAGGAATGTCTTCCTGAGATTGAACATATTTTTGCTATAGGAGCCTTCTCTCTCTTTTCTAAATTAATTCCTAACTGTTCTTATTTATCTAAACTGATTTCATACCGGTTCAAAGTTTTTAAGCAGACACATCAGGCTTGGAATTTGAAAGCTCCTCCAAACACTTTTGCAGGATCCTGTAATATCAGTACCATGTCATCTTCATGTAAATTAATTCTACACTCTTCTTTTCCAAATTTTACTTGCTTCCATTTTGTCTTTCCATAATTTCAACTAGAGATTATACTGGTAATTATAAAAGGAAGGAAGATACTGGACAACACTGATGTGTTCCTATTTGTAGATTTAAAAAATCTCAATTACATTCCTTGACATACACACAGGCAGTTGGATTCATATATATTATATTAATTTCAGCCATTTATGCGTGGTCCAATGTGGCTGCTTGTAACCCATAGAATTCAGAGGATTGTAGGCTCCCTATAAAAGATGAAAGGGGTGAGGAGGTGAGGATTGCCTCTGTGCTTCTCCCACCCCACAAACATTTAGGAGTCCTGGTTCAACTTAACAGGTTTGTCCTTGCTTGTGAGAAGAGGCCAAGCCCCCAGTGGAGCCTCACTCTTTCTCTGCCCAGCCCTGAAACTCTCTCCCAATGTCAGTTCCAAGGTTGGTCTTCCATCCTCACATCTATAGCTGGCATAGAAACAACAGAGGCAGCTCTGAGAGTAGAAGGAGGGCATTCCAAGGTTGGAGTTTTAGTTCCAACCCTGGAATGTGTTTCCAAGGACAAAGCTGAAACTCTGACATTTCCTAGGACCATCTAGACAGAATTTTACCTTAGACCAAATTCATAGCAAGTTTGATGTAAATCATTCCATTCTATATGATCAAACATGTTGCAGTGGCAAAATTCCATGTCTTTATGCAATTAATCCTATAGAATCAATTGAGCTGTCTCTGAATATTAATAATCTCCTTTCCTTAATAAAAGCAAGCAAACAAAACAGTGGGCATGTGTGCCGCAGTGGGCACGCAGAGCCCTCTCTGTCAGCATGCGAGCCAAGTCACCCCAGCATCACCTCAGCAGCTGAGCATCAGATAACAGCGCTCATAGGGGCGATGCGCATGCTCGGGAAGGAGAAGCAGCGCCAGATGATGCTGTCACAAGCTGTGGCTCATTAGCCACAACTCATCCAAGCTTTCACATGGCTGGTCAGTGCGCTGCCACAGATAGATAGATAGATAGATAGATAGATAGATAGATAGATAGATAGATATATTGGCTTGGACTGGTTGTGAGTTTTAATACATTCATTTTTATTAACACAAGATTTTAGCTTTGAGTTTTCTTATGAAAAATTGAAATTTAAGATTTAGCAGAGATATGTCCTAATCACGAGACTGAGATTCTTTTAATGTTGTGCTGTCCCCCAGCATATTTGAATCTGCAGTGTTGGCACTTTGCGATAAATAAGTGGGTTTTAGTTGCCGTTTTAGATCCTGACAGGTCCCAAGCTTTAACATTCAGATGAAGGAGATTACATTTGGACAAAGAGAATCTTTTCAGCAGGGTTTGGTGTAACATGAGAGCCTGCAGGAAGCTTGTTCCACTCTTTCCCTGCACAATAGCAGAGGAATGTAGCGATTTACTTAACCAGCTAGCACTGGGCACTGCCTTCCTGAGTGGAGCTTCAGTTGGTCGCAGTTCAGCGGCTGTGCCGGCGCGTGTTTTGAGCGACGGAGCCGCAGCAGAGGGATTCAAGAGCCATGTGTGGCTCTGGAGCAGCGGGTTGCCAACCCCTGGGCTGAGCCTTAAAGAAACCTGAGGGAGCAAAGATAAAGGAAAGACAGGGAAAGGTATACTGGAGGTGTTGCCCTCTGTGTTAAGGAGGGAATAGACTCCAGCAAAATTGATAATCTGAAGTGTGAAGACTCCTCTGCAGAAGCACTATGGGTGAAAATTCCTGGCTCCAAAACTAACTTAGTCATAAAAGTATGCTAGCATCCCACAGACCAGAATGCTCAAGGTGATCTTGAGATGGGAAATGAAATCAGGGAGGACTTCAACAAAGGGAGTGCTGTAATAATGGGGGATTTCAACTACCCACACATTGACCAGATAATTGTATGTTCCAGTTCTGACAGAGAGGGTAAATGTCTAAGTGTCATAAATGACTGTGTCCTAGAGCAGTTGCCCATGAAACCAACCAGAGGGGAGGCAGTCTTGGATTTAGTGTAAAGAAGAAGTTGAAGCCGAGGAATCGAGAAGTTTAAATTGCTTCAAAGTGCTTCGAGATTACTCAATAACACTTTAATACAGGCACAGATAATATGCATATCACAAGTGAGAAAACACAATATCCAGGAAATCACCAGTGTGAATCAAGAAAGCTATTAGGAAGAAAAAACCTTTCTTCAAAAAATGGAAGTCTTGTCCAAATGAAAAGAACAAATGAGACCACAAGCTTGCACATGGGAGATGCAAATGGGCCATCAGAGAAACAAATAAATAGTTTGTGGAGCACGTCACTAGCAATATAAAGGCTAACAATAAAGAATTCTTTATATCAAAAGAGAGAAGAAGGCTAGGGAAGCAGTTGGGTCATTGCATTATAATGGAATTAGAGGAGCACTAAGTGAGGATAAGGAAATTGCAGAGAAGCCAAATAAATTCTTTTTGTCAGTCTTCACAGCAGAGGGTGCAGACTTCTCACTTTTCAACCCATCCTGATCACTTCTGATAACAGTGCCCTGCCTTTTGTTAAAATAGAAGCATCTCTGCATCAGGACAGATCTTTCATTTCTTTTTCAGCAAATTGGATGCTAATCATGTACATAAGAGTTCTTGCTACCCAGTTCAGAAGGGCACTTCCCTCTCTATATGTTTGTAAACAAAAATGAAGAACCTTTTTTTTTTTCTTTTCAGGTCTCATTGCTCCACCAACGAATGTAACAGCTGTGTGGTCTGGGCTGGCACGAGAGCTGCAGGTGACATGGGTTCCCCCACCCATCAGCTACATAGAGTTCTTGGCCTATGAGGTTCTTTATAGAGCTGAAGGCACCGGGGAGCGACCATCCAGGGTATGGCTTATACAGGGAAGGGCGTCTTGTGTGCAACTCTGAAGGGTATTTCTGCCTAGAAACCCAGGCAGAAGATTGTTTGTCCCAAGTGCATCTGAACTAACGACAGACACTACCTCCATTTATCCTTACTTTTCCCTGACTCTCCCCCTCTCTCTCTTACAGATGGAGGTGAAGTGCAGTCCTGCATGCCAGCTCAGGGACCTGCTTCCTGGGCAGCGGTACCATATCCAAGTCCGCACTAAGCCTGATGGCCTCTCTTTTGATGGGCTCTGGGGACCCTGGTCTCAAGTGGTGTTAGCAGAGACACCCCACCTCCCTGGTTAGTGCCCTGCTGGTTGGAAAGCAGTTGGAATATAGAAACACAGTGTGTTGCTTTATAATGAGTCTGGGCATTGGACCATCTGGCTCAATATTTTCAACACTGACTGACTGCAACTCCCTGAGATTTCAGGCAAGGGGTTTCCAGCCCTATGTGGAGATTCTCAGGGCTGAACCTGGAACTTCCTACATACACAGCATTTATGTTACCACTAAGATGGCAGTGGAAGTTGCCTGCTCCAAGGTCTGCAGGGCTTGTGTCCCTCTGGATTTTACTCCAAACTTTAAAGGAGCTATTCGTGGTGGCAAACTATTTTGGAGATACACTTCAGTTCTTTAAAGGTTAGTTCCATTAAAGTTCAGAGTAAAATCTGGAGTGGATATCTGGTCAATGAAGCCTCCAGCCTGTGTATTAGTGCCATACACCAGCTTACCTATTAGATTTATATCCCACTTTTTTCTTACAAACTTAAAACAGCTTACATTCCTCTTTCCTGCTGCTCTCAATCTTATCCCCACAACAACAACCCTGTGAGGTAGAGTCTGTAAGTGGCCCAAAGTCACCCTGGTGGCTCCATGGCTGAGCAGAGATTAGAACCCAGATCGCTATGGATGTTGCAGCAGCATCACAAGTAGCTTCTGCAATGTGTGCCTTTGTGCTGGCTCAGTGAACCATGCATAAATCTGGCTTTATATTCTCAAGAACACAGGAAGAGCCATGCTGGATCAGACTGAAGTCTGGAGACTGAAATCCTGCCTAGTTCTGCATTCCACTCACACAGACCCCATGGGAAGCCCACAAGTAGGCATGAATGTAAAAGCACCCTCCTGCTTCATGTGTACTGTCTCTGATATTAGAGTTAATGTACTGAATAGCCATATGACTTATAGCCATTGATAGCCTTATTCTCCATAGAGTAATATTCTGAAATTAAACTCCCCCTACACAGAAAGCATTTTCATGTATGAAACTTCATGAAAACCATGCACAAAAAAACTGCATGTTATGCTTGTGGATCTGTATTTTTGCTACTTGGCAGTGCTTTCAGCAGTCTATCTTTCTAGCTTATATAATCAAACAGATGGTTAGAAATGGGCTGTTGGGGAAAGGTGAGATAGGAGGCATGCAGGTATGTAAAACCACATCCCTTGAAAGGGAAGCCCCTGTTGCCATATGACTCCTATGAACCTGCCCTGGCTGCAATATCATCCTATTTTTGGAATCTACTCACATCTGTAAAGTTCACCATTAATATCTGCTGTGTATGTTAACATGAATTAACATATGCAAATAAGCAACAGCTGAGATTTCTGCCTGGGAAAGGGAGCTGAGAACCTGGGGCCTGGTAGGGAAAGAGGCCTGAGAAAGTAGAAGCAGTCTAGGGCTAAGAAAGTGGAAAAGGCCAAGCCCCATCTTGGATAAGGATCTGGGGATGATCTAGAGCAGGGGTGGCCAGATTGGCTCAACAAAAGAGCCATTTAGGGTAAATTTCAGATGTTTAAGAGGTGCAAGTGGGTGCCCATGGGTGGTGGCAGCAGATGGCTGTGGACCACAAAATACACTCAAAGAGCCACATGTGGCTCACGACCCTGTTTAGCCACTCTTGATACAGACTGACCTGCAGAGGTATAGAGAGGGATGGTCTTTAGTACAAGGATCTAGAATGCATACATTTTGGTTTGCTTATGTCTGGGAAGATAGGCTGTGTAAATAGGCCCCGCAAATACAGATTTGGCCAGCAGTGAAAAATGTAGTAATCAGGAAGCTTCTGTCTGATTCTCTGCAATCTACTCTCTCTTCTGACCAGGAGAGATTGGCCTACACTGCTTCACTCCAGACTTGCACCAGTTGCACTGCCAGTGGGACTGGAGTCCCACAGAGCCCGATGCTTCTCAGAGCCACCTATACTGGGCAGAAGACAACAGCAACAAGAAAAGGTGACAGAAGGGCCTGATGGAGGGTTAACAATACACATGATCCTGGTTTGTCCTGCTGCCTTAATATACTTCTTGACTTCAGCATCAAACCCACTGAATAAACTGCCCCATCCTTACCTGGCTATAATAGACAAGGTTTTGAATCACCATTGAGGAAGTCTCTGTAGAGATGAAACTTCCTATGTACAAAAAATATGTCCACGATTATTTATTTATTTATAGCCGTTTCCTCCATTTAGTGCATTTCTAGGGAGCTCAATGTAGCAAATATATGTTCACTAATCCCACACCCATTTTGGTCCTCTCTTGCACAACCCTGTGAAGTAGACTAGCTTGAAAGATAAAGACATGTCAAAGAATACCAGGTGAACTCCATGGCTGAGTAGTGATTTGAACCTGGACCTCTCAGGACTTGGTTTGGCATTCTAGCCTTTGTTTCCCTAAACTGGTACCCTCCAGATGTGTTGGACCGCAGTTCCCATAAGTCTCAACCACCAAGGCATCAGGTTGGAAAAAAAGACTGCTCTGATCAGGCTACCACACAGTTTCTTCTTCAGCCTAGGTCATAGAGAACCTCTTTCCTTGCTATTCCTTGGTAAGCTTCAGAAAAGCTATCTACTAAAGCAAGCATACCTCTTCCCAGCTCATTTGCGCCTTCTTTTCCTGCTTCTAGACAGTAAAGTATATCTGGTTAGGGTGGCCAAGAGCTCTACTTTACAGAGACAGACCTGTGTTTGAAAGGCTTTCCAGTCTTAGCTGCATGAAATTAGGCTGAGGGTTTCAGGTTGTCCACCGCTGTTCTAACTGCTTAGGCTGGCTTCTGACTCTGAGGCTTCAAACTGCTATGGCTTATGAGGCTGTATTACATGAATTCCAACCAAGACTGCTGTGTCTTGTCAATGGCAGTAGGCCATCTTCATAGTGCCCATACGCAGGTGCTAAGATTTACCTCTTTACCTTATGTGTTTAATTCCCAGAACACAAGTGTGGCAGAAGTGCGAGGAGGAAGAGAAAGTCAAGCTCCTCGCTTATCCCTATTCCCATGTCTGTACCTTCCAGCCTAGCAACTCTAGTTACATCTCTGTCCTGGTAACGGTCACCCAAGATCAACAAGAAGTCAACTACTTGGAAGAGCCATTTGAACTGCATCATGTGGGTAAGAATCTCCCAGTGTGTCTAGGCTACATTACCTGGGCTATTGTCCATCTGCATTTCTGGAGTAAGAAAATGTCCTGGGGGGTCCCTGGCACCAGACTGATAGATGCATTTTTTTTTAAAAAATAAGTTTTATTATTATTTTCTACAAACTAAAAAGCTAAAAACATCAATCATCAAAGACATCAGACATATTGGGTCAGCCCCTCATTTTTTTAATAACAATCTATAGCCATATTCAAATCTACGCATAGCCCCATTTCTCTAGCCAATAGTAAAAAGAGTTCCAAGTCTGATAGAAATATGTACCCTCTTTCTCCTTCAGAGACAAAGTCAGCCTGTCCATTTCAGCGCAATCCAAGATCTTTTTTTAAATCATTTCATCAGTAGGTGGTTCTTCACTCCTCCAATGTTGGGCAAATACAATCCTTGCCACAGTAATTACGTGTAGAATCAAATACGTTGCTTGTTTGTCGACATCATCAGACACAATGCCTAATAAAAAAACTTCAGGTTTAAATATTAAAGATTTTTGTAACATTTCCTCAAGCCATTTATGTATTTTAGCCCAGTATTTTTTGCCTTATCACAAGTCCACCACATATGATAAAAAGTACCAGGTTTATGTTTACATTTCCAACATCCATTTGACATATTTGGAAACATTTTTGCTAATCTATTTGGCAATAAATACAAGCTACAGACTGATAGATGCATTGTGGGTAGTGTTTTGTGTTGTTTTTACACTGCATTGGGTCCCTGGTATCTGAAGTTGAACTGACCAGCCAATTCTCTGTCTCTCTCTTCCCAATTACAGTGCTCACTGCACCCCCAAGGATCCTGCAATCCACTGTAAACAGGGGTACAATAAAGCTAGAGTGGGCCTCACCTCTGGAAAAGTTGGCTGAACACTTGGTGTATCAGATACAGTATGCACCACAAGACACTTTGAAATTGAAGGTAATATATAGGTACAGGAAGGAGGCTTGAGAAAGCATGAGGCCACTTTATTTATTTATTTGATTTTTAGCTTGCCCCATTAGCCCTAAGGCTCCCTTGTGCAGCTACTACCTTTTTCTCTACTTCAGCACTGTGGAACACAAACAGAAGCATCAGAGCACTGTCTCTGGAAAATATGTCTCTCTTTTCCCAGAGGATATCCCCATGTTATGCGGCTACAGAAATTGTGAATATGACTCTACCAATAAGAGAACTGGAAAAGCAGTGATGAGAGTGAATGCTTAATATTTGCTACACTCATTGTTTCTCTGCTCTAAATATACCCCTGTGAGGTAGGCATAGCAGAGGTGTACAAATGCATGATGTGAAGAAACTAGCAAGGGAACTTTTTCTCCCTCTTTTATAATACTGGAAACTGGGATCATGTCCTGAATCTGACAGGAGCCTCAGGACAGAGAGAAGGAAGTATTTCTTCATGTAGCACACAGCTAACATATGGAATCTGCTATCTCAATTGCAGTGATTGCAGATGCAATCACTGCAATTGCAGATGCAGTGATTATTCAGATGCAGTGATTATTCTTCTTCTGTTCCTAAGTTTGTGCAAGGGCCAAGGGAAACGAAGTTTGGTCTCTGCCGCATACAGGAAAAAAGCTGCTTCAGACCTAGGTAGCACAATGATGCCCTAGTTTCTGGATGTGAATCACAGGAATCTATACAGCAGGCTTTACCTGACAGGAAAATTATCTGGGCAGACTCTGCAGGTGCAGTACTCAAACAACACTGAAATCCACCTAGCCAATGTGGGTTGCTACTGCTTTCAGCTTCGTACTCAGCCAGATGGACAGATGTTCCGAGGCAGGTGGAGTGCCTGGTCAGAAGCTGTGTGCATTGAAATCCCACCTGGGGCAGGTAAGAGAGACTGCTCATACTAGAATTAGACTGCAGTAGGGCAAACGTGGTATGGGCAACTGTGGGGTGGAAGGAGCTGACAATTGGTATGAGAAGTGCTGAACTGCAGATGGGTATTCATTCAGAAAAGAGCTGCCACAGATTTGATCATAACCTGGCCTTCTGTTTCTATCCTAGATTCAATCATCTTGAATGTGGCAGTTCCACTGCTGCTCTGTGTAGGACTTGTGCTGGGGCTGGGGTGCACCTGCCTTTCCATTTACAGGTAACATAATCCCAATGCAACTAATGTAAAGTCTAACTTCAGTATTCAAGAAAAGCTCACACTTAGTGTGCTGCTCTGTGACAAAGGCTGATTTGTTCCTGTTATGGATCAAAGCCCATACCACAGAGAGCCACAACTATGCTTTGAGATCCACTGCATTTGCTGGTGTCACAGTGCATATTTCATTGTTAAGCAGCGTGAAACAAAAGCTCTGGCCACCCATTCCAGACCTTCACCGTGTCCTGGATGGATTCCTTGAGGATAATGGCAAGCAACAGCAGCAGGTGAGGTTTTCCTCTTCCATGCAGATAATGTTGGTGCAGTTTATGGATAAGAGAACAGTATAATAATTTTTGGTAGAATGCAACTTTTTCTAAATCCCTGTTGAAAAATGAAGCTTTAACTTTGACAGCTGTCAAAGGTGTCACTCTACTAAAAAAATGGGTGGCTCACAGTTTTGTATGTTCCTGAGGTAGCAGAATCTTGGGAACACATGCAACAGCATAGACACCTCTAGGATACATGAGCCCTAAACACTCCTGAGCATCTTGTCATGAATGGGTGAATGGGGTGCCATCACCTTTTCACAAGCAAAGATCATTCTCACCTTTGGGTACATTTGACAGATTGCCTTTTGACAGCTGTCAGATGTAAGCAAAGGGGAAAATAAAACTGCAGCCTCTGTGAAGCAATGCCCAGAGTGAATATCTGCTGGATTTGCTAACTGGCACCCCATTGTGCATTGCCCACCTGAGGCTCACCATTTCCACATTGGTCAACTACAGACATCTGCAAGTATTCACAAGTGCAAGTTATTTATTTATTGCAAGTATTTGTAAAAATTAGGGGAGATTAAAATGCTTTGGATTGTGCTTCCAAGGCACTGTGGGGGCACTTTCAAAGGACCACCCATAGCTATCAAAATGGGGATTGTGAGTCCGAGAAAAAAGATTGAAGAAGAAAAAAAGGCAAACCTGAAATAGCTCATAGTTGTGGTGGGGAGGAGGGAGACAACATGGTCTTCCTGTGCTGTCCCCTAAGAAACCTGCAGGAGGATCAAGGGTGGAGGAGGGCAGTAGGAAGGACCATGGTAATTCTGATCATCTGTTGGTCACACCATCGGTTGTTTTGGCTACAAGCAACCCACTGTGGCTTATTGCCAGTGTGGGTTAGCATGATGAGTGAACATGTTCGGACATTATGTGCACACATACACACGATGGAAGTTGGAGTGGGTTGGAGTTCAGAAGCCTTTCAGTATTCCTGATGCTGTTTCCCACCATTTTCTAGATGAATGCTTTCTTCTGCAATAAGACTTTAGAAGATGTACCTCTGACTTGCCTACTGGAAGTGCTATCTGGAGTGCCCCTGGAAACACCAAACTATGGCCCTCTCCAAGACACCATTTCAATGCAGCAGGCAGAATGGAATAGCCAGCCTTCTTCCCACCAGCATTACATGGTGCTGAATCCTTGCAGACCTCAAGGGGGGCATAATGAAATTGAGTATTTTGATGGTACAGATGATGGATATGACAGCCTCCCATTGTCATTGGAACATGATCCATCCATCCTTTCAGATCCTAAGACTGAACTAAGTTCCTTCGCTTTGTTTGGCACACCACTTTCAGCTCATGAGACAAAAGAGGAAAGAAAATGGGAAGCTTCAGGGGATCAGTCCACATCTGCCACACACATATCAAACCAGTCTTACCTACTGATGGGCTGATTTGCATGGGAGAAGATTAGGTCCTGTGGATGTTTGCAGTATATTAACAGCAATTTAAAGTTGTGGGGCAACTGCTTTGTTAACAAATCCTGCAACTGATATATTCTATTTACTTACTGTCCTAACAACATTAGACTGAGGGATGGGATATAAAGTGAATGCAGATATGCCCACATGGCACTTTGTAACCAAGTGGTAGCATAGATTTCCAAATCTAGTACAAGCTGTGCCCATTAATTTATGATTGATTTAGGATTGTTTATCCACAGGCATTGCATCTAGACAGCCAAAAGCACATAACAAACCCATTAATGCTTTCCTTAGCAAGGAGTAGGCCAAAGTGGTTAGTTGACTGGGATGTTTTAGGAGAGGCATAATAAACAAGTCAATTGCTGAAATTAATTCATTTATCATTGGGAAGTATTTAGAGACAGAGCTATATAATAAGCATATGAGGGTGAACACAAGAATATCAATAGCAGCTTGGTAATGTGACCAGCAAGTCACACTAAAGATCATATCTGTTTGCTCCACCTTTAACCTCATTTTAAATCACACTAGCCACAACTACTTCCTGTAGCTGAGGAATCATGTTATTTACATCAACAGCACTGCTAGTGCATAAAACTATCATAGAGGGACCTCCTCCTATTCCCAGATAGTTTTGCAAGCTATTTTGCATTGAAAACAACAAGACAATTGTTTGAATGAATAATGCAGCAATCTTGTGTGTGCATGTGTAAGAGTGAGAAACGTGAGAAGAGAGAGAGAAGCAGTTTAAGGGCCTATTGCTGCTAGAAGCATCACTAGTGTGATTACTGTATCTGTGAAGATTTCTACCAGCCTAATCTCCTTTGGAAAGCTGTCCCATGTCCATGTGAAGCTCTGCCTGGAACAAGAAGGGAGAGCAAGGCTGAAAGTGGAATCAGCGCTACAATTGCTGGTTTCTTTTACATAGAAGGAAGAATTCAGGTGTATCCCATGGGAGGAAAAAATACATGGTAACTGCTGTTTTAATGTAATACATTCATGCAGTCCTAATTTCACTAGTTTCTGATTTGGGTACCAGCTAGGTCACTGGAGATGTTGTCTGCCTTCAGTTGAAAACACCTAGAAGATAGGGAAGTCATATTTCAGACAGTATAGTAGACAAACGGCTTTCAAGATGTTTGCCAGTATGATCTTTATTTTAAAAGTAAATGCAATCCTGTGAAGCTAGATTTTAGGAGAATGCAAGGCATAATTGGTTTAGTCAAACTAAAAAAATGTGGGGTATGTATTGCAAATCACTGCCATTGACACATCTGTTACAATTTAGGTTTGGCCCTGCTGTGTTGTTATTAGAAGTATTGATTGAGGCTGAACAACTATACCTACCTACAAGTCATGTGTAAAATATTTATTATCAGTGAATAAATACACACATACTCTAAAACAATAAAGGAACAATGAATTGAAGTATCCTGTTTTGCCAATTGAATTGATTGCTTCATTAGTGTCTAATTCAGAAGAGGTAATGGATTTTAGTTACATTTAATTCAGCAAAAACTGTTATTTTTTGTATATTAGATGGCCCAACACCTTTTTGATAAGGGTTTAATCAAATTGACCAATTGTTGGAGGTTTAATACAGGTTATGCTTCTCTTACTCCTATGTTTTGGCTCAATGGCAGTTGTTTTGTGGGAAGAGGTAATGATGCAAATAAACTTTGTGATGGAAAATTAATATTTATGGGTATGCATATTCTGACTATCTTCCTGTCTCTTGGAACTTAATACAAGATCAACATAAATGGCCTTTCCACATCCCTTTGACAGCTGAAAGACTAGTATTAGAACATTGGAAGGACAAATAACCACCTGCAATAACATAATACTGTAACTTGATGAAGCTCTCAATTTCTGTATTCATGGTTTTTAAATGTCATCTGGCTTTGTTGAAGGATATGCATGATTGTCCGTAGTAACTGTAGAATATACATAAAATATACGTATTGTACATAGAATGTAGTCATTGTAATCGATTCATATTTCATGTAAGAAAATGGTAATAGTTAATCTTATTTTTTTTACTTTTACTTTTGAAACTTATAATAAAAATTAAAAGAGCATTGCAAATTGCCCTAATGAACTTCTTATTCCAGAAATATTATAAACCTTTTATAGATTTATATGGAGTACTAATATACTAAGGGATGGTGTGGAGATACCACAGGGATACCAAGGAGGAGCATATTTCAAGAATATTCGGGCTGGGATAAAGGAAAGCAATAATATATATAGGGCTTTTCTTGTAAAATGAGATGGGCCTTAGAATTCTGCCTTCAAAACTCATGCTCTATGGGGTATACTATCTGTTCATACAGCTTCCATGTGTATACCTTGTATAAGCTATATTGGTGGTGCTGCTCTTGATCACGACAAAGATCCTTTGGCTGGAACAGGCTGATTTTATGGGACCACAAAATTATTACATATACGTGTGTGGGCCAAAAAACTACAGCCTCTCCTAGCCATTCCCTCAGTCCTAGGGAAATTGATAAAATTGGTCCATTAGAAAACAACTTGTACACCTGCAGTTACATACACGTATTTGTATGTAACTGCAGTATTTAATATGAGTCCCAAAGAACTCAGTGGAGCTCACTTCTGACTAGACGTATTTTATTGGGTTTCAGTGAACAGTGCCTTAAAACAGAGGCAAGCATCATAATTCTGTCCAGATGTTTTTGGCTGTAAATCCCCTACTCTTTTACCTTTGCCTGCGTTGGTTCGAGCTGATGGTAGTTAAGAGTCTAAATCATCTAGTTAAGAAACAATATTGGCCTGTCTGCCTCAAACCAGCAGTTGTCATTGATTTAGCATGCTACCAATATAACCCTACTCTCTAATTCACTGTCAAGACTATTTTTTATTAACAAAACACAACAAAAACATAGCCACACAATAACAAGCAGAGATACACCAAACTTTTCTTGAGAGTATAGAATAGTTAAATACATGCAAATATTTAAAGTTCCTGTCCCATATCCTTAATATAAGTCATTTAGCACAATAGAGAAGAATTTGCATCTATTCCCAGCAACAACTGTAATTAACTCTATTCCCAGCTAATGCTCAAACTGACTTTATTGCTTTTCTGGGCTTCGTGCTGTTAAATCAACTGACCTGAGAGCTTGTTTTCAGTTAGGGATCACAACAGATATTAGCAGAATTCCTCATTCAGATGAAGTCGGCAGCCTGGCATCCTCCCTTGGGTTCTCAAGGAAAATAACACATACAGGTGGGGCATAAGACTGCTTGGTGCAAAACTTCTATTCCAAGGCTGGCTACGGCTGAAAGCCAGGAATGAAATCATGACTCCGTATTTTAACAGCCTCGAGACCAACCACATCGTGCTTGAGGTTAAGTCCTACATGTAGGCCTCACTTCAAAGGGCAGGTGAAGAATGGGCAGATTCGGAAGTATCCAAGCCACCAGAACGTGGTTAGGTATGGTTAATGGTCTTGCTTGCAGTACCTTGCCTTGCAGTTAGGGAAAGGTTAGAGCAAGGAGCAAGCAATTCGTGACCCCTCATATATGCAGGTCTACAACTCCCATGACCCTTCAGTACTAGCTTTGCTGCAGGACTGATGGGAGTAGGGGGCATTCCGAGGTTAGCTCTAACTGAAACAGGATTCAAGAAAGCCCAGCTCAACTGTGCAAACATGTCGGTTGATGGTAGAGCCTATCCATGAGTTCTGTTGGGCTCCGTCCGGGAGAGGGAAAAACAGTATAAAAGCGCGAGAGTATAAAAGACGGTAATTTCCCAACGTCCCAGTATGTGTGAGAAACAGGTAGGCTCCATCCAAAACCTATCCCGCTACAGCAACCTTCCCCCACGCAGGTAGAAGATACTGGGAACTGTAGTCCACTACTTCTGAAAGCCACCAGTTTGGGGCATTATAGAGTCTTTTTCGTCTGCCCAGAAACCCAGCACCCTACATGAACAGGGGCTTGGGAAAGTAGTGTTTCTGAAAATCACCGTGCAGCCGCTCTAGGGGCAGGCGGAGCGGAAGGTGAATCACACACATCGCCCAGTCTGGCTCCACTGCAGTCCTCTAGACGCGGACAGAGATCCCCACTTGCCACACGCCCCTCGGCATGCTCTAACCGCAGCGCCAAGCGCCATGGGAACGACTCCGCCTCCAGAACTACGAAAAGCATCGCTCCCCCATAGCAACACCCTCGCAGGCAACTTTCCTCGCTCTCTCCAGACATGGCTCCGCCCAGCGAGCTTCCCGAGAATGAAGCCGTGCCCATGCATCGTAGAAGCGCCAATGAGAGAAAAGGGGCGGGCGGTTCGCCGGGCACCTAGAGGCTGTTGGGTTCGAAATGACCAATCGCTGATCAAAGTGGCGAGTTTAAATCCTGACTGGCGGAAGGGCCCAGCGGTGTTGCAGGCATAGCGAGAGAAGCGGTGAGTTGGAAGTTTCCTGAATTGGTCTTTTGCTATTCCTGAAGCTCCTCCGTTATTTGCGGGGTGTTACCCCTTCGAGTCTTTCTCTCCGTCCCTGCAGCGTCTCCTGGGGTCTGGCTGTCCGCGTACATCGTCCGCCGTTAGATACCAGCTGAGTAGTACACGAGGCAGTCCTCCTGGCCAGGTCAGAAATTATGACAACGTATAGCTGCTAAAAAGCAAAATAAGCCCAGTTGTAATAGTACAAGGATGAGCGGTTGTAGGCCAGGTGCTTCGGCCTACATCAGCTCCAGCCAGCATAGGCTATAGGGAGGAACGGTGCGAGCTCTAGGCCATAATGTCTGGAAGGTTACAAGTCACCTCCACCCCCTCCAGTAACTAGGCATTAAATAAAGTTAGTGCATGATCTCTCAAAACGTAGATGGGAATCTGTTAATTCCCATCCTAATTCTTGCACGGAAGTATTAAATGTGAATATCTGTAACATAAGCTTTTGCGGAAAATAGCCTGCTTCAGCAGAAACACAGAATATTGTGTAAAGTTTCAGGTTTTTATATAGTACACATGGTGGGGTAGGGTAAGAATTGTAAATAAGTTTGGAAGAAAATTAAATGCAGCCAACCATATTATAAATAGTGGCCATCTATGGTGCAGATGGTGGTAATACAAACTGTTTTTTTATTTTAGTAAAACACTTCACGCTTGTCTAACTAAAAATGTCCCAGTCCAGTCCACTTCAGCTCACTCACACCAAGTACTGCAATTTTTAGCTATTCCATTTCTTGCGTTATGGTTTCCAGTTTGCCTTAGGTCATGCATCTGATATTCTATGTTCCAGTTGAATGTTCTGTGCAGCATCATACTTTCCTTTCACTTCTGTGCATGTCAGCCTCTAGTCTTCCTTTTGGCTTTGATCTAGTTGTATCATAAGCAACAGCACTATTAGTACCTTGCTGTTTCCCAGTAGCTTGATCAGTGCCTTCCAATCTGTGGGTCTCATCTTCTGGCACTATAGCCTTCATTTTGGACTGTTTTCTTACAAGGTTTTCAAGGTAAGAAGATGCAGAAGGGGTTTACCATTGTATTTTTCTGTGCAGTTAGCTTGAGTTTGACTGAAACAAAGAACCTCTGCTAGTACTGTCTTCAGCTACTGTCCAATAGTGCCCTTCAGAAGTTTCTCCATCCGAATCAGCATCAGAGATAACCATTCTCTCCTGCTGATGTGACTAGTACTCTTGAAGAGGATGGATGCATCATAGTCTGGTGTCTCAGCTTTGAGCACTGTGGCTTGGGTGACCCTGCTAGGAGATCAGCCTAGTGAGACAGTCTGACCTCCTGGTGGCATTGTTTTCAGTTTCCCTGACACTCTCAAACCTCCTCATGTTATGGTGTCCATCCAAAGGGGAGGGGGTGCGGAATCAATACATGCAGAGTGATAAAACTCTGTTATCCTTCTTAAGGCCTCTAGCAATAGAAATAAACTGTTGCTGAACTATTGCTCTATGCATCATGAAAGCTTATGCCAGGAAAAAACCCTAAGGTGCCACAAGATTATAATTTTGTTGCAATGGACTAACAGTTACGTTTTGGAAATTATAATGTTTTGCAGGTAGCATTCGCCTCTCTTGGATCTTTTGTAGGTAGCAAATATCTCCTCTCTTAGGAATGCTATGAGGAAGAGCCTGCAGTACTAGAAAGCAAAGTAAAAACTGCTCTGACAGCACTTGGAAAGCACAAAGCACCCAGAGTAGATAGGGTAACTATTTCAAGCTGCAGAGCCTGAACCAGTCCAAATTATAACAAGAATATGCCAACAAATATGGAAAACAAAAAAATGGCCCACAGACTGGAAATGTTCAATATACAATCCAATCACATCACCAAGAATGTAGATGCAAAGACTGCAGCAGCCATAGGCCCATTGCACTAGTTTCTCATGCAAGCAAAGTGATGATCAAGGTGTTACAGCAAGGAATTTTACTCTATATGGAATGAGAAATAGCTGACATTAAAGATGGATTCTGAAAAAGAAGAGGTACTAGAAATCATATTGCAAATTTTTATTAGTTACAGGAGAACACCAAAGAATTTCAGAACATTGTTTTATAGAGTACAGAGTCTGTGTGTGGCTCTGAGAAGCCACATGAGAAGCTATGTATGGTTCTGAAAGAAATGGGGTGTCTCAGTGCTTGATTGTCCTGATGTGTAACCTGCAGAGGCAGTCCTTGGGTTATGAACAAGTTCTGTTCCTGAAAATGTCTTTAAGTAGAATTGGTATGTAAGTCAGATCACATTTATAAAACATAAAACACTTGTTTACTTCCATATAGTCAGCCATCCAGATTCTCCAGGGTTAGGGGCTTAGGACCCCTGCAAAAGTGGAAAAGCCTCAAATATATCTAGTCCTGCTCCCGCCCCCCACTCACCAGTGCTGCCTCCTTGCACCAAGAAAATACTGGAGAGATTTCCTTCTCCTAATGGGTGGGCCTGGAAGATCTGCTTTGGAGGCCTTCTCTCCCCTTTCACTTCCTCACTCTCTATGGTGATGATGATTTTCTGCAGTAGTATGAAGAACTCCAAAAGGTGTGAACTCAAATTTTTAATTAATAGGTTTTATGGCAGTTTGTAAGTATGGGTTGTTCATAACTTGGCTGTTCATAACTCGGGGATTGCCTCTATTGTGGACAAGATACTAATGTTAGGATAGAATATGGAGAAACAAAATGGTTTCCTATAGGTAAAGGTGTCAGACAAGGGTGTATTTTATCTCCCTATTTGTTCAATCTGTATGCAGAACATATAAGAAAAGCTGTAGAAAAGCTGTACTACTGGCAGAAAGCGGAAATAAATTGAAACGACTTCTGATGAAAGTTATAGAAGAAAGTGCAAAAGCAGGATTGAAATTGAATATTAAGAAAATAAAAATCATGCCCACAGAAAAAATAGATAATTTTATTGTTACCAGTGAAGAAATTGAAATTGTAAAGATTTTACATTTGAAACATGGTGCCGGGGAAGAATGTTGTTGAGAAGAATGTTTACCTTTGCTGACAAAAAGACAAACAAGTGGGTCTTGGATCTAATCAAACTAGAGCTTTCCCTAGAAGCGAAAATAAGAAAACTGAGGCTGTCATACTTTGGGGGTATTATGAGAAGGGCATTATGGCACTCCCTGGAGAAGATAATCATGCTAGGGAAAGTAGAAGGCAGAAAAAGAAAAGGAAGACCAAATATGAGATGGATTGACTCTAAGGAAAGCCACTACTTTAAATTTTGAATGGCTGAGCAGAGCTGTCATAGAGTATTTTGGAGAGCTTTCATACATATGGTTACCATAAGTTGGAGATGCCTTGATAGCACATAACAACAAGGTAGCATTCACTGCAATGCCAAACCTGTGTTTCATCCATGCAGCACCCCATCCCTATGGCACAGTTCCTGTTTGAGAGTGACTTGCATGGGCTGTTGAAGTTGGATGCCCCTATACCAAATGCACCTCCTGCACGATGGCAGCGCAAAGCCAGGGAGGCTGCTATTGGCAGCACTGGATCTGCCTCGGACACCACAGCTCCTTCACCTATGAAGCCAGCTAACAGACCCCATAGCACCAGCAAAACACCTTCTAAAACACCAGGTAGGTTCCATATTGTATCCAGAGGACAAGTACAAATTAGGTGTGTGACTGAGGTTGTGGACTAAACCTGGAATCTAACAAGTGCCATTTCCTTGTGCTGTTGATTTTATCCAATTAGATTTGAGAAATGGTAGGGCCACCCCCTCACTCAGTGGGACAGTGAAATAGCTGCCGAAGTACTCCTTGCTCTGAGTCTAACATACATCCCCTAAACTGTATCTTGGGGAATATCATTTAAGCAGGTCTGGTTGGTTTTTCTCTGTCTCTGCCCTGCAGGCAAGTCAGGTTCCAAAGGACAAAACACTCCAAATAAAACTGGAGGGGATAGATACATTCCCAGTCGTAGTGCTATGCAAATGGATGTGGCCAACTTCCTCCTGACCAAAGATGATGACTCTGATGAGACACCCACCAAGAAGGTGAGGAGAACGCTTGTGTTGGGTGGTCCTCAATCTCTCTTGTTCAAGAGCTTATACCTGCCAAACAGTTTTGGAGCAAGAGATGGTTCTGAGACCTAAGAACTGACAAAGCAAGACTCTTGGCAACAGGGATTGTAGCTTTTAAGTGGAGAGTTTGAAGAGGTATGTAGTCCTCCTGTGATGTGCTTCTGAAGATTGGTGACTGATATGTAAGCCTTTTGCCCATGTTGAGAAATCAAAGCACTAAGTACATATCCCTAGCTTGTTGCACATGAAGGGGTTCACAATTATAAACATATCCTACAGTATATGATTTGTGCCATCTGTGCTACAAACACTATGCCTGGTCTGTACTTATGGTAAACTGGCTTCTGTAGGTGAAGTGAGATGCTGGATTATATAGCTATGTAGATATGGATCTCGGAGGCTTGCAGCTCTGAGGACTCTGTTGCATAGAGCAAACTGTCACTGATTTCTTATGGTGCTTTTTTCTCCAAGGAGCATCAAAAGGCCTGGGCAATGAACCTTAATGGCTTTGATGTAGAAGAGGCAAAAATCCTGAGGCTGAGTGGGAAGCCCCAGAATGCCCCTGAAGGTAAGTCTCTAGAAGGGTAGTTGGAAGCTGAGACATATGCTGGATAGGTGCTATGTTCAAAAGTGCATCTTCTAGATGGAACTTGCACAAAGTTATGTACCCAAATAAGTGAAGACACGGGGCATCTAACTGGTACTATTACATTACTGGTTCATGATCTAGCTCACATAGTTGACATCCCTTGACCTACTGTTGTGTGACTTCAAGTGGAAATTAGGAAATTATGCCTTGGGTGGTAGTCAAATGAAGCTTTGACACTTTCAGTTTATAAGATTCTTGTAACTATCCTGTGTAAGTCATTCACTTGCCTGCTTGCTTGTTGTTCAAGTAGCTGTTCAGAACTGTGCTGGTGCAGGGCAATGGCCAGATCCTTTTGGGGAATGTTTTTGCCTCTCTGCTCCTTTGGTGTATGGCCTCAGGCCCAGGGTTAAACCTGGGTGACCACCCCTTTGCTCCATCCTCTGGCCTCTGTTCACTGATCTTTTGGTAGTTTTGTGGCTTTTTGCAGCTTCTTCCCATTCTGCAAGGCTGAAGTGCCTGCAGTTAAGTCACTGGAAACAAACGCTTCAAGCTAAAAACATGCTGGTATTTTGGGTATTTGGTTGTGCCCACCACTGGAATATGGCCCTCTAAGAGCTTATCTGAAATGGAATTTGTATTTTAGGCTGAGAGCTTTAATTACACCTTTTCTATACAAATGGTAATGGTGGGGGTCTCTCTAGTTTGTGCTCTTTTTTACAAACAAAAATTGGACTTCATCTCTTTGTATGCAGGGCAAACCTAAGACAAGTTTACTTGGACATAAGTCCTGTAGTGTTTTCTGGAAATGAGTATGCATAGAACTGCAGCCTTAGCCGAAATGATAGTAAAGTTCAGAGCAGGGCTTCAGTGCATGACTTGAGGGGAAAGCTTCCCTGCTGAGCAACTTCATCCCAGTCTCTTGTGCCTACAAGAACTTCTGGTGTCCAGTTGTTCTAACTGCTTGGGCAATTGTCCAGTTGCCCTAATGTGGGGCTGGCTGGGACAATTCATTGGAACCTGTATCTACTTAAAGTACAGAAGAAGCCAAGAAAAATACTGACTTGGTTGCCCTTGGCATGAGCTAGTAATCACTGTAACTATCTTCCCTAGGATACCAGAACAATCTCAAAGTGCTTTACAGCCAGAAGAGCACACCAGGCTCCACTCGGAAGAATGGTAGATACATAGCCTCCATGTCAGACCGGATTCTAGATGCACCAGACATTCGCAACGACTACTGTAAGCAGCTGAAGGCATGGAGTTCCAGCCCTGCTGGGACATTGCTGTGTACTTGCAAGATGTAACAGTTCTTATTTGTTGAAGAAGTTGTATCTCTGTTAGAGTCTATTAGAGTCAGCTATTGCAGAAAGGAAGAGAAGGTTTTAACTGACTTGGCTGGGGTTTCCCAACTGTGGAGGTTTAGATGAAAAGGATAACGCTGTGGATGTTGTATTTTTCATCATTTAGATCTGAACCTCATTGATTGGAGCACCCTCAATTTCTTGGCTGTGGCTTTGGATAAAACAGTGTATCTCTGGAACTATGATTCCCGAGAAATAATACAGCTTATGCAGATGGAGCACCCAGATGACTATATTTCCTCTGTGTCTTGGATCAAAGAGGGAAATTACCTTGCTGTTGGCACAAGTAATGCAGAGGTCCAGGTAAAGGGAATATGGTTTTGTTTAATGGCCTCTGAGATTTATTGGTGACTTAATCCTTTGACAATTAATTGCAGGGAATGGGTAGGAATATAAGCATAGACAGTTATGATCTCCAGCAGAAGTTATGTAAGGACTCTTGGGGAAGGCTTTTAGCAGTTGCTAAAAGGCAAGTGGTATAGCGGCAAGTGAAGTGTTGGTGACTTTAGGGTTTAAGAATGATAACTCAGTTGGTTCCCTAGCTGTAGCCTGATCATTCTCTTCCTTCTGATGCTTCCAAACAATTTTGAGTGGATTAGAGCTGAGCTCGGGAAGTTTTAGGTTTTAGGTCTGCCAGCTGAAGCCTGGTGAAAAATGAGTGCTGAGCTCCCAGTTCTCCAACACAAATACCCAGTTTCTCCCACCACAGCTCTTTCCATTTCAATAATATGAGGGGAAGATTGTCATTTTATTGATACTTTTGAGTGTTGGAGAGTCTTGCTGACCTACTGCAAATCAACCAGAGATATATTGGTAGGTCCATATATGGTTTCTTCACATGCCTGAGTTAGAGAGAACTGGGAGAGTCACCATATATGCTACACACCCTTGCAATAGTATTACAGAATACAGTCGGTATTAGCAAGGTCAGGTGTAACCTTTGCTTGTGATGGTTCTAGTTGTGGGACATCCAGCAGAAGAAACGTCTACGAAACATGGTCAGTCAGTCATCCCGTGTGAGCTCCCTAAGCTGGAACAACTACATCCTGTCCAGGTAAGGACAAGGGATGTCGTGAGCATCACTTGCTAAGGTTACAGGTAACAGGAGGATTTCTTATAAAATCTCGTAGCAGATTTTGGCCTCCAGGTACATTTGACTTAGAGGGTAATTCTAATCTTATGTCTTCTACAGTGGGTCAAGAACTGGTCACATCCATCACCATGATGTTCGTGTGGCACAGCACCATGTGGCAACACTTGCTGGCCATACACAAGAAGTGTGTGGGCTCAAGTGGGCACCTGATGGCCGTTACCTAGCCAGTGGGGGAAATGACAACCTGGTAAATATATGGTCAACTGTCCAAGGGGAAAATGGATCAGTTAATCCTGTACAGACCTTCACACAACACCAGGGAGCTGTTAAGGTGAGCAAGGTGGCAAATCTGTAGACAGCATATGTCATGTAACTGACACAAAGAAAGGGTGACATGCTCTTACATTTTTCTAGGCTGTGGCTTGGAGTCCATGGCAGTCTAATGTGCTGGCAACAGGAGGCGGAACAAGTGACCGACATATCAGGATATGGAATGTGTGTTCCGGTGCCTGCCTTAACGCAGTGGATGCACAGTCCCAGGTAGGTTCAGCTAGCACTGTCAATGGAAGGCAAGGAGCATGTCAATGTTCAATGCTCTACAGAGGTGGAACAGAAAGCAGATTTCTAGATGTGTTGGACTTCAGCTCCCACCATTTCTGGCCTTTATCTATTCTGGCAGTGGTTTCTGGGAGCTGAAATCTAAAACATCTGTGGACCTACATTTTGCTCACCCGTTCTAAGATATGGCTGCATCATCTCTACAGAGCATGTTTGGAAAGAAGCTAGGTAGGTCCTACTCTACTTAATGTCATGTTTCTCCTGTTCAACAGGTATGTGCAGTACTTTGGTCCACAAACTACAAAGAACTTGTTTCTGGTCATGGCTTTGCCCAAAATCAGCTTGTGGTATGGAAATACCCATCCATGTCCAAGGTTACAGAACTCAAAGGTGAGTTCAGGAGCTATGGGAGTATTTCAGGGGCTCAATTCATCTAACCTATAAGTTAATGGTGTTGCTGGAAGGATCTCACTATAATCAGTGCAGTCAAAATGTGTGTAATTTAATATGCTTCCCTCAGGTCATACTGCTCGAGTGCTAAGCCTGACAATGAGCCCAGATGGGACTACAGTGGCATCAGCAGCAGCAGACGAAACCTTGAGACTTTGGCGCTGCTTTGAGCTTGACCCAGCACGTAAGAAGGAGAAAGAAAGCAGTGCCAAGAGCAGCATTATCCACCAAGGCATCCGCTGAGCCTGGCCCAGTCCTCTCCCAATATATTGCTTTATGTACAGAATTTTAAACTATTAATAAATATTCTCTCTCCCCTAGATATGGTGTTAATATATGGGTTGATGTTTGGGATAGGGTGGAAAAGGTGTATTTGATTTATGCTGACCATCTGCAAGGCTTTGGACTATATACAGTGTAATAAAACAAAGTAACAACTGTTGATGGCAAACTAAATCCAGAGACTTCATCCAGAATTAAGCTGTAGTCCAGAAGATAAAGATAGGTACTTGTTCATTTCTGGTAACTATCTTGATCTTCTTGTGTGGTTCTTAAAGTTATGCTTCTTAGAAATAAGTCTAAGTAATGTAAGGAATCTTTGCTTCATGAATAGCTGTGTGTGTAATCATGAGAGGAACTCCCTTAGGAAATAAGGAGAAGAAATTTTCGATGCAAAGTCAAGAGGGCATCTGGCACTGCACAAGAGGGGCTAATATAACAAAGCAGTATGCCCCCTTTAGTCCTGAAGTGTAGTATGATTTTCTCTGCTTGGTGCTATCCAACTCTAAGCCCTGGTGTGCACTCCAGCCAGTAGGAGGAAGGATCTTTTAATCTGCAAACTGGTTAAGGGGCTGGGCTGGGAGGTACCACCAGTTCTGTAGAGGCTGTTGTCTTTCTGCCTCCAGTGTTTCAAAAGGGATGATAATATGAAGGAAATGAAAGAGTGAGAATATAGTGGCAGTTTAAACAGGAAAGAGGTGCTCTTTCCTGTTGCCATTGAAAAGGGTGGGGGGACAAGAGTTGCTCTTCTTGCCACCCCTCCATCCCTTTTCAGCCCTAGAAATGAATAATGGGATTCACCTTTTCTACCCCCGATATAAGGCAAATAAATTGCTGAAGTTGGAAGTTGACTTGGATTATTGAGTGTGGTACACTAGTGATTGAAGTACTTCAAATGGTGATTTTCAGCTTTCTCTGTCAGTTACAGCACCCTGTAAGATTAGTGCTACACACTATGAATGTGCCACCACCTGTAGAGAGTGCAAATTCTGATTATGCTTTTTTTGAGGAGTAAACATTTGTTCTACTTTGCTTTCATTTTGCCTTTGGTCTTGATTTGTTTGGGGAGTTAAATTCTTGTGTGTTGGAAGAAGTTTACTCCCACTGCTTCAGTGTCCAGGGATAAAGAAACAATGTTTGTTTGACTCCTTAATGGCAAGATCCTTTAAAAAATGTTAACTCAATTTTTGTAGGCCCAGACTGTGTTTGGAACAAGCAGTTATAAGCTTGAAATGGGGGTAGGGAGATTATCAACCAGAGTAATCTGTGAGTGAAGTCATAGCTCTACACTGTAGCAAAGGCTTAAATTTTAAGCCTATTCCCAATTGGTAGATTTTGAGAATCAACTTGACTGTATTAGCTCTTACCTTATCATGGAGCTTGGGAAAACAGTCCCGGAATTTGCTATTGACTTGACAACATGTCACTTTGATTAGGTTTCATGGTCCTTTAGATGATGGCTTTGAAAGTCCACCTTTTCTGAGACAAGAGGGCAAAGCAAGAACTCACAAGACTCAGTAGTTCTTCACTTATATAAATGTACAATGACCCCAGTAAAAATACTTTTGAGACTTAGAAGCAATCCTTGTGCTCCTTTGACTAGTATTCCGGGAGTTTCTTGCTAGAGACTTAGGCTTACCTCCTTGAAAGCAATGCCTTACTGAAATATACAGTATATCACAGAAGTGAGTACACCTTACATTTTGTAAATATTTTTATATCTTTTCATGTGACAACCTTGAAGAAATGACACTTTGCTACAATGTAAAGTAGTGAGTATACAGCTTGTATAACAATGTAAATTTGCTGTCCCCTCAAAATAACACACAGCCATTAATGTCTAAACCACTGGCAGCAAAAGTGAGTACACCCCTAAGTGAAACTGTCCAAATTGGGTATCATTAGCCATTTTCCCTCCCCGGTGTCATGTGACTCGTGTTACAAGGTCTCAGGTGTGAATGGGGAGCAGGTGTGTTAAATTTGGTGTTATTGCTCTCACTCTCATACTGGTCACTGGAAGTTCAACATGGCACCTCATGGCAAAGAACTCTGAGGATCTGAAAAAAAGAATTGTTGCTCTACATAGAGATGGCCTAGGCTATAAGAAGATTGCCAAGACCCTGAAACTGAGCTGCAGCACGGTGGCCAAGACCATACAGCAGTTTTAACAGGACAGGTTCCACTCAGAACAGGCCTCGCCATGGCCAACCAAAGAAGTTGAGTGCACGTGCTCAGCATCATATCCAGAGGTTGGCTTTGGGGAAACATGTATGAGTGCTGCCAGCATTGCTGCAAAGGTTGAAGGGGTGGTGGGTCAGTCTGTCAGTGCTCAGACCATACGCTGCACACTGCATCAAATTGGTCTGCAGGGCTGTCATCCCAGAAGGAAGCCTCTTCTAAAGATGGTGCACAAGAAAGCCCGCAAACAGTTTGCTGAAGACAAGCAGACTAAGGACATGGATTAGTAGAACCATGTCCTGTGGTCTGATGAGAGCAAAATAACCTTGTTTGGTTCAGATGGTGTCAAGCGTGTGTGGCGACAACCAGGTGAGGAATACAAAGTCAAGTGTGTCTTGCCTACAGTCAAGCATGGTGGTGGGAGTGTCATGGTCTGGGGCTGCATGAGTGCTGCTGGCACAGGGGAGCTACAGTTCATTGAGGGAACCATGAATGCCAACATGTACTGTGACATACTGAAGCAGAGCATGATCCCCTCCCTTCGGAGACTGGGCCGCAGGGCAGTATTCCAACATGATAACGACCCCAAACACACCTCCAAGATGACCACTGCCTTGCTAAAGAAGCTGAGGGTAAAGGTGATGGACTGGCCAAGCATGTCTCCAGACCTAAACCCTATTGAGTATCTGTGGGGCATCCTGAAATGGAAGGTGGAGGAGCGCAAGGTCTCTAACATCCACCAGCTCTGTGATGTCATGGAGGAGTGGAAGAGGACTCCAGTGGCAACCTGTGAAGCTCTGGTGAACGCCATGCCCAAGAGGGTTAAGGCAGTGCTGGAAAATAATGGTGGCCACACAAAATATTGACACTTTGGGCCCAATTTGGACAGTTTCACTTAGGGGTGTACTCACTTTTGTTGCCAGCGGTTTAGACATTAATGGTTGTGTGTTGAGTTATTTGAGGGGACAGCAAATTTACACTGTTATACAAGCTGTATACTCACTACATTACATTGTAGCAAAGTGTCATTTCTTCAGGGTTGTCACATGAAAAGATAAAATATTTACAAAATTTGAGGGGTGTACTCATTTCTGTGATATACTGTAAGTCAGCTTTCAAAGCAGCACTATGCAAAGCCATGAAACACTGGATAGCACTGTCTTTGTGGTTTGCTGAACCACACTCTGTTCCGAGAACCTTTGAGCATCACAGCTCCTCCTTTAATTTCCTGGAAGAAACTTCATCTCTTGGTTCCTTTATGCTGTCCTCTATCCACTTAGTACCACAGTCTCAGGAAACCTCTCTAGCTCTGCCATTGCAATGATTGTGCAGGAACCAAGATTTTGGCCACTCTCTCTGAAAGGCAGGCTTTAACAAGCATATGAAGTAAGTATAGTACAAAGTTGCACTATTAAGACTAAGAAACGAGAGAGATTCTCATTCAGCACCTTTCTCACTTTTCTTTGTTCAGACTTGCCGGTAGACTTGGGCTGCTCCAAGGACCATCAAGCCCTTTTGCCCATTCTAGAACTATTCTACATGCCGGAAGACTTAAATTCTTCTGCCCTTCCAGAAGAAGCCATTCCAAAAAATCTAATTTAATGCTGCATTCCAGCCATGCCTCTTATCCAGACACCATCACTGTGCCCCAGTCTGGGATAACCTCCTTGAACCTCTGGACCTGGAGAACTATTATCTAGAATTCTAGCAGTGCTGCAACTCAGAGTTCTAGTCTCCCCTCTATATTAACACTTGACCAGCAGAAACTTAAAAGTCATTCTGAATGCTTCACACTGGAACTGTAGGCGCTGTTGCCAACTGTCAGGGGAAAAAAGCGTCACTGTCCTTGCTATATTCTGGTTTTTATAGTACAGGAGGTCAGAATGATTCCTGCAACTTTAGAAGTCCTCAGATTTCTTACTATACTGCTTCAAGATGGAGAGCCCATGGTAGCTGTGCCTCTGGGCAAATTCCTATCTCTGCATTCCTTTCTGACTTGCTTATCACAATCATCTGCAATGTACTCAGAGCAGGTAGTACTATCATACTGCAGTCTTCCCTTTAGGCTAGCCACATTGCCAAGGTCCTTGGGGTCATCACTGAAGATGTAAGGCTAAGCAGCATACAAACTCATCCTTACCTTGATTAGGGCCCCCTCTAAGAAAGTGGAGCGACAGTAGCACTAGCCTGACCAAGCCAGAAGAGGTTGAGTGGTTGGAAAAGCTTGGGTATGGCTGTTTGTTCCTGAAATCTTTGTCAAGATCCAATCAGAAAATGCAGCTATCCTGGGGGCTTCTCACTGACCAAGATGTGTGCAGGGTTTCCAAGCTGTAGCGGACATCAGGCTCCACTGGTGTTAATTGTACACTGCACGCAGACTTCCTCAGCCAAGACCCTCTGCACTATCAAGAACTGGTCCTGCTCCATTTCTCAGGTGAAGACTAGTAAGATAAGACTAAGAAGCTTGAAATAGTTTCTAGAGTACCTTCTCCTGGCAGCCCGAGGGACTCCACCAGTAGGTATGTCAGAATACTTATTTTTTCCTATGGCACCAAGACAGGTATGGGCAAGATCTGAAGCCTAAGTTTTTCCACAGCTAGGCAGTGGCTCCGGATTCACTTTTAGCATCTTAAACAGAATTTCTAGTGATCACATACATTAAATGCATTTTAAGGACAACAAGTTTTGCCCTCTAGTGATTACAGTTTCCCATCTAGCCAATGAATTGGGTATATTTAAATGTTAACAAAGCCCTGTTTGAGCAACATGAAGACATTCAGTATTTTCTAGCCATTCAGATGGTTCCAGTGGTTGCCACATCTGCATGTAAATTGCCAGAACCAGTGACACTAACTTTATGCATTTTCCATTCTCAGAATTTTTCTTTCTCATAATCCTTTTTTTGTTCCAAAAATCAATTTTCCCTCCTTTTAACTAAACTCTTGACATTGAAAAGAAGGGACAGTATGCACTGGTCCTTAGTAAGAGAATTAGGGATTTTTTTTCTCATTACAAGCATCAGTCTGTCTTCCCTATCACTTAGGGGATAAAGGCCAAACTGTAGGACTGCCTCAAAGATATTATAGTTAAAATGTGCAAGTCAGAGGCCTACAGGATTCTAAGAAAGCCTATATGTTGGGATTCTACTTCCCTCCCACCAAAAAACAGCTACCTCTTGGGCCAAATACCTTCTGAAGAGGTGTGCATGGCAGCAACTTAGTTTTCCTTTCACTCTCTAAGCATTAGAACTAATAGGAGGAATCCTACGGGAGGCAAATGAACTACAAAGTAAAACTCCGTGTTAAACTTCCATGAAAGTGTACAGAATTTTGTAGCCTAAATCTTCCATTAGCAAAAATGTTTAGGAGTTGTGGATGATTTTCAGGGAATTTACAACTTAACTTCCTGTCCTATCTGGGTTTGGTAGGAATCAAGCTGAATCCAGATTTCGTCTTCTGCAAAAGAAATGGCATCTTCTCCCCACAGTGGTATTTTGATCCAGTGGAGGAATCCTACTAGTGAAAGGGGGGACTTTACTGAGTTCCCCCTTCAGCCTAATCTTGCATACTTCCAGAGGGTTCCCAACCCAGGTTTTCAGAAAGGGCCAAAGAACCCCACTTAAGGCAGCAGAAGGTCTCCCAAGTAGAATCAGTGCAAGGATGATGTTGTCAGCAGAGAACAAATCTGAACATAAGCCATTATAGTAAATTCAGAGAGTGAAGGCATATAAGGCATCTACCATGTCGAAGCTTGAGCTTGGAGTGGAGACACCTGGGGACTATATGTAGCTACACCAAGTCCCACAATGGGAGAAAGGTAGGATATAACTTAATAATAATACTGACCATTCCTGGATTCTTCTGCTTTGTATAGCTGACAGCTTCATTCTTATTTAAACACAGTCTTTAGGAATGACATCCGTACTCTAGCTTGCTTTTATGGTTTACAAGTTATACCTTCTCCTACCCTCAACTGTATTCCTGTAATGTGGCGGAATAGAAATAAAGTTTATAGAACAATGTGTTTATTGATGTAGAAAAGATTATAGCAGCTACATGCATGCTTCCCCTCTGACAGTTTTTTCCTACCTTTTTAACAGATGTCAAATACAAATACAATATTATGTAATAATAACCTCAATTGCTATTAATGAGAAGCTTGGCAAGCAGCTCTACCTTAATTAGAAATAAAAGCATCAACCAGTCTGATTTAGTACTGAATTGATATTAACAAGTACACTCTATCTAATCTTCCTACAACGGTTACGTTCTCTTTAGGAAAAAATGCACACAGTGTTAAATATCAGGCCAGAACATAAAAAGCTGATGCAGATGGAGAGGTTTTTACTTGTAACACAGTGTAATGTCCAACAATAAATACTGAGAGTAATATAACATAGGAAAAAGACTAATGTTCACTTTGTTCTGATCATGAGTTTTTCACTTTTCAGAGAAAAAATAGATGTTTGGGATTCCTTTTATAGACAAGAATAGCCAAGTGAGGAATTACATTAGTAAAACATGTGCCCCAAAAGTTGATTCATTTGCAAACCTCAGGATGAGAAAGTTGCTATTTTTAAAATGCTTAACTTTTAGGAAATAAAAATGTTTCCAAAGGAAGTTACTGGAACAATCAATATGTTTCACATGCATACTTCCCATCCTTCAGTAAATAAAAGCTTCAGTGAAGCTATAGTAATAAGCTTATGCAATTTAGGCTACAAATATAGCAGGCTGCCAACAGTAAAAATAATCAGTATAGCTTTTCTAAAACTGGGGAAATTGTTCTTCAGGCCATCAGTAAGGCAACTAGTATTAATGGCTATGGGTGGGTAATCCATCCCCCAAACTCTTCAAGCTAGTAGTTTTAAGCTCATTTTCAAGTTCAGTCTATTATACATATCATGTGGTAACCATCTGAAGTAACTGTAATTGAGTGCAACTTGTACTCCTTGTGCAACAGGTTTCTCCTGTAGCTTTCTTCATCTGTCAAACATATAGCTCAGCCCTACAACATCTTTATAGGGTTTCAATGTATAGTCTATCAGCTAGTCCAAACAGAAACCTTTTCCAGAAGATGCCAAGCCATTCACAAAGCTGCAGGCTAGCAGATTTCAAGTAGACAGTAGCGACTCTAGTCTATACACAACAGGATATAGAACCAAAGCTGTTTACACTGATAAAATGTGTCAGATTTAAACTACTGTAAACATTTGTAGTAAGCTAGAGGTTTTATCTTGAATATAAATGCAGACTGTTCAATTAGGAACACAGGAAAACAAATGGTCTTGATCACAGACCACTTACTCTAGGTTTGCCAGTGAGAGGCCATTTTAGAGCAGAAAAGGCAAAACAATTCTAGCAGCAAGCCATACCAGAAAATCTCATTTGGAAAACAATGTCATGTTCGTTTTTCATCAGTCCAGCATGACTGGTGATCAGATGTTAGTTATGCACTACAAATAATGTTGAAAACAGACATGCACAGGAGAACAAAAAAGTCTATTTTACTATTTCCAAATGACACCGCTAAGTATCTCTTGCAAAATAAAAATTCGTTATCAAAACTAAGCATTAGTTTAGGATATCTCAGAAGGGGTTGGAGAGAGTGAAAAAGAACTAGTGTACAGCAGAATAACAGCAGCAGAAGGATATTAAATAGTGTTACAGATGTTTCTATTTCAACCTAACAATGAACTTTGCTTAAAGGCTTTAAAACAGGATTATCATATTTGAAAAATAGCTAATGTATGTGTCAAAACATAGTGTGGGTGGTACAATCTCTCCAAAGCCTTGAAATCAAGAACAAGAACTACTATTCTCTTTCCATCCATTTATTTCTGTGAATACAAGCGGGAAACTCGGGAAAAAGGCACCTCTCCATGAGGTGTCCTCTCCAAGGTTTAGAAAGAGGGAGATTCTGCTCCTTGGAGCAGATCCACTAATAATAATAAAATCAAAGAAGGCACACAGAGCAACAGCATGCAGGCTGGACAATAGTGTCCTATTCTCCCTTGGTTTCAATGGGGCAAGACGTGCCTGTTGTCATCAACCCATGGAGAGCAAAGTCCAGAGTTATTGCTAAGGTCATGAGATCAGAGCAATGAAAAATTGAATTTATGTGGAAGGATGAACACTGAGGCCAGCCAAGGCAGCAGGAATGAAACCCTTGGCCTGTAGCACCCATTTGCATACAGCACAGGAAAAGGTATCTCTGGGGCAAGCCGAGTCCGGAGCAACAGGGGACCACTTACATTCAAGTATGAATGGCAGGACACCAATGGGTAGAGAGGATAGACTGAACAAAAGACAACCCAGATTTGGGATGGAGGGGCAGAGGAACAAAATTTCCCACCTGGATCACATGGAGTACATAGAACTAAATGGAAAGATGGGCCCCATCTGGCAGGGTTCTGCTTTGGTCCAGCTCTGGAGTGAGCCCAGCCCAGGGCAGACACAGGCACTTTGGAGACCTTGGGCTAGATCCAGCACCGACAGCCCCAGGCAGCCTCTCTCCCCTGGGACAACTGAAGGCCAGGCAACGAGAAATACAGGGCAATTGGGAAGGTGGCATGGAATTGCAAGACAACAGTCTGTAGGCACTTGGTCTGGCTAACAGGCCCAGATGGTCCGAGTCATCTTGATCCCACCCCTCTAGTTGGCCTTGGCTTTGCCATTTGCAATGGCACCATTCTCATGGAAACCGTTCTGCTGGGATTCTCTCAAGACCTTGGGCAGACGCTTGCCTTTGGTGTACGAGTGGTACCAGAAGTTGGAGAAGAGGATGAAGAAGATAACACCGTAAATCCAGATGAGGTGGATGAAGATTGGGAACTGGTAATTACAGGTGGGCATGAAGTAGTACTGTGAGATGTGGATGGAGACGAGCACGAACTGCAGCTGGAAGCAGAAGCAAGGGAGAGGTTATTGAAATAAAGTTTAGAACCATATCCCCTTCTCCACCCACAGAGGAGATGCTTAGAGAAAGTCAATTCAAGGTTGAAGGGACTAGGGAAACACATAGGAGTCTAGTACAGGCAACAAACATCAAATGAAGCACTGTAGTTCTTGACCATTTACTAGTCAAGAGAAAGAGAACAGGACAGTGTGACAGACCAATGGCCCAGCTGGAGGTGCTGGCATGAATGGCTTGGTCCTTTCCCTTTACTACTTACCAGCTGAATGGCAGTAATGTGCTTTTTCCACCACAAGTACTTTTGGAAGGCAGGCCCTGCAGCTGAGAGTGCATAGTAAAAGTACATGACTACATGTACCATCGAGTTCACCATAGCATGGAAGGAGCCCATTCCTCCTGCAGGATAAGACAGAGAAAAGAAGATTAAACACACTCCAGGTCTCTGAACTTGACACATTATTTCTAGCATGCACTAGACATTCCCTGCTTCTCCAGAGTTATCCAAGATACGAGGGCAGCACAGATGGCCCAGTTCATGCCAATAGGGCATATGCTACACAGTTTTGGTCACTTATTTTATTTGGCACTACTGTTCTGCAAGTACTAATTGTGTGCCTGTCTATTGTTTGTGGCACACTCAAATGTAAATCATACACTAGCTCAAAGGAAGTTGACTTGTCAATGAAGAACATAGAATTTGGCTTTTGATGGTTCTTCCAAAATGGGATTCTAGGAATATGGGATCCTTTCATAGCTTAGTATACACCAGAATGTGACAGTAAACAGAAACAACTGATGCATACCCATCAGAAAAGGAGTCTGCAGCCACAGTGTATACAGATATTCAGAGTGTATATACTTTCAGTGGAGGCACATGCTTTTCATAGAATCATAGAACAGTAGAGTAGGAAAGGGCCAAGAAGGCCATTGTGCCCAACCCCCTGCTCAGTGCAGGACTCTCAAGCTGAACCATCCCGTTTCATGTTCACAACTGCATAAGGGAGTCACACACCTGAACATCGTGTTACAGATAATGTTTTTTCAGAACTCAGAGGAAGGCTCATCCCTTCCCTAAGTCTCACCTGGGCCAAACTTGACACCCCACCACCAGCTCCAGGGTAGCACTGAATGGTGGAACACATGCAGGAAGGTCACCTGTTCATTCTTCTTTCTTAGGATAAAGATCACCTAGAAGCAACAGTGGATTGTGAGAGATGGGTTTTGGCTTGGCTGAGATATGACTGCAATGCCACTTTCCTTCATCTGACAAACTACTCCAAGACGCTGAGTAGAAGAGAAGAAACACAATGGCTGATGCCCCAAAAGGCAACATTCAGATTATCCCTAGGCAAATCTCAACTGTTTATTGGAAGGGCATCGCAAAGGAGCTTCAGACATGCTGGTTCTCTGCTTACTTGTATTATGAGCTGTGGATTTACTGAACTTTACTCTGACACCTTAGCTCAGCAATCCATTTTGTTCTGTCACAGCATGAATAAAAGCCAGGAACAAGACTAAGCCTCTAGGCACCAGTCCGTGCACACAAACTTCATTCAGACTTAATCTGAGTATCCGTGCAAGTATCCCTTAGAGCAAACAGTGAAATTGCCATGCCACCACCCAGCTAAGTAACCCATGAGGACAGTTACACACCCTGGCAAAAAATGTATCCAAGGCTGAAGCATCCTTACCTATCTGCCAGTTCAGCAAAGTCAAAGCACAAGAACAATACTAAGTAATCCCAATCATTCTTTTGTTATTAATATACAGTAACTTAATTAGCTACTAGCCAGATGTGAAACTAATAAAGAGCCAAGGAATTTCCCTGCACCTTTAATTCAATTGTGTGAACAAACTGGTTTTCTTTGTTTCACCTATCATAGAGCAATCAAACCCTTTGTACTCTTTGTGTCTAACCAGATGAAAATATTGATGTCTCAGCAGTAATCATTCATTCTTTTTTCTGGTCATGCACCTCATACTAGGTGTACACCTCACAGTTCTTAGAGTAAAAATGGGGCCTGACTGCTTTACATCATTATTCCTTGTAACTCTTTGCTAGCATGATTCTGTTCTAGTCTGGTGCCACGCCCATGATTTTCCTGGTCCAGAATTCTCCTTGTATTATCCTATTAAACCAACTTATGTTGCTGTGTTCGCCTGGAAAGACCTTGTATACCTGGAGTGAATCCTTTACATCAAATGGCTGAGATGCAAAGCTGGGTTCCATACAGTCAGGAACACAGTTTGGCTTGTGTTGTGACCATCTTGACATATGACTTGCCAATTCTGGATCCATGGGAAGTGGTCAAGGAAAATGGTTACTAAAAAGTTTGAGGGCATGTGCAATCTTTTGAATTCTACTGAAACACTAAGAGGAGCCCTGTTAGCCAGGTTTTCTCATCTAAAGCTATTTTTAATCGAAGTGTGGTGGCTGTGGGATCGTATGAACAGCTTTGCTTCTGTTCACTCTCGCTAGCTTCATCCACCAGATGCTCTTCTTCCAAATATCTGTGGACATGGTGATATCTGTGGACATGGTGCAGCCCATTGTCAACAAGAGCACCAGCACCTTGAGGCTACTGCCCCATTGTTGCACCTGCTGGGGAACTTGAGGGCGATCTGTACGCACATCATTTTTGAGATTTCTTACAACCAACCCAGAAGTGAAGTCTGTTCCTCTGAATCAAGCCAGTAAAAGCCATCCCTCAATATAGTTCTCCCAGTTCTCTTTATTTCTGCATGGACAATCCAACTTCACCAGCACCTGAGCTCCTCTCACTGCAGAGCTTCTCAACCCCTGTCTCCCTAGCACCACCTTCACTTCCTTATTTGGTAGTACTAACTTTCTAATCTTGTCTTTTTGTTCTATTAATTAAGTCTGTTAAGATCTGTACATTGTCCTATGTGCAATCTCCATTAAAATAAAACTTTGTTTTTAAACTAATGCGAATATTAATTTCCACACAGTGGAATTAAGTTCTATGGTATGTTTGAGCTAATGTCCTCAACTTAAAAGTAGCTACACACCAATTATGTTTCCCATAGATCTGTATTGTTTGCACACATAAACATGCTAGCAGCATGAACAAAGACAGTGAGCAACCAGGAGCACAGAAACGAAAGCCCATCCTGCTCCACCCAGAGTATCTTGCTGGGTTAATGGGCTCCAAGTGCAAAGGTCTAGTCACCATGTAGTTATAAGAGTGATTTATGCCAGAAAGCGCAGTACAACTAATTGGCCATTACCTTTCTCAATACCATCAGTGTGGTCTAAGAAAAAAAAGTATAGCTAACTGTGCTGCAATTAAAGAACTAGAAGCCTGATAGGAGCAATCACAAAGGAGCCAAAATAACTTACTGTGTCCATGAGCTCAATGACCTTAGAGAAGATGAAAACCCAGGCCACGTGGACCATCTATTAAGAGACAGAGCAAAAATCAGTAATCTTGGCCATTGAAGCACCAAACACTTTCTCTCCCTCTCTTTTGTTCTGCATCTCTTTCTTCTGTACCTCACAAGCCTCATCTCTTGTTTTGGAGAAACCTCAACATATAATGGTAATAAATACTAAACATGTTTCATATTGAAAAACAAAACAAGGCACACAATCCATGCAGAAGGGGGAAATCATGAGGAAGACTGAGGTATGGGGGAAGAAAGAACATACCCGTAGAGCTGTAGGACTCTGTGATGTATCTACTGGGTCACAACTCCAGGTATAGCCATTCAACCAGCCTGACATAAGAAACTGCAAGAAGAAAACAGTTGAAGCACACCATCCATATAATTCTTCCTCATTAAAACATACATTTCCAGTCACATACCATTCACCAGCTGTGTGTCATACACCCTCTTTGCCATACAAATCCTTCTTGAAGGCATGCCTACTATGTGCAAAAATCAGCACAAAACCTAAAACATTGTCTAATTTTCATTTCAGTAACAGTGATGCCATTTGCAATCTGCACAATATACACTTGCGTCTTCTCTCCTTTAGGTTTTTGGTTGATGTATTTTTGTCTAGGTTAGCTTTCCCCAAACCTGGTGGCCTTCAGAGGCATTTGAACCACAACTCCCAGAATTCCAGCAGGGCCATTGACTGAAAATTCTGGGTGTTGCAGTCCAAGCATGTCTGGAAGGCACAAGGTTGGGGAAGGCTGGTCGAGGTGGTGTTCTTATATACTCAGGCACTACAGTACAAGCCCAAAAGACTTACTTTGCACCTTGACATTAAAACAGAGACAGTGCACACAGTTCTCGTGACTCAAAAAGGTTGAGCATTTATACCCAGACATACAAGAATAAAGTGTATGCACATATCATTTATTAGATAACAAAGGCACAGTCTGATCTAGTGTGATTATGGTCAACTGGCTCAATGCCATACAATAGAGCTTATAGAAACTTTCAGGGTGGATTATTTATTAGGAATTACCTTACTTTAGGTTCCTCTGTCATACAGTTTTTGGAAGAAAAAGTTCCAAGTGTTTATTAATGGAAGTCTACATTCCCTTTAATGGAGCAAGGTATTATTTCTATACTGGCCTCCTATTTTTTCACTGGGCATAATAAGGGCTCTTATTTTTTGAAATTGTTGCATATTATTGATATGGTTTTTCAGCACTCTAATGTCTAATCCTTTGCCTTTGGCTGACAAAAGCCCAACATTTTCTTTTCCAGCCACAGTTTCGCACATGTCAGAACAGGAGAGACCTTGAAATAGATATTGCAAAGGTACCAGAAGCACTATCTATCACAGAAAACAAATGCTTACCTCATACACTATGTAGAGTGACAGTGCTACCATTGCAAGGTTATAAACAACCATGAATGTCTTGAGGTTCAGAGGCTTCCGATTGGCCATAAGCCGAGGGCCCAGTGACAATACAAAGAAGGCATAGCTCAGTAAAATACCAGTCATAGGCCACGGTGAGCCCATAAGTGGGTAAGAGGCAATCCGGGGATCTGTAGGAAAAAAGTAGATTGTTCCAAGGTGTGCAGGATAGCTCACCAATACTCTCCACTGTTCTGTTATCAGTATCTCAGTGTACCTGGGATTAGATGTTCTCTTTATATGAACTTTTTAGCTGTTTGTTTATTTACTCATTTTATTTACAAGATTTATATAATGATCTACATCCAACAGGATTGCTGAGCACTGAACAATAAAAGGAAGAAAACAGAATCAAAATACAAATTCAAATATTTAAAATAAGATTCTACTGACAAAGATGTGGGCATAATGTTATTACGGATATTGTTAACTGAACTGCTGGTGTATCTTACATTTATTTAATTTTTGCTATGTTTTCAATGAACTGCAGATAAGATTATTAGGGCAGCCCACCCTGTGAAACTACCTGCAGTGCACCCACCTTTTGGGCTCAGCATGGATTGCACCACCCGCTTGGTACTTCTGTGACTCTGCATTCTCCTCACCTTACCAACTGTGATCCTTTCATGCCTGCTGCATCCCACCTGCCACAGTTTGGGTATCACTTTTCCCATTCCACTGTTTCACAGCCAGTGAAATAGACACACCAGAGGACCTGTCACTGCTTTATCACCTTTTTCTTTTTTGCCTCCAATGTGCAGAGTTTGCATTTTTCAAAACTGAGCCAGAGGTGTGTACTTCCACAGGTTCAAAATGGGATGCCTCACCTGGGCAACACCCTGGGAGGGGGGTGTGTTCCAAGTACAGCAGGCACTAAAGCATGACCATTGACCCAGAGAGACTACAGGTAGGGCTTTTTTTTTTTACTTTGCTTTCCCTTTATAGCTGTCAAACACTGAACACTCAGGGGAAAGCAAAGCCACATGTGTTCTTTGTTGGCAATAGCAGGTAGCCAGTAGAACATCCCCTTTTCAGTGAAATCCTTTCTTTTCCTCCCTTTTCGCCAAACCAGACTCTTCTCCATAAGCAGTTTTGGCAGCTTCCTTTTAACGATTTTTTGATAGTTGACACCCCCCATAAAACCACCCATTTTAAAAGGAAGCCTGAGCTGTCAGAACTCAAAGAAGAAGAAGAAAGGATGGCTTGCACTATTCCATCTTCCTGAGCAGGGAATCTAACTGACTTGATTGGATGGGGAGGACCACCTCCAATATGACAACTCTGGAAAAGGTGGGGAGGTTTTAGAACACAGAAGAACCAGTTCTCAAACAATCCACCCTGCAGGGAGAGGTTCAGGATGAATGAAGGTTCAGGTTTGCACAACAACCCACCACAACTTTTCACTCATGATATGTTGTTGCACTGAGAACCCCGTCAATCTATTATAATTACTCTCGTATTTGGGGGTTTTGTGAGCTGGTTGGAGCTCACTGTATTGTGGAAAATGCAGTATACATATCAGCTGACTATAGTCTTTGTAACATCTGTGAGGAAAAAGGTAGTAATTATAAGGCAGCCACAGACTTGTTTCCCATTAGGAGCCAAAAGGAAAATTAGGTAAGTCTTTTATTCGTTAGTCCTCTATTCGTTAGTAATACAAGCTCACCTGCTCCCTTCATGAAGTCTTGATACATATTCACTAGTGAGTCCATGGCAATAGTACTGGAAATTGCTCTGTACAAGAAGCAAGAGAATGAGTCAGACCACAAGGACAATCTATAAGTGAGGCTTTAGCCCAGGCCCAGTTAAAGAATGGTTTGCACGAATGCACAATGTTGTCAACTATTTTTATGAAATTAGCTATTCTCTCAAATTCCTTCAGCTCTTTTTGCCAGTCACCAGGGCAGCAATAGATCACATGGAACCTCCCAGATACAAAATGTGTCTCCTGCTAAAACCAGCTATGGACATTATCTTGTGGCCCTAAAATCTCCTCTATTAGGCATTATGTCCCCTGGGAAGCTGTGTCACTTTGTCCCATCAGAACCACTGGTAAAAGCCATAGAGGCTACAACAGGAGTAATAAATATGTTGAATCAAGCCCAACAATCAGTATTTCAGTCTAGCATACACAGCTCTGTGGGTACTTTCATCCAAGATGGGGAAGAGAAAAAGATCACTCCTAGCATAGTCACATGCATGTCTTTCTCTAGGAGGAACAGACACAATCTGCACATGATGTGTTAATTGTAAAGCATCTGCGTCCACTTTGTGGGCACTGTCATGCAGCAACAACTAGCACCTGGCCCAGCCCTGTGTGACTCACCATGACCCCAAATGGAGGAAAACCTTCTCAAACTGTTCATTAACCAGCAAGTGTACAGTAATGGCCTCTCCCTTAATTCTAGACGACAGGAAATACAGCATGCCAACTATACTCAGAAAGGAAGCCACACTTTCCAAGCTTTAACAACTTCCAACCCTCCTGTATTTGGCCCCATATAAGAAATGGCTGATCCATACATGCAACGATCATAGATATTTCCATAGCTAATATTATAACTTTAGTCAGAGGTTATTATAAAACTCATCCCTCAAGTCAGGGAACAATATGGCTGTTTCAGCATTTTGTGTCAGTGCAAAGCACATGTGCATACACAGATCTTGCCTTTCCTAAATCCTGTAGCTGATTCAGTGCTGCCAAGCAAGAATGCCAAAGCAGATACCAAACTTTTGAATGCTGAAGGCAACATAGCCAGTTTCTGTCCTTTGCAAAAGCCTTATTTTTTTCCACATAGCCTACTAATCTGTAGTAGACATGGTCAATTGCCTACAATGTGGAAGAGACTACAAACTGGAGAACTTAAAAAATCATGTATTAAGTAATCAAAAATAGGATTAACAAGTGAGCAGTCCTAAAAAACTTCCAACAGAATCACATGCAGATTGCAATTAAGGAGAACAAATAGAAGATCCTTTTTATCCTGTTCTTTCAAACCCTATATTGTTGATAAATCTAGTTTATAAGCTGCAACAAGGGCTGCAAGAAGTTTAAAAAGGTTTTAGGAACCCTACCTAAGAAACACAATTAATAAAGCTTGAACACCCGAATAAAGAATAACAATATGAATATACAAAAGGTTACATATATCACTTATAAAGAAATTGGGTTTAGAAGCAGTAAAAGAAATAGCACAACAAAAAAGGAGAACAACAATAAATCTCTTCTAGAAGATCCAAGAAATCAAAGGGAAATTCAAACCTAGATTAAGAACGCTGAAAGCCCAGCACTGGAATATATATACTGTCTGACCATAAATAATGAGAAGATGGAAGTAATATACAGAACTATACAGCAGAGAAGAAAGGATGACAGACTCCTTGAAAGGGGAATCCTATGAGGAACAACCTGCAATATTAGGAAGAAAATTAAAAGCTGCTCTGAAAGCACTTAGAAGGAACAAAGCATGCAGGATAGAAAGGTTGCCCACTGTATTATTCCAAGTTGCAGAGAATGAATTAGTCCATATCCCAACAATAATACACCAAAAATAAGGAAAACAAACAATGGCCCAGACTGGAAACATTCAATATGCATTCCAATACCTCAGAAAGGAGATGCAAAAGAGTGCAGCAACCATGGGACAACTGGATTTATTTCCATGAGAGCAAAGTGATGCTCAAGGTGCTGAAACAAAGAATATTACCTTATATGGAGTGAGAACTGTCTGACATTCAAGCTGGATTCTGAAAGGAAGAGGCAGTCGAGATCATACTGCAAATATATGTTGGCTACTGGAACACACCAAAAAATTCCAGATCATACTGTGCTTTAAAGACTACAGCAAAGCCTTTGACTGTGGGGACCATGAGATGTTATGGATGGTCCTGAAAGAAATGGTCATGCTTCAGCACCTGATTGTCCTGATGCATAACCTGCATCATTGAGAAGAAGCTGCTTGTTAGGACAGAATGGCTGTATTCACACGTAACGACAAGCCATGGCAGGAATGGCTTGTCATTATGTGTGAATACTGGAAGCATTCAACCAAGCAGCACATTGGTTACTGTGAATCACTATGAAGGACCAAGAGTTTGTTCTAAAGTTTCCATGTTTCAGCATTGTTTCTTATTATATGTGAAGTCAGGTGCAATGTGGTTTCCCCATTTTTGGCCAGCAAATTTGGTGGCAAAAGTGGCTGCAGCTGTTCCAGCTGCTATTATCTGCTGCCCTGTTTGCCTAGCAACAGCTGAGTTACCCATGCACAGGGTGCTGATGGGTTGCCCCTGCATTCTGCCCCCCCTCTTGGTGCATGTTCCCCAATTCTCGACTGCCCAGCTGCTGCCTTGCCCACCACTCTGCTCCTTCACCCCTTTGTCACTCCACACCAAGCCAGCCTCATAAGGCGCATGCACGAGAGATGCCTGTCTCGTGAGGTGCATGCATCTTGCAAGATGGGAATCTCTCGTTTGCACAGCTTGCAAGGCTGGCATTTCTCTATTGCACACGCACACCTCACGAGGCTGGCATGGCAGAAAGCAGTGAAGAAGCAAGGGGTGCAGTGGCAAAATGGTGGACATGGCAGTGGTGGGCCAGCTGAGGAGCACAGGAGGGAGGTCAGGGACTGCCTCCAGCAGCAGTGACCATGGAAGGAGTCATATGTGGCCCTCCTGTCTGGTTGCTGCTCCTATGCAGCCACTGTGCTATTCTAAAGAGTAGGTGGGGCCCTGCAGAGCAGCAGGGGAAAGAGGTGGTGGCTGGCTGAGAACATGCCCAGGGAAGCGTGGAGGCCAATGGGGGAGAGGCAGGCAATGCAGGCAGGTGAGGTGTGTGCTAGTATTGGTTCCCAGCCACAGGGACTGATGGGATATGTGCTGCTATTTGAAGGAAAGATGGAGATATATAGAAAATACAGATGAGTGATTACTTCACAGATCTGTGGCTATAAGACACAAGGTAAGAAAAGTAACTTTGCAGTATTCCTTAGGTTATGTGTAAACATAATCACTATGGAGAACCAGAATAGTTTCCCCTAAGTAAAGGCATCAGACAAGGGAGTATTTTATCTCTGCATCTGTTCAATCTATAGGCAGAATAAATCTTTAAAAATGGAATTAAAATCAGAGGAAGGTGTGGAAATTGGTGGAATCTCAGCTCAGTCATCAATTCAAATGGAGACTGTAGCCAAAAAAATTGAAGACGACAGACTTGGAAGGACAGCAGTGAAGGAACTAAATTTGATCTTCAAGTATAAGGACTGGAGACTGAGACCACAATCATTCACACTATTGTATCCCTGATTACATATGGATGTGAAAGCAGCACACAGTACAGAGTACAGTGAAGAAAGCTGATGGAAGAAAATGGATGCATTTGAATTATGGTGAGCTTTGCGAATACCCTGGACTGACAGAAAGACAGACAAGTGGATCCTAGATCAAATCAAGCCAGAGCTTTCCCTGGAAGAAGAAATGACGAAACTGAAGCTATCATACCTTGTTTAGTCCAGGGAGTTTTTGCCTTCTTCTGCACGAATATGCTAGGGAAAGTTGAACACATAAGAAGAAAAGGAACACCAAATATGAAATGGATCAGCTCCATAAAGGAAGCCACAGCCTCGAATTTACAAATCCTGGGCAGGGCTGTCAGAGGTAAGACATTTTGGAGGTCATTCATACACAGGATCACCATCAGTCAGAGACCTCTTGACAGTACATAACAACAAAGGAAAAGTACAGCTGTCAGTAGACCAACAAGCCTATTTAATAGAGGATATAACAACAGAAGACATATTTAATAAAAAATAAAGGGACAATAATTTAGCATGAATTGCTCAAGACTTCAAGAAAACTATATCTGTTCACTATGCTTTTCCAGTTATCCAGGTTCACATCCACAAGCATCAAACAGCAGTGGTTTGTATGTCTTGTTTACCTGTGCTGCACAAGTACAGACAATCCCCCAGTTACAAATTATGAGTTACGAACATCCATACTTCCAAACTGCCATAAAACCTATTAATTTTAAAAATTAAGTTAAAGACAAATGGTTCATAATAATGAATGCAGGAACGTTTGGAATTTTGTGGCCTACTGCAGAAAATCATCACCACCATAGATAGAGAGGAAGTGAAAGGGGAGAGAAGGAAGACCTCCAAAGCATGCTTTCTAACCCAGCTCAACCAGAGAGGGCATTTCCCTGGTGCAAAGAGGAGGCACTAGTGAGTGAAAGGGAGGGTGGAGCATAAGAACGTAAGAATGTAATAAATGAAGAAGAGGAGCCCTGCTGGATCAGACCAATGCCTGAGAGAGAGAGGGAGGAGCAATCCAGTGCAGATATGGTCAACAGTATTAAGAGTTAAGGTTTGGGGTGGGGTCTAGAGATATTTACGGTTCTTCCACTTTTGCTGAGGTCCCGCACACCAGCCCCCACAAATGCAGAGAGACACTGTATATGGAAGCATTTCTTAAGTATTTTATATGCATAGAAATGTAAAATATATACATATACTAAGACAAACATTTGGCTAACTCATGTGATCCAACTTACATACAAATTTGACTTAAAGATGTTCTCAGGAACGGAACTCATTCATAACCTGGGGACTGTCTATACTTCAATCAGCAAAGAAATTCATTATTTAGGAAGCAAGTGCTTCAATAGGGCTAGAAAGGTATTTAGGAACCCTATCTGAGAAACAAGATCAATAAGTCAAGTCACTAATCATTACCTA